CCACAGAGGGATGCACTCCGTTCTAATCAGGCCCTCCAGCTGTTCTTTCCTTGGCAAGGTTTAAGTTACCATAGTGATGGTGACGAGGGTTCCAAAGAGTTTTACAGAACACCAGGAATTTAGCTCACGGAACAGGCATGCACAAGCTCAAGGAAGGCGACTCTTAAAGTGGGTGGAGTGCTTTTGGCAAGCCATTCTACCTCGAATGGGGACGCTTGGTCGTCAACCCTTAAACGTGCTACGACTCCTATAAATATGCGCGCCTCTCGACGGCAGGCGGATAACTGTTCAAAAATGTCTCAAAGCAAACACTAGCTCACTCTTTTAACCACAAAAAATTATTTTTTTTTTGGTTTGGGGCGGTTTGTCAGTCTCCGTAGAAGGCACAAGCAACTTTAGGAGTTTGCTGATGGTCGGTGAGCCGGGGAGTCAGTGAGATGGTACTAATGTGTTGATTGGGCCAAAAGTGAGGCTGAGAGAAAAGAGCATTTTGATGATGGCCCGCTGGGATGCCAACCCTCCACTGTCATTACCCAGCTTTTAATTACAGCGTGTCAGGAAGAGGGGCGGAAAACCACTGGTTTCTCATGTCTAATGAAGGGGACTGTGCATATGAGATGCTCAGGGCATTCTCACAAAACACACGAGGCGGCGGAATGGAAAATATATATGTATTCAATGAGTTCCTCCGTGAAAGAAAGCAGGAAAGTGTGAAAGAGCACATTACTGCATGCATAGAGACTATGGACCCATTTACACCTGCATTAACGTGCGTTTTCGGTGATTGGATAATGATCAGATTATGCTTGAATACATTAACAGACGCAATGTGAACAAATCACTGAAAGCAAATTTGGTGGTGGTCTTGGATAGATTCCGACCAAATGAGTTTTCGTTACCCGTATTCAGCTACAGTACACACGTAATATGTATTGAGGTCAAGCCGCAAATTATCATATATGTCGCTTTTGACGAATGTGCAAGCGTTTTTGTGGGTTGCATTTTCATTTTAATTGCATTATTTCCCTGAATTAATTTTGGAATCTCATCAGTCCCCAAAGAAACCCTTTATTATTTTTTATTAACTTCTAAGTCCGATTAATTTTCCTTACTAAAAGTATTTGTACAGAAAAGAAAAGCAAGAATTGACAAAAAGCATTTTGAATTTATCAATCAAAAGTTTTAGTGAACAAACGTCTATCCAATCACACTGGAAACACACCTTTTATGTGCAACATGAATTTTAGTGGGACTTTATTTGAGTCTGCAAAAATGATAAATGTGCATTAGTAAACTAGAATAACATCTACAACTTTGTATTTAATGTTCTGGAAATACAACCCACTGTAACTAACAGTCTTCCTGGAACGTGACTGAGCGTTTGTCCCACATAAACAAAACAAATCACATTCAGAGTTAGTACTGAGCGAATAAAGCCTATCCGTATTCCAATCGCGAAGCCAATTTGCATCAAAACCGGGAATGTAAAATGTATTCTGTAAAATAATGCTACTCTTCATTGTCAATTTGCTTGGACATGAAAGGACATTAGATGGCTGCCGCATTCCATCTTGGGCAAGTCAGGACAGACTCGGGCAACGAGGATGGATCAGCAATGGAGAATAGAGAACACAGCATACATCAGCTAAAGGAAGCCCCCACCTTCATTACAAGTTATATAAGTTTACTACATTTAATCTGAAGCATCTTTGCCAAGAATTACAGGTTAATTTGTTTAAAAGCAGTTTCAAGGGGACGCGCGTGGACTTGTTTTATGTGTCAGGGGATATTTTCATGTCGTAGTGTGCAAGCGGAAGGTTTTCACATGAGCAGAGCAGAGAACCACAATACAGCTGCATTCTGGCATGCATGAGTCAGACGTGGGGGAGCGGGATGCATTTTATTCTTTAAACCGATCAGTATTCATGCTCTCATGGGAGACAGAAAAGAGTAAAGGTAGATTCTGAGGTAGATCTAGCTTTCTCTGCAGTTCCACACACACATATAGAAAAGAAAGAAAGAATGAATACATTCCTCGACGCGTTGAGACAGATTTGCCGCCTACAGGGAAGAGGCTACTGTAACCCAGCACCATGTGTGTGTGTGTGTGTGTGTGTGTGTGTGTGTCTATTTGATGGGGGTCAGAGAACCAAAACTCTGCACTGACCTGAAGTTTCAAAGTAATACAGTCATGTATATTACACATGCCTGTTTTGTTGACCAGTAGGCCATCTCATCCCCAGTTCCAGAGCATAATCTCACTGCACTGCCAATAAAGCTGGTCTGAGTAACTGAGCAACTAGGGGTTAAGTGTCTTGCTCAGAGACACATTGGTGTCTCACAGTGGATTCGAACCCAGGTCTCTCACACCAAAGGCATGTGTCTTATCCACTGCGCCATCACCACCACTGTTCTCAAGTCAACAACTCACTCATTCAAAAATCCAGCCTCCAGTTAGCAATTCACTAAATTCACGTCAGGGAGATCTTATGAGCTTGGGTGTGTTCAGATGGCACGAAAAGTTACTATGCCAAATTTTAGGTACTATTAGTGTATATGAAAACCATATTTAGATCACACCATCAGTTGTTTGTGGACTAAATCTGCTGTAAAAGCCATGCTTGAATGTGGACATGTCCACTTGTGTATTACCATCTGAACGGTTTTAGGTCAAATCTAAACTTAACGTTAAAATATTTGCATAGTGTTCTTTTTAATATGTTAATTTGTCCCATTTTCATTTTTATATACTATATAAATTATATACTATATGGTATATAAGTGTATAAATATTTATCCCCCTCCCACACATCTTGAGTTCACCCACACCCACACTAAAATTTAGTTCACAGTCAGTACTTTTTTGCTAAAAAAAAAAAAAAATGCAGTACCTCTGTACTTTTACTCAAGTGAAATTGCTTTTAACGATACTCAAATACTTGATTTGTGTACTTTGTCAACCACTCCCAGAATTTTAACAATAGTAGATGACAAATGTAAGCAGTGTGATCATTTTTGTTTTACTTAATTTGTTTTAAATGAATAAATAATTAATAAAAAAACGAATTTATAATATAGAATGATATATATTCACACCATTGACATGGTATCCATTTCTAGTGTGTATTTAAGATTTAAGATGGGGACAGAGTGAGTGATTTCTGCAGCTGATTGTTTGGACAAACACTTGGGCACAAAGGCTTTACCCTCACACAGAAGGGAGGATGTTTGCTTTTAACCTCCTTTGACGCAGCTTTTGTTTTCCCCCAAAGTTTGACTTGGGGTCAGTTAAACTGCTGATTTTTTTGGAGGTGGTGACCAGGTGCATGCCTTGTAAGTTTAAGAATGCTGCAGTGGTCTTTACGACAAACAGTTGGGAACAAAAGTCTCATACAAAATAGGAACATTTCTCATTATAAATCACCAAAATATGATGTTCTTGTTTTACAAGTTGTTTATCAAATGGAATTTTGTCTTCACTCTATATACAACATTTAGGCTTGTCCATACAGACGTACACTAACTTTCAAAAGTTTTCACTTGAAGTATCTAATGCTCACAGAGGCCATTTTTTTTCTCAAAAAACAACTTTTTATCCTGATTTTGGCGCTCAAAACACTTATTATTATATATTTTTATTATCATTATAACATTTTAATATTTTTGTTGCTTTATTTCAGTATTCTGTGATGAATAGAAAGCGACATTTAATTGAAACAGAACTCATACGATTTTAAATGTCAAACAATTAAATGCATCCTTGCTGAACAAAAGGACAAATTCAAATTAAACATAAGTAACTATGCTCGTAAGTGCTTGGAGACACTCACAGAGACAGTGCTGAGAGGGACACACCTGCAATAGAGATCTTATCCCACAGGATTTCAAACCTCCCCCTCTGGTGTAGAGTTCCTGGGGTGAAGAAGAGACAGAAAGAGAAAGAATGGGTGGTCACTGCATGCTCAGACAGCTCTGCCGACACCTCATGCCGATTCATAATGTACAAAAATTGCCTCAGAACATCTAATGAAGTGAAAAAAGTAGCTTTTATTTTCTTTGTAGAAGCGGTCGACACTAAACATGAACCTAGCTTTAGCCAAAACAGAAAACTAATAGACATTCTGCAATACCTCAAATGCAGTGTCACACCACATTATATACAGTAGAGTGGACTGGGTCTAACTACTGAGTGGCAAATCCTCTTTTTTTTTGCAGGCCTTTGCAAAGCATGTCTTAGTACACTATTTATTGACGTCCCAATTTCCAGAAGCTGCCCTGATTGACTTTATCATATCATGGTATCAGCTTGCAATTTACCAGATCACACAACAAGAGTGAGACAAAATCCTACAAAATAAACACAGCCATAAAAATGTGCCGCCTGAAATCATATTCCCAGGTGACTGTGAGAATTAGAGCTCAGGAATTCCATCAGATCTGTAATCATTCAAACCCCCGCTGCTTCCTACCCACATGCCCATTGTCTTGTTCCGAATGCCTATAGAAATCAACAGGAGGGGTGGGGCATTCCTGCTCCTGTTCAGACTTGAGCTCATGGCACATTGTGTAAAAAAAAACATGCTGTTTTAAACATGATTTTTTTGATACAATGTGTAAGAAAGTTACAGTCAAAAAGACCAAAGTCTGTGTCTGTTTGTCACGTCAGCACAGGTATTGGTACGGTTATATTTTTTGCCCATTTTCCAGTAAAAACGGCCTGAATATGTATGCAAAAGCCAACCATTAAACAATGAACGCAAACTGTCATAAATGTATTTTAGATGAAAGTAGTGTGCAGAAAAATATCTATTAAGTTAAACTATCAAACTTAAACTCTATTATAAATTAACATTACACTTAGTGAGTTAGTGGCACTAGGTGTGGTTCAGATTTATGATACAGAGGGGTGCGGTTTACAAAAAAAAGGCTAATTCCCATTGGTCGCCGGCTGCTGGTGTAGCAGCGCTACCTGAAGCAGGTAGGCAAATAAAGAGACCTGAGAAAGAGGATCACACTGCTGCTCACCACGATGGGACTCACGCACACTTTGGGACCAACTAAAAACATTCAAGTACTTCATCCTAAAGGTTTCGGCCTTTTTTATTTTTGACAGAAAACAATGTTGTTTGTCTAGCGCCAAGTTGGATCTAACACCACGTACAAGGTAAGTGTGTGGTCAAAATCAAGGTTAGTAACATTAATCCTTCAAGAACCTGACATTTGTAATGTATTATAAATGTTATGTTGAATTGTTGACCTAAAGTAATTCTACATTCTGCGATGATGTTAAAAAAAAAAATAAACTAAAAACGTACAAAGTTTAAAACATGTATATACATAAATTCAGAAATAAGAAGTGATGATTGTGTGCATGCAGGACGGTAAATCGGTTTAGATCAGTATTAAAACACTTGGAAACCCCCTTATCAAGCACACAAGCATGTTTGCAAAGGGGGGGTGGGGGTTTAGGGTTGGGTTACACTGTGCTGGGAGTCATAAATGTACGGGGTTTTTTTGTGGTTGGCAAAGCAAACAGGCCTCGTACCTGTATGACCTACAGGCATGAAGGGAGAGACAGGTTTGGGCTCGCTGAAGGGAGAGGCCAAGTCACAGGATACTTTCTCTCACACTCTCATTGCAACAACAGCCTTGAGCGTGGAACATCCTGAACCTGCACAACAAATAATTTAAAGTTTACATTTACATTTTTGCAGTTAGAATGAGTACAGTGTTTTGAATGGTCCCTGTGATTCATTTACTGACAGTGTGCTTCTGTTGTGCCATACTTCACACAGGTATGGAAGATCTGCGGAAGCCGTAAAGATGTTTTATCTGCTCTGTGAATTCTATCCTTCATTCCACCGGAGTCTGTGTAGCTGTCCAATCAGATTTCAGTGGTGTGAAGTGTAGGAGACATGGAAAGATCTCATCACCTTCCACAACCTGCGAAGGCCTGTCTCGTGTTAACAGGCGGGAACAGCGCAGATACGAGACGAAACACATGTCAAGAGTACATGTAGCTTAAAAAAGCATGCTTGACTAGATTTCAGTTGTAATATAATTTGCCATGTGCTTCATGCTTGCACGGATTCATGCCGGTCGTGAAAGCTGTATGCTAAACGCTGTGAATGTTAAACCTCAGCTGTCCTATTATGCACTGAACGCTTTGAAGATCAGCATATCTAAACATCTATGTAAAGCAATGTACCTCACCCTGCCCTTTAGCGCACCGTAGCTCCGCAAAAAAACATGGCATGTTTGTTCATTTGCTGTTGTGGAGAGCCAAGGCGGGCTAAGTACACACACATACACGAGTAAGATTCACAAAGCCTGCCAAGATGTATTTATGTATGCTGGTTCAGCCTGTATTCTTTCAACCCACACTAATAAACTCACTTTACAAAATGTGTTTGTGTGAATTGCTTAATCCTGACAATAAACGTATATAATAAAACAAGCCCTTACTCGCTGCCCTGGCATTTGTAGTATGAATGTTGTGGTTTATGAATTTCAATTAGCCCACCAAATGTGCTGCAAATATGTGACCTGCTCTTTGCATTCATGCAGTGGGGGCTGAGATGATGTTAATCTTGGAAATGATTTCACAAAAAGCCAAGCTGAGGTGAAGCGAGTTCAAAGCAGGGCAAGTGTACAGCAAGACACCCCCAGCTGTACAGAATGCAACATTCAATGCAAAAAAAATAAATAAATACATAAAAAGCTGTTTGTTTGATTCCCCTTGTCGACAGACATGCTCCTCGAAAATGAAAAATAAATGCAAAGTTAGAGTTGTGCCTCAAGGTTACGCCTGTGGCTTCTCATGCACAACAAAACTGTTCTCACTGTTAAATCATGTTTTGACATGATCAAACCCTTTATACATTAGTCTAGATAACAGCACTGAAAATGCATGTTCAGCCAAAGGAGCTTCATACAAAACAATGCTATATACAGTACATCACATATAATTGGTCATTTTCGACTATAGCTTTGCTAATAACGCCGTTAAAGAGAGTTATGTAAGAGATAATGTTAGGCTGGTCATTATCACAAATTAAACCTTGATGCAATTGCAAAGCAAAAAGGTCTTCCATCACACAGAAGGGGTTCATTTTGTGATAATGACAGACTGACTATATATAATACCTTACATAACACCTGCCAATGCATTTATGTGTTAAAAATGTTATGAACAAAAAAAAAAATCTCCTTTTTTTTAATCTCGTAGCTTACACTGTAGAGCCGTACACTACCAAAGCCAGGTTCGATTCCTAAGGAATGCATGAACTCCTCGAATATATGAAGAGTTCAGATGCAAAAGCCTCTAAATGCCATTTGAAATGTTCTTCTTTAATGATGATTTTTATCAAACTTGTATATTTAAGTTCAGTAATTTCACTTAAATGACAATTAATAGGTAATTATCATTGCCATTTAAGTGAAATCACTGAACTTAAATATACAAGCTTGATAAAAATGATCATTCTAGAAGAAAATTTCAAATGGCACTTAGAGGCTTTTGCATCTGAACTCTTCATATACCTTAAATGAAAGTCGGTTTGAATAAGATATAAATAAACTGATATACAGTACAAGGATATCCGATACTGATTTGGGTTTAGATTATTTTAACACTGAATGCAACGAAAGACCAATTAGAATGAAGTGACACCAAGCTGGCCACAAGAGGGTCTGTGAGAAATGTAGAGGGCCGCTGTAGAAACAATCGAAGATCAATGTGCTACATTATGTTCACTTTTAAGGCACAGCACTGTGCTTTCCTATTTTGCATTGATGTGAACCATGGCAGCATTATATTTTAAAAAGCTGGAACTGCATCAAGGCATGTGTTTTGAAGTACACTGACTTAAATTGCAGTGATTTTTGTTTTTCGCCTGCCAGACAGCTTGGCAAACATCACGGTTAAATACTTCAATATCCCCATTAAATGAAAACAGGCTTTTTAAAAATATAACATGCACGACTGATCTCAGATATTGTTCAAAATAACTATATTTCACTAAAACTGCTCAAATGAAAGGAGTAGTTCACTTTAAAACGAAAAACTTTTGCTGATAATTTACTCACCCCCATGTCATCCAAGATGTCCATGTCATTCTTTCTTCAGTTGAAAAGAAATTAAGGTTTTTGATGAAAACATTCCAGGATTTTCTCCATATAATGGACTTCAATGGGAACCAAACAGTTCAAGGTCCAAACGAGAGTTTCAGTGCAGCTTCAAAGGGCTTTAAACGACACCAGATGATGAATAAGGGTCTTATCTAGCGAAACGATCGCTCATTTCAAAAATAAATAAAACAGTTTAAGTTTCATAATCACAAATGCTCGCCTTACTCCAACGTTCGTGACTCTCCTGTTCAAACTCATTCATCAAAAACAAATCTTTTTTCGAGACTCGAAGGGTCCTAGATAAGACCCTTATTCATTGTCTGGTGTCATTTAAAGCCCTTTGAACAGGTTGCAGTTTGCACTGAAACTGTCTTTTGGACCTTGAACCGTTTGGTTCCCATTGAAGTCCATTATATGGAGAAATATAAATATATCCTGGAATGTTTTCATCAAAAACCTTAATTTCTTTTGGACTGAAGAAAGAAAGAGGTGGACATCTTGGATGACACGGGGGTCAGTAAATTATCAGCAAAAGTTTTTTTAAAAAAGTGAACTACTCAAGAAACAAGCCCTGTTCCACTAGTCTAGAGAGAGAGAGAGAGAGAGAGAGAGAGAGAGGGTCAATTATTGAGGGGTTTTAATCACTGGGTGTTTGCGGGGATGTACGTTGAAATGCTGTGAAAAATGTATCATGTCTTGAGCAAATATTAATCTTTTGGCTGAAAATATTGCTTGGTGCTAAATTCACGATCATGCTGTTTATTAATTTAAATCCTCCAGGAGAAGAAACAAAGTGAAAGAGAATATGGAGAAATGGAAGGCAAGGTCCTTGTCGAGGACCTTGACTATTTTAGGCCGTGGTAATAATAGCTTCCAGCACTGGCCGTTCCTTTAGCAGAAACCGGCCATTTGTCCACAGAACAGAACAGACTGTTTAGTTTCAAATTCCACGCATCACGAATCATGATTCCGGACAATTTGAAAATAAAGACAGACCCACAGATGTAACTGCCATCTCAAAGATTTCAGTTACAATGCGAGAATCGGTGCTCATCTTCTTCCTCCTCCTTTTCTTCAGCCCAAGTCTTGCTTACGACACAGGTAAGTGGAGATGGCTTACGGCAGATGCAAATAATGAATAGACACAAAGTTCTGTGTGACTGATCCACCTGCTGTGCGGTATTGACATGAGAGGATGGCTTATTCACTGAAGGTGACAGTGATGGAGGGGGAAATGCGTCTATCACAAATCCCCATTAATTGATTACACCTCTTCCCCGCAATGTCACTCGTCTGCCGCTCTCATGATTTCCACAGCTGTTCTATACATTCCTCAAAGGATGGTATCAGCTGTCGTCATACCAGCTGCCATAAAGTGTGATACAGGTACACCTAGAATGGCAAAGGCGCAACTGTATGTATATATTGTTTGTGCCGGAGAGAGTGAAATGTGTTACTTGACAAATTATTACACTGCACTTCAAGACATTATTGGATCCATTGAATAATACGTTAATAAGAAAATGCAGGGAAATCAATAAAGAACTCAGAAAATGGAAAACATATTAAAAAGTCATCATAAATGTCATGTTATTATTAATATGCCTAGTTAAAAAAAATAGTAAAAAAAAATAAACACATTCAGTTGCGAGTGTTTGAAGAACGTCTCTGGAGTGTTCATTACTGCTATAACCAATCACACAATTTAAGATTATAGAAAAAGTAATTTTTTTTTACTAATACAAAAAATTTAAATTTGATTATGTCCATGCCTTACACAGTTATTCTCCCTCTTACCCATTTATCTAAAGCGTATACTATCATTCATAAGTTTGGAAAATTATTTTTATGATTTTTTCCAAAGAAATAACTTAGCAAGAATGCTTTAATTAAACTAAAAGTGACAGTAAAGATTAACGGATAGTTCTGGTCCTTCATTCTGATTGGTTGAGCCACGTTCAAAGCCGTTGTCAGTATTACTGCGCAACTGCTGTTTGTGATTCTTTGTTGCTGCATGTGTTGCTTGGCAACCTTTTTGGAACTACATTGCTTGGTGGAGAAATAAATGTGTCAACGTCATATTTTTTATTGCTGGTGTTTGTTTTATGAATAAAATATATATTAAAATTAATATTTTTATGGAGTAACCGTTTTATAAGCATTCTATTCTATGGAGACCCTATATAGACAACACGCAAAAGCATTGAAATATATATTTTTTTTCTCCTATGATTTCAGATTTTTTTCCAACACCATGTCCCTAGAAAATACGTACTACGTACTATAGCACAACTGTTTTCAAAATTGATCATGAAAATGTTTCCTGAGCAGCAAATCATCATATTAGAATGATTTCTGAAGGATCATGTGACACTAGAGTAACTGGAGTGTGACAAGACTGGAGTAACGATGCTGAAAATTCAGTTTTTACATCACACAGGGTTCCCACATCAGCTTCAAATTCAAGGACCTTTCAAGGACTTTCCAGGTCTTTCAAACTCAAGAACTTAATGTGGGACACGTGTTGTGTCTAATAACAAACTTTGGGATACCATCGTAGTAGTTTTGTACGCGCGTGATCGGCAAGGCAACGTACAACATAAAGGTACCTCAAGCAGGAAAACAACGAAACAAATAAATGTGCGTAACTAACGTAAATGAAGAAAGCTAGTATGCATAGACCACGATATGTTGGCGACACATTAGCAAACCAGAGGGAATAATATGTATTTTTTTCCAGAAAATGTTTTCCACAAAATAAATTCAAGCACTTTCAAGACCATTTATCTATATATGTTTATTTTCTAAAAACTTTCCAGGGCCTTGATTCTTTTTTTTTTTCAGATTCACAAACTTAAGGATTTCAAGGACCCGTGGGAACCCCAATAAAATAGAAAACAATTCAAACTGTAATATTATTTCACAATACTACTACTTTACTGAATTTTTGATTAAATAAATTCAGCTTTGAGAGACTTCTTTAAAAAAATATATATATATATATTAAGTGACCCCAAAGTTCTGATAACATCCAACATTTCAAAAAGACCATCCATTCATATTCATAACCAGGTGTAGATTAGAATATGACCACGCAAAAACTTGGTGGAGATGTGGTTGCTCATTTCACACACACAAAATGATTAGTCAGTTACAAAATAATAATTTATAAATAGAACAATGGTCATGTTAAACTAAATTACAACTTTCAAGTCCCAATAACCTTGACTAACATTATAAGTGTGGGGGAAACGACGTATTGAAACGTGTGTGTTTTTCCCTCTTCTGCCACAGTGGCCGAGGACATTGGACCTCACCAGCTGGAGCGTCTGGTGGAGCTCCTGACAGATCGTGAGTGTGAGGAGTTCATCTCGGCCATGACTCAACCTGAGGACAACATCTTCCAACACTTGGAGCGACTATCTGCGGAAAGGAACCAGTTACTGCAGTCGAGAAGACGCAGACACACAGGAGGTAACCGAGAGTAGTTTAAATCAGCTCTAATAAATTGATACTTATTTGTTTTATGCTAATGAAACCCAGCAGTGCGATGTGTGACGAGACGCATCCTCCAGTAAATGAAGAGGTCATGAGCAACCAAATGTATTTGTTTATCTCCACTGAACACATCAATCTGCCGTTGAGTGGTCCACTCGAGAGACATCTCAACCAGACGAATTGTTGATATAATACCTTGAAATCTATCGAGGTAGTGGGACATGATTGAATTGTTTAATTGCCTGAACAGCTGAAGGGCTGCTTTCCTTCTGCCTGTCAGGAGCATGTTTGATATTTTGCATGTGTGTGTGTGATCGTCAGACCAGAAGCCCCCCTGTCGCTCAGCGCTGAAGGACTGGCTGCAGATTCACGGCAAGCAGATTTACTACGACAGGCTGTCTCGTGCACTGCAACAGATCGGCAGGACTGACATCGCCATAGGTTAGCTGCACACATGCATGCACTGCACCACCACAAGCTGATACTACAATCATTTGTACACTATTACGAAAAGATGCACAATATATCAGTACCATAACAGGTTTTTAGCTGATGTTAGATATTCTTTCATTTAGCAGTATTTTTGATATTGTATGTGAATTGATCAGATATTGGAAATGTAATTGTGCATGCTAATTTCCTCATTTTTATTTATTTTATATAATTCAGACTAACTTTCTTAAATGTGCCGCACACATCCAGAAAATTACATGCAAAACAATTCAAACGCCCCCTGGTGGTTGGCTGCAGTATCGGTCATAAACCCCGCCCTCTCCATGTAAACAAATGGGACGCAAGCCAAACTAAACAAAATCCAAATCTTTTCTGTCATTTTTGAATCACACTAATGTATGTTTAAGTGTTTGTTTTTCCAATAAGTTTGGTTTTAAGTTATTAGATGCTATGAAATTGGGGTGCAACGTCGTGATTGACAGCTGAGCTTGCGATTGAGTCTCTGGGAATGGGAGTATGTGCGGGGCCTTGATACTGCGGCTCCACCTCAGGATCACTGCGAGGACTCGGGCTCCAAATGATGTCATCGCAATGACTGTTTCTGGGAAATTTTGGCTTAATTTGGAGGACGGAAGTGGAGATGTGTTGTCCATCTTTTTTTACATTCTATGCCTCCAACTCTCACTTAAAGTTAAAACTTATAAAAAATGATCATTTAAAAACACTGGAAATTTAATCTATATCCAAAGGATATCCATTTTTCATACTGATCATTATAACGTGATGCTTAAAGTCACTTGATTAAATGAATAAAATTATTGATTTTAGTTTTTAATGTTTTCGGTTCTAGTGTTATATTTTTTCATTTTATTGACACAAAATAGTATAGAATAGCTGAATTGTAATGTTGATCCAAAGTGGTCTACTACTATTCACTTTCCAAAATTCAGAGTCGAAAACATTTCTCTACATTTGATTTTTATTTTATTTTTTTTAATATATGATCAAATTCTCTACTTTTGCAGAAAAAAGTATTTTAACTAAGGCTGCCCCTAACTAAAGATATTTTGGTAATCCTTTAGTTTAGGGTCCAATTCTCACTATTAACCAGTTGTTTATTTGCATGCAAACAGTATATAGGATATTGGCTGTTTATTAGTACTTATAAAGGACATATTAATGCCTTATCAATTTCTACATGCCTTAATAGGGTCAAGGTTTTCCTACCCAATACCTAAACTGAACTACCACCTTACTTATTAATAAGCCGTTTTTGGGAGTTTATTGAGGCAAAAGTTGTTATTATTATTTTTTTTTTTTTTATTTCAAGCATACAATGAATAAGTGTACAATATGTTCAACAATCGAAGAACACAGATGATCAAACAAAAAATAAAAAAAATTCACCATTGCTTGAAAAGGAGTTAATAGTGAGAATTGGACCCTAAACTAAAGTGTGACCTATTTTTCCAGTCGTCTAGTAGTCATTCATTTAACCCATTAGTCGACTAGTCACACGTTTATGATATTAATTTAATTACTTCCATACTGGGAGAGTGGCATGGGAAAATGGCTTGAGTTTCAGGGCTAAGAAAAAATATATTATATGTAACATTACTAACACTGTTCTACAATACAATAAAATACTAAACCATGACAAAGAGCCTTTACCATATAAATGAAGCCCTCAAGCGCACACTTAAAGCTTACCGCAGATGCTGAATGATCATCTCAACGGGATAGTGGATGTGCCGTCAAATGCATGTTAATTTAAACATGTCAAGCAATAAGCAAGATACTAATTTTGCTGCCATACTCCACACGAACACTTGAATATGCGGCTAATTATAGCGCACGATAATCGTCAACGTCAGAGCAAGAGACCATGTGAACATAGGCTAGCCTACTACCTACATATTTCAAATGATAAGCCATGATTGAGACAATAATAATAATAATTTGCGAACGTTTGGATTTCCTACCCGACATACTATAATTACAACATGGAACAGCCGTGTTAACAATCGGTAACACTTTAAACACTTTGTAGTTATAATAACTATAAATAATGAATAATTACATGCAACTAACCCCTATTCCTAACCTTAATATGTAGTTAATTACAATTACTCAGTACACTGTAACATGGACACCTTAAAATAAAGTGTAACCTAACAATCGGTTCGTTGTGGATTACAAAATTTTCAATGAAAATTTGATCGACTTCTTGTCGACTAATGTTTGGTTTGGACTACTATAGGGCAGTCTTAATTTTAACATAGTAAAACTACATACTTCACCTTTAAGTAACCCTACAAAGTCACAGCTAACATGATATTCATTTACCAACAATAAAGTTAGTCAAAAACTTAAAAAAAAAAGTTTTTCCATCCGCTTTTCTTTAGTTTTTGCACACCACTAATGCAACGAGCACCGAGCTAATTCACAGTCATTCATCTTACACAGCAAAAAAGTGAAACTCAGCAGACTGCATAATGCTATTTTTATACATTTCTGATAGAATTCACTTTACACCCTGTCACTCCTCTGCCAGCGATTGTGGTCCGGCGTACCGGCGACTCCGCAGCCGAATGGCATCGGATATGAGAAGGTGCAAACGATATGACAGCAGGATTGCTGGAGCTGACACCAGATTCACTACCCGCCATCTGTTCCTTTCATCATCTCCGTTAAAAGGGAGAAAGGGATAAACAGAGAAGAAGAGGAGGGAGGATATGACAGGCTCGACAGCCCAAGAACATCATTCAGTCAAAAGCGGTGCATTGCAGAGAATAAAAATGATTCCTCTGCAAACACAGAAACTGATGCGTATGGGAATTGCACAATGCCGCAATTACAAGAGCTTTAATTGGCGGCCTGTAAACGGGCTATGATGAGCAGTAGCCACTCACCTTAGATAAATTGCATACTTATGTTCCGCTTCTTCGGTTGTTCTTGCTTCATTATATTTAGTACATTTATTTGGGCCCTGCACACTTAGTTAATCTCATTTCAAGGTGTTCATGGAGGCTATTACTCTGTTTGATTTCTTAATGTGCTGCAAGAATTGCTTGCGTCTTGTACGGATATGAAATGAATGTCACAAATAAACAGCTGCTAGAGCTGCCTCCAGCATAACGGTCATCAAGTACTGAAGTGAATTAGTGTTAAACCATTTGAGTTAAGACAACAGTCACCACTAGAAAATTGGACTGGAAGTAATGCATGTGCTTTTTATCTAACAGAGGTGGGTAAGAACATCAACCAGGACAAGACTCTTGCAATACAGAGATATGTGGAAGGCTACCATGAACTTGTCAGCCAAATGGAGAAGAATCAAGCAGAAAATCATGACGATCGTGGGAAGGTCTCAGTACTCTGCAAAACAGGGTGAGATGAGAAGAAGGTTTACTAATTATAGAAAGACTGATGTGTTTTAAACAGGGCTGTCTAATTCTGCTCCTAGAGGGCCATTGTCCTGCAGAGTTCAGCTCCAATCCCAATTAAACACACCTGAGATATTCAAGCTCTTACTAGGCATACTAGACACTTTCAGGAAGGTGTGATGAAGCAAGTTAGAGCTAAACTTTGCAGGACAGTGGCCCTCCAGGAGCAGGTTTGGACACCTCTGGCCAAGAAGGAGCCTCGTTTCTAAGCACTGATAAGGCGTTGTTGATGAATAAACATGGAGATCATGTGTTAATATTTTGGGTCCTTGACCTCAAAAACCTGACGATCTCAAAGCAAGCTATTTTGTCAGCTTAGTGTCAGTTTCTACTGAATTGGCCCCACCATTATATATACATATATATATATATATATATATATATATATATATATGAAGAGTTCAGATGCAAAAGTGCCATTTGAAATTTTCTTCTAGAATGATCATTTTTATCAAGCTTGTATATTTAAGTTCAGTGATTTCACTTAAATGGCAATGATAATTACCTATTAAAAGTATATGTATATATATATATATATATATATATATATACAGTATATATGGTTGGCAATATGTATTATTACAATATTAAACTAATATAAATATTAGTACAATTTAAAGTAACTGATTTCTATTTTAATAAATCTTTAAATGTAATTTATTCTGTTGATGTAAAAACTGAATTTTTTTCATCATTACTCCAGTCTTCAGTGTCTAATATGCTGATTTGCTGCTTGAGAAACATTTATTAATATTGAAAACGCTTGAAATGCTTACAATTTTTGGTGAAACCGTGATCGATTTTGATGGATAGAAAATTAAAGAAAACAGTATTTATTTAAATATAATTTTTTGTTACAATATAAACATCTTTACTGTCACTTTTGATCAGATTGCATCAATGCGTCCTTGTTATATAAAAGTATTAATATCTTTAAAAAAAAAATTACAAATCACAGTTGTCTGCAAGCAACTGTAACTAATCTGAAAATCAATGACTGCTAACTCTTGCCACTGATTGCTTGACAGCCAGAGGGTTCACCTGGAAAGACTTGGACTTGGAGGTGAAAATGCATCCAGTGCCACCGTATCAGCATCATCTGCTAGACAGAACATGGCCTCTACTTTACGGGCTCCTTTCTGGATTTTCCATCGCACTGCTCATGAGCATGGCCATCTTTCTTATTAGCATATATGTATCCCATGGCAACAGAACCAAATCCAGGTCTGAGCATCAACCCTGTTGCTGTCCCCTCCTCAGTGTTGTGACATCATCAGAGGTACATCACCCAGAGGACACATTAAGACCGAATAATGAATGTTCAGGATAATAATGAAGCCATGTTCATCAGTATGAAATTCATTATTAAACGTGCCTTTGATGGCTGATTATGACCCACACTACTTGTCTCAAAGTGCCATCTTATTGGCTGTAAGTTAAACTATAGTTAGACAGCCCATGCAGACACCTTCAACGCAGACAGTTCCCACTGCCTCTCATAAAGACATTTCTGCAATAAAGCACCTGACAGAACATAATGACAGCAATCTGTTACCTCCATCGGGACTGCTGCCATTGTCCTGTCAGTGATTTGATGGTGTGTAGGGGAGGCTGCGCTGGAATGCTGTTGCCTTGACAATCTTAGCACTTCCTGTTTCCAGTCCGCGACAGTGGCGGTGTGCTCGTCTGGCATTGAGGAAAAACTAATTATCCAGCCTTGCTCCTTCTCCCCTGAGCTTGCACATGCCCCCTGAAGCAATCCACAAGGCTAATAACAATGACAATGCCTGCAGACAATGCAGTCAGTACATCAACCTCAGAGAGACAGGATAGACTGGGCGAGTGTGGCAATGAAAACACATGGGAGAGAGCGCTGAATGGCTTGGAATGGAGCACAGAAGGAACTAATTCACCAAGATGAGCAATGCAGCAGGAAATGAGCTCACACGCAAGCAAAGTATCTCTCGCACACGCTGGGATCGCTCTCTTATCATTTAAGTGGTTCTCTTGTTCTAAAAAAAAAAAAGCATGCCCCTTCCTCATCCTCGCCCTTTTTCTTTCCTTTTATTTCTTCTATAATTGAACTAATTACTTCATTATACAAATCCAGACTAATGTGCTCCTGGAACCACACATCATGGATTAATAGTGGTGCTAAGCAGCAATTATAGGCAATTAGTTCATAAATCAACATCTAAACAAATTATAGTGTCGGGGAGGGGAGGTGTTGTATATTCAAAACACTGTGAGGGCCAAAAGGCCACATACTCAAACTTTAAGGTCCTGATTACACCTGGTATTAAGAGACACATTGCATGCCGTTTACACCTGGTGTTTTGCCCACTTTCAACCACTTCAATGGCCGGGTAAATGTATGGGCTTTCTTTGCAATGGATGAAATGAGCGCACGCAATTTACAGAGAAACCCGACCAGAGATGTCGGAAAAACATACGGAGAATCAGCATCAGTTTTCGTTTCTGCTCTGACAGCCGCAAAACTACGATAAACACTGTGAGTGTGTGTTAGAAATCAGGAATGGTGAGAGAACATTGTGCTTTGGTATGTTTTTAGTCAAACCAAACTTGGGTCTTTATGCGACAAATTTAAATCCCGTCTGGCTAGCGCGTTTCCCATGATGAGTAGACGGTCTTTTGTAGCTGTTCGAACACATAAGAACTTTACAATAGATAGTAACTGAGGTTGTAAAGACACCTTTTCATTATCGCTGCATAGAGTTCCAGTCAAATGCGTATATGGAATTTCCAGGTCTAGTTTGAGCTTCGAGATCATTGAAATAGTTTAACTAAATGGTGATGAAGCATACTAAAAGTAAGAGCGTGAGGTGAGAATTACCAATTTCTTTTTAAACAGAAGTTTTCTAAAATGTGCAGTTGGGAATAGTTATGTCTGAAATAATTTTAATTATAAAACATTATGTAATTAGCAATTACATCATTTTTATATTGGTTAGCCCTAGAAAAGCTACTTAGCAAAGGGTAATGACTGTTTCAGATTCGGATAGTGAGTGTGCCAGAAGGACAGCCGCTTTTGCATAGTTTGTTTGCTAATTTTTATTAAATTAAAATAATTATTTGAATATATTTCAAATAATTATTTGAAATTGAGCAAACTGACAGCTCCAGTAGTCCTATGTATAAACCTTAATAAACAATTGAATAATCAATAAAAAAAGGAATTTATACCTGTATGATATTATACTGTAGCAACATTGGATGGATGGATGGATGGATGGATGGATGGATGGATGGATGGATGGATGGATGGATATGGATGGATATGGATGGATGGATGGATGGATGGATGGATGGATGGATGGATGGATGGATGGATGGATGGATGGATGGATATGGATGGATGGATGAATGGATGGATGGATGGATGGATGAAAAAATTAAAAAAAATTTCAGCAACCCAAATTGGTAGTACTAATTTAAACAGCCATTAAATGACCGCCAATATAAAGCATGAGCCATTTTGAAATAGTTACAGAGTCTGAACAAAGACCTTCATCACATCAAATCAGTAGGAGGTTAAAGTCTTGTTGTATTTTGCAGCATTTAAGAGGCAGGGTCAATTAAAAAAACAAATGGAAACTGCGGCTCAAAATGGGTTGTACAACAATGGACCAATCAGACGAATCAGGGGTGGGATAAGCATCTCTAGCGGCAGTGTATGAGAGTTAACATGCTTATAAACGCAGCCTGTGCAAACAAAAAATGATGTGTGACATAATGCATATCTTACATCTGACATGTCTGTCTTCCTGTTCCTCTCTGATCAGTAATGATTTGCTGATGGTGTTGAAATGTCATGACACAGCAAGCAGCCGAAAACTCATCTATACAGCGCGATGAAGACAAAGCCTTGGTGCAGATGGGCTCTGTCAGAGAGAAACACATAACAACATGAGTATATTGCCACTCTTTCTGACAACAACTATTTTTGTTCATGCACATATATAAACGTCAAAAAATGAATTCTGTCTCTCTCACACACGCATGAAAACAGATGGAGACACACATGGCATAACAGACTCGTCCATGCATTCTCAGTCTCATCCAAACTTTGAATATGATGATGCATGTTGGCATTTTTTGCATTGTGTGACATGCAAACGGTATGTGTGCTTAATTATAAATCATTGGAGACCGAAAAAGCATCATATTTGACACTTAAAATAATGTGTTTTGTTGAGAAAAAAAGACATTTAAAGTTTGGGTTCACATCGGAACAACATTGAACAGACTGTACCTCTGTCTGTCAAACCATATAAAAAACATGGCATCTGCACTGACTTGAAAGCGTGTTAACAGCACACGCTTTCCATTAGCAAACCTAATGTCAAATATGATCTCTACAATAAAGCTCTAACAGATGGACATCAAATCAATGTTCTTCTGTCGAGAAGGATTGATTGACATCCTCTTAATTCAGCTTTTTCCTCAATGGTTTTTCAACTGGGGTTGAATAGACAGATATATTGACAAATGTAAGACATACAGAAATGTCTTTGCAATAAGTGTTTAAACATTTATGTGTGATTTGTCTATATTATTAATAAAAGATATTATATTAAGTCAACAAATAAACTTTTTCATTTTATAGGGTTCTTGGGTTGGACAAGAGTGTAACAAGGTTGAATAAGTGGAGAGGTCCTTGGTTGAAAAAGGTTGGCAACACCAGGTTTAGTTGGTTAGACACCAGGTGAGTATTATTTGGAATAAATTTCAGATTGGAATCATTTAAACCCATTCACCAAAAAAGATTTGTTCATTCACTAATTCCATGAGGGCTTTCCTCTTTCTTTCATAATGCCAGTAGATGACAAAAACTGTGTGACCTTTTGTGTTATAAATGAGTCACTGAATCATTCATTCAACCTACTCATTCTAACATGACGGACAGCACGGCTTCGTTCAAAATCGCATACTTTCTTAAGTAGGTACTTATTTTAAACAAGTAATTATTTTTAAAAAGTTTTATAATAAACACTGACCAAAAAAAAAAAACTATAAAGTTTTAGGTCTGGACGATATGATGATATAGGCTATATATAACACTGATACGTGATCACACGTATTTAGACCTACCTATATTGTATGTACTGTATATAACTTAAAGCGTTCACAGGCAAATTTGCTTTATGTTTAGGTCTATATTGCTTTTATTTCCCTGGTGTGGAAATCAGGCAAACAAAAATGTCAGGCAACATGATTCCTGGCTGCATGTCAATATCCATGGATCACTGGATCTTTAGTAAGTTGTAAGGAACACTATATTAAGTCCAACATTTAGTTTAAATTGATCAAATTGTTCGTTTTAGTCGCATTTTCGCAGTTTCCCCTATGGGCTCTATGCACGCATAAGTTCCGCATTTGACGCAAGGATGCTCGTCCATTTCCGGTTGTGGAGATTTAAGCGGAGGAGAACCGAGGAAAACGGGATTATGGCAGAGTCTTCAAAATGTACTGTCCTCCCGTCTTTGAAACGAAACGTACATACGTTTAGATAATTTTATGTATAGTTATGTTTATTTAATAAATATAATTTTAAAAAGAAGCATAAACACAACGAGGGGTGTCTGTTTTATCTGTTTTTGTGACTAACGTTTCTTTATTAACCATGGAGTATAAAATTTAATATAAATTCTCGGTATTGCATTGGACTCTACGATCGGCGGAAGTTATCGAGCATCCTTAATCCTTCACCGGAAATACCGCCGTGCATAGAGCTCATTAAAATCTTTAGCCACTCCGTCAGGCTGAGGGGGGTTGTTCCGGCGGGAAAGTGACGTCGATATATATCTATGGATGCATTCCCTCTACTCTTTTGAGTACTGTGAATTCAAGACATACTTATGTCACAATTTTTCGCCTGCTATTAAGCCAAGGACGTATGAGATATCAGATACAGCCCAGCTCAAAGAAATGAAACGACTGGGAATGTGTACGGATATTCAAATAAAGTAGGCCGACCGCCAGTGAAAGTTCATGCTCATCTCATGTTTTGTTTTTTGTGTGTGTGTCCTTATAAAATCTATTATGTTCGCTTTAATAAAAGGGGATTTCAAATACATGCGCTCCCCCCGCGAGCGGGTCTCCAGGGAATGTTTAGTTTCATTAGATGATTTTACCTGATTTGTTCATAATTTCATCTTTGACATCTCTCGGGAACCCACGCGCATGTAACACAGACAGGTCCCGTCTGTAAGCCATCTCCCACTCACGTACACTGTTGAGATTACATCTGTGATTTAAAAGCAAACTTTTTCAACCTTATGTTTCTGAAGTTGTGTGGCGGCTTCAGAACACAAAGGAGTCTCTTCATTGAAGTTTTACTCAAGCTCTCCATGTTGACTTGACAGAACCACAGTGCCCTCCAGTGGTCCAGATAAACACTGCAGATCATATTTGATCTATTTTTTTGTTGTTGTTTTTTTTGTTTTTTAAATATAATCTTACAGTGTGTCGCTGGATTCGCCAAGGAGAATTTTGGTTAAAACAAGGCACAAATAAAGCCTATAAAGCCTAAGATGATAAAAGAGATGTGTCTCTTTTTAGAAATGTAGTTGATTTCAATTTTGAATAGGCCTGTGTTTATATTTTCTGCAAACTCAAAAAATTTGAGGGTGGTGTAACCACCATCACGTAACCTAACGTAATCATTTTCATATTTTCGTAAGTCATATGTAATTGTTTTTACAAATATTATGATTTTTTTTAGTATCATATTCTATATTCTACTACTGGTTCACATCACTAACACTATTACACAAATATCTGCCTCATTATTGGGTCTAAAGGTCAGAGAAAATGAACTTTTATTGATTACCACAGCTAGTTTTGGTAGAATGGATTGCAGCCACAGAATCCGCCATCGTGACCTCACATGCAACTGAAATCATTTTTTTAAAGTAAATAGCTGCATGGCTCACTATGGTCACTCACCTCCATTGCCTCCTGTGCTCACTGCATGCAGTCTATTGCATCTAGTCATCCACAAAATATATAAGATGAACGATAATCAGATGAAGCTGTGATTGACAGTAAAAGTGGACACCATGTGTGTGTGCATGTGCAAGATAATAAGCGTGTTGATGGGGAAAACGGGCACATACACACCAAAGCAGAATCACGCTGGACTGGTTAGCATCAAACAGCCATTTCATTATGTTTCAACACAGCTATCTGCACTCATTACCACAGTAAACTCGGTTATGAGCATGGAGACGGTTTTTGGAGCAGTGTAATAATGGAAATCACCCCACTACGTAATTAACCACTCAGCACATACAAGCATGTTACAATATTAGCATGCATGGAGGCGACAGAGTGTGCATTGACCTCTTCATATAGTTCATAATGAGATCCCTCGGGTGCATGTTTACAGCTTTACACGGTCCGTTTGAATTTCTGTCCGGCCTCTGAACAAAGCCCGGGCCACCATTTGCATTAATTAGAAGAAGATATCTTTAACATCCGAATTTCATGATATGCTGCCAATCCTTTCAGCTCAACTGAAGAAAAATGACATTGGGTTCAGTTCAGTTCAGAAAGACAGAGGCTCCTTGCCAGCTCTTTCTTCTCTGACGACGAGTTCTTTTCTCAAGGATTTCTCTTGATGCTTTTTTTTTTTTTTTTTTTTGTTTACACAAAAGTCAAGAGCTAGAGACACTGAGCATAATCAGGCACATGGCACTTTGCAGAGAATTATGTATCACAACGCATTCTCATCCTTGGGCGTCATCTGACGCTTTTGACAATGCGTCTACTCTATATCCAACGCACATGGTACCATTTAGCGTCAATATAACAGTCTCCCGTTATGGGTAGGGTTAGGCTTAGACCACTAGGAGGCGCTTTCTGGCCCATATATATCTGAGTCTCATATATCAGAATGAACGAATCTTTTCCAGAGTCAATTCGTTCATTTCGTTCGTTGAATGAACCAAATGACAAGAAAAAAGATTCGTTCATTTTGATAAACAAGTTCAAACAGGAGAGTCACGAACGCGCATCACAGAACAGAGCAAGTCGACCATTTGAGCTTATAAAACTTAAACTTTGTTATTTTTTTATGAGCGATCATTTCGCTTGATAAGACCCTCATTCATCGTTTGAAGTCGTTTAAAGACCTTTGAACATTTTGCAGTTTGCACTGAAACTGTCTTTTGGACCTTGAACCGTTTGAAGTCTATTATATGGAGAAAAATCCTGGAATGTTTTCATCAAAAACCTTCATTTCTTTTCGCCTGAAGAAAGAAAGACATTGACATCTTGGATGACATGGGGGTGAGTAAATTATCAGCAAAAGTGTTTTTAAATGTGAACTACTCCTTTAACTTTAATGTTTAAATGTGAGGAAACCCGTTGCCTTAAAATTAAGTAATAAACTTAATGCGTAATTGAAAAAAAAAAAAAAAGTTATGTGCTCATTTTCCTCACTTTTTTAATTTCGCTCAACTGAGCCTGTACCAACCCGATCTCAAGGCAATTTGTACAAATTTTACGAGGTGGCTAATTCGTAACAATTTGTACAACCTCACTCGTACGAATTAGTACGATTTTTGCTAAATATTTTACGAGTTGTCCAATTCATATGAATTCGTAAGAATGACCTACCCCTGACCCCGCCCCTAAACCTACCCATCACGTGGGTTTAGACAAATCGAGTGAGGTCGTATGAATTAGTATGAATTAGCCACTTTTTAATCATTCGTACGAATTGGTCGTGGGATAGCGTTGCCTGTACCTAGATCGTAGATGTTTCTCCATTCAAGTAGATTGTTGCATTACTGGAAACAGTTCCCTGGTGGTGTTTTCAAGATGGCTGCAGAGTAGACTGACTTGCCTTAAAGAGACCTTCAAACTCGTACCATGCGTTTCTGCCTTTTGAACGTGATTTCACAAAGTACAACATGTTACTGGATCAACATCTTTGTTGATTCTGGAACAACTTTTCCATCAACCAATCAGATTTGAGGGACACGTTCACACTTTATGTCAAGTTTTAGCTTACAATCACAGTTAGGTGCTTTTACATCAGTTATTGACATCATTTCTCTCTGATTTTAGGAATAACTTATTGTTAGGGTTAGGTTAGAGATAGGAATGTTTTACTTAGTGAAACCTCGTTCATCGCTCGGGCTACAAACATGATGAAAATCATTCAGCTTAATAAGGAAAGGTGTGATTTTTGGGAGTGATTCTTATGATTTTCGACTGCTAGACACTAAAAGAGGTGAAAAGTCTCACAGACGTACACTCTCTTCAGAACAAGTAAGCCCCAAAACACCACATAACATGGTAAAACGCCATTTGGAGCAGCATAGCAACTTCACATAAACAACCATGTCATAAATCCCTTTCCTCAGAGAATTTCATTTCTCATATTGGAGCAAACAGACAACTGAGTTAATTGTATGCTATATGATGCATGGCCCAGTTGCTCATGTGGACTTTAAGCAATTAAAAATCCTCTAACCAATTGCAGAGGCATTGCAATTTTATGCCTAAATGAATTACTAATACCATTCATGGAACATTTATTTGCAATCAGACCAGTGGAATGAGACAATGGACAACATTAATTATAATATTAGCCAACCAGCAATGTCCAGAATTGGTTTGTAATGGCCAGAGATTTATAGCACCTTCTGTAAACAACAGATTTTGTCAGGAGAAGATCTGTACGATTAATCACACTAGTTGATCACTGTCCAAAGGTTGTTTGATTCTGTGTGTCATCTAGTCTGGCTAAAATGAAGTGGTTTATTTATGCTGTCAGCTGCTTGTTAGGGTGCTGCAAATTGGAATTTCCATTTTAATGAAAGGACAGAGAGGACCATTTCTCAGTGCTGTTGGTTCGTTTTCAGCCTTGCGTATGAGTTTAATGTACTTCAAACACTCAAAGACACAATTAAATTGGGACTATACTGTATCTTTATCAAAATGGCACTGGGCAAAAAACGGTCCCAGAAGACAATTATCTTGTCCTTCCAATTTCCCCTTCTCTAATTCACTTGACAGAAAACGGACAAATGGTTCAGAAGAAGTTAAATTGTTGCCTGGTTTTGTCATTTCACAGTGTCCTGGCAGGAACTATAATTTAATAGCTGCCCAACGTGGGATATGGATCACTTGCTCACACTGGGATATTGATTAAATAATCTTGTAGCTTTTTTTCAAAAGACATTTTGAGTCAAATGTCATGCAGATGTGAGAAATGAGGAGAAATAATTGACATTATACTCTTATAGGCATGCTGTACTGCAGGGTTATTCTCAAATATGATGGCAAACATCTCATTTTTCGCTTATGAATATATGTCAAGTATGGTTTGACGATGGATGGATTGAACCAACTACGGAGCCCTAAAGGGACATGGTGAAAAATATGAGATGGGAGGGAAAAATATACAGACATCCCAACCTGCAAGAATTCATTTCCGGGAGGTATATTTCGATAACAGGATCTTGGGTGGGACGGCGGGCTAACTTTCGCGTCTGCGAGGCACACTCGGTCTCTCCCTCTGTACAGTGCACGCGCAGCGCGCTATGTTATGCGCGCAGTATGTCTCGCTCTAGATTCCGGGAGATTTGAACTAATTTGCGGGCATCAGGGAGACGCTATCAATATGCGGGAGACTCCCGGAACTTCCGGGAGACTTGGGATGTCTGAATATATGTAAATGCTTTTGTTTTCCCCTGAGAATTGCGTTTGCTCACAAAACGTCTGTATTTGCGAGAGATCGGAAGGTTTCTCGGATGAACGCAAAACATTTTTGCGAGTGAACGCAATTAGCCTTTTCCTACCATCTCATTTTTTTTTCCATCACCATATCCCCTTATGGGCTCCCTATTACTCATTTTGTTTTCACATGTGAAAAATAAGTGTAAGGTTTAACAAATGTGCAAGTAATATTAATAATTACTGTAGTAATAAAAACAATAAAACACTTGTCCTTTGTTTTTTGTTATTTCTCCATCAGTGTTAAAAAAAAATGGAAAAGTAATCTTAGAAAACACCATCTTAGAATTTTATTTGAAAAAGTATTTGCTTCTGTGTTCCAAATAAGAAAATAAAGTAAAATATGATCTAAAAATAAAATATGAATATGAAAATAAATAAATAATCATAATCATTTTTATGGGAGAAAACTGAACTGAATTAAAAAATGTGCATTAGCACAAACACATTCTCCTCTAAAAGATGCTAAATGACAATCATCAGCCTGTGATGCAAGGAACGTGTTCTCGCACAAGGAGAGAATGGCCTGTAATTTACACGAGTCTCCAAACGCTCCCAATTAAAGCCTAAAGCAGCAGGATCCTTGTACATACCCACTGTGCCACTGCACTTCTGAGTCACAGGCAGCCAGAGAACCAGGTGTGTGTGTGTGTGTGTGTGTTTGTGTGATGTACCCCAGGACGTCCAAGTAATAGCCTCATAAATCTACTCATGCATAAACTAGCAGTTCTCCCCGCCATTGGGCCAGCCATGCCTACACCAAACGCAGAAGCCAATCGGCCTCAAGAGGCTCGATCTCTGGATCATCCAAGCCTGGTTTTAATAAGCTTTTGCTGGAATTTCGGTCACACAATTATAGCTTTGTGGATGTTCCTCAACTCAGATGACATGCACAAGCATGAAACTCTCACAGCTTTGCATTACGGCGCAATAAAAGAATTGGAAACCTCTCAGACTTTTTGGGCTATACGTATTTATTTCATAATGCTGTATTGATCTGTTATCAAGCTCTCTGACACACAATAACACAATATCTGTGTTTTAACACTGAAAAGCATGATTATATTGTTACATTCTCATATTAAACAAGGCTAGAAATGAGGGAGGGTTGGGGTTAAAATCCAATGAGTGAATTTCAAGAAAGGACAGGCGTCCAGTTCACCATATAGAGGATTTCCATATTTTATGCAAATTTCATACATAAACAAATATAGTGGGATTTTCTGCATTTATGGTTTAAAAATACGAAATATGTCCCCAACAAGGGTCCTTCAATGAATCTCAGCCATTTCCACCACTGATAATAAGCAATTAGTGAAGACATGAAAACAAAAATCTCATTACCATAATGCAAAACAAAATTATTCTAATTGCTATGAAGCAAAAAAACATAATTCTACACAAAACTACAGTGCATAAAAATGATCATTACAGTAATACAAAAAAATATATAATTTACATTACCATATTGCAATGTCATTGACATAACTAAAAAAGAAGCTCATCACTATAATGCTGAAGAAGTAATATTTAAATTGTAATTTTTTTGTGATTTATAATTTATATAAAGTTTGATTATTTTGCCTCAAACTTAAACAAAAGTAATATTCAAATGTTGTATTATTAATATCATATACGTATTATATAATACATATATTTGGTTATTTATACTTACACTTGCCAAACTTAAAACACCACCTTTGGATGGATTTCATAAACTTACATCCTATGCAAGTTCACTCCATGCCCTGCTATTCTTCCCGGGTCATGTTGCTTTGAGGAGTTATTGGATGGGGGTGATGGTGATGGCGATGGCGATGATGACCATGGTGATGATGTCCATCCCTGTGGGAATGATGTCTGTGGTGATGGTGATGACCAGTATCATGGCTGCCATGAGGAAGATGGGAAGAGCGATGATGGTGGTGGCTGAGGTGATGTTCCCTTCTGTGATGATGATCATGACGCCCATGATGTGAATGCATAATCACTTTTGATTCAACAATTCTCCTTTCATCTTGATTAATGTTTACACATATGGAGTTAACAAAGACATCAAGATCTATGAAGACAACCCCTACGCCACCAAAGCCTTCCTGGAGCACCTGGACATTAATAAATACAATATCATTACTTGTACTGTTTAGAAGTTTACATTATGTTACTGATTTCAAAATATACTTAACTTACCTCCTTAACAAGACTATGCTCATCTGAAAGAACTGTTAAAGTAATAAACTGCTCTTGTCCACTTTTAATGACCTGACAGACCTGAAAGGATAAGAGTTTCAGATCATTAAACAATTTTGCTTAAGCTCTCCCTGAGGAAGCTAATAATTAATGCTAAGCTAATGTCATCTATGGTTATATAGCCTACCTGACCACCCATGTATAAGCCCAAAACATGGATGTGATTCTTCTTTCCTTCCTCTGAATTCATGTCATCGTGTGTGGAATGATGTCTATGATGATGCCTTCGACGTGACCTCCGGAGAAATCCAGGCATGACTAGATTGAGCTTTTGCAGGTCAACTTGCTGATCCTGCCAGTGTTGGACTGATTTGTTCTATAAAGTAAAAGAAATAGGAGTTAAACACAGAGTTAGAATGCTAATGTGCTAACCAGGAACGTTCTCAGAACTTTGGCTAACGTTCTGGCAAGGTTCTTTCAAAGTTATGAACAAACGTAACATTAATAGAACATTAGTTCTAAGTTATCTGTTTTTTAATAATGATCACAAAAAGTTGATGCATAAACATCATTTTTTTAATCATTCATGGAACTTTTTTTCTGAAACGGCATAGTGTCGGCCCAGATCCGGGCCACATGTGGATTCAACGCGTACCAGATGTGGGCCGTTTTTATGATTATTTTGTTTTTATTTTATTATTATTGTACTTGTTTTAGAACGTTCAGAGACAATTTAAAAGTAACGTTCCCATAATGTTTGCAAAACTACAAAATGGAATGTTCCTTTAAAGCAACACCAAGTCACTTTTCCTCTGCGGTCGCCCTACAGGTTGGAAGCGGAATTGTTCATTACCGCTGTCGTACATAATTTAGCCTACTATCGCACGCACACGCACGCACAAGCTCTCTGTTTATCCAGCATCGGCTCAAAAGCTACCCGGCTGCTAGGTATCTTACATGTAGTTGTTGTCTACTGTCGAGTACGCTCCACCTATCGTGGATTGTAACGTTTGCCGTAAAGCAAGTAAAATTTGTAGTTTTCTTATGTCGTATTCGGACTACATTAACGCGACCCGATCTGACAATCTTATAGTGTGGATATATCAGATAAAGGACCGGCATAAGTACATTTCACCATGTCGCGACTTGATGAACCACTGAAACGATTTCGAAAACATTATTTTAAAGTAAAAATCTTACTTAGTGTTGCTTTAAAATTCACATAACCCTTTGTTGTTTTTCATACATTTACAAAAAACTGGACATTTTGAATAATTAGAAGTAGCGTTTTACTCTTAGAACATATTTTTGTTAACTGGGTAACAACAAAATAGGACTTACATGAATATTACAGATCTACATACTACTTGATCCTGCATTAATATTTAGGCCTTGTTTCCACCTGATATTAAGATGCGCTTTGTTTGACCGAATCACAAGTTCACGACACTTTCGACCACTTTCAGAGGCATTGCTTTCATAGTGTAAACGCTTTTGTGGTCGAACAACCACAAAAGACCGCCTCCCCTCCACCTACTGACGTAAACACTAGCCTCAACTTTGTCGGCTGGAGACCCAATTTTGGTTTGAAGATGAAAAATATACCAAGCACAATGTTCTCTGATCATTCCTGATTTGTAACACACACTCTCACAGCGTGAATAAACAGTTACAAATGCAATTTTTTCCTTTTGGGAAATGCTATTAGTGGTAGAAATGGTCTTTGGCCTATTTTTCGTTTATCCCGTGGGATGCGATAGAGTAAAAAATAAATGACTGTCATAGCAAATTGTAATAAATGTGAGCAATTTACAATGTATAGTCCATCATTTTCAAGATGAGCAGGCAGAATGGAGATGAAGTCCACATACCTATAAAAAGAAATGATAATAATAGAAAAGAATTATAATAATAACAACTGAGCAGAAGTGAAATATGAATGGTGCATAAGAACGAGACTCACTGTGAAAGTGTTGTACTGTTGTCAATGGCCTCTAGTACAGACACTGACAAAAGCAGAGGCTCTGTTTCTTCATCAAAAGCGCCTTTTAGACTCTGCAGACAATATGGAAGTTTGTGATTGAAATATATATTTGTTGTTTCTAACGTAAAACTCATTAAATGGGGATTTGTATGAAAATAGTAGTCCTTGCCTTTAGGAAATTTGAGAACAGCTCTTTGCTTCTGGTAGATGCGTCAGAAGTGAGGCCGTCCGGCCAAATCACGTCTAGACCGTCTAAACTCTTGTCCTTCAAGAATGTCAATACCGTTTGAGTGAAATTCTCAACACTGCCCTCATTAGCAGACATCAGATCCAACCTAAACAGCACCAAATGGAGTTTGTATCAGGTGATGCTAATGTGAAAAGTGAATACTTCATCCAATGAATCCAATCAATTTTTTAAAAACTCAATTTTTTTTCATCAGTAAGTACATTTAAAGTGGTCCAAAAAACACCGTTTTCAATCTTAAGGCCTGTTCACAGCAAGGATAATAACTATAATGATAACAATAAAGACTGTTTTAAAATCATTTGAAATAAAATAAAAATCAGATGAGTCCACCAAAGGTTAATGACAACGACAGAGAAATAATCTTGGAATCACTTTCACAATACTTTCTGATTCTGATACTTGCTGTTTTTATTTATTATTTATTTATTTTTCTCCCTTGTTATTGTATTTTATTTTGTTTTCAAAAGCCTCCCGTGGACAGGTGTTGAAAATTAGCATGTATATTATAATCACTAAAAACATAAAAAATGCATATGGCTTGTCCAATGTAATTGTATGTCCATGTCAAATAAAGATAAATAAAAAAATAATAATAATGACCTGATGAATGATAAAACGCTAATATAGTTACTGTTACAGTTATTATGGTGTGATTTTAGGTTGAAATTTTTGGTACCTTGATGATCTCACTTCCAATCCAAGCAAAATCTTCAAAGTTGGATTTCTAGGGAAAGATATATATTTCTATGAATATATATATATATATATATATATATATATATATATATATATATATATATATTACATTAGTTGTGGTCAAAATGGACAACTAACTGCTGAATAAAGTTTACTGAAAACAATACATGCAAAATATATACAGTATGGATGGATGGATATATGATTATGTTGCATGTGGAATTGAACAAGTGGTTGTTTTATAGTCAATTTGTAAAAATGTCAGAACAGCAGTCAAATAATGAGTCTAGAAAGAGATATCACTAATCAGACCTCTCCTTCATCGATCTAAGGATAATGCGGTCATCTTCCTTCAAGCTTTGGCGGTAAAGGTCTTCCTCACTGGAGATCGAGGGGAGAATGATATGAGTGCATGGGCCCTCACGTGTGCGGTGTGTTAAACCATCCAGATAACAGGTCAGTCTGTGATTCCTCTGCGCACCTGAGATGGACGAGTGAAACAGAACATGTTCTTGTTATTATCATCATCACTCTGAATGCCTTCAGCCGCAGCCTAAGGTTACTATTTCAGTTAAAGCTTGTTCTGCCTCTCAAAAGTGTCCCTCTCCAGTACTCTCTAATCTAGCAGCGGTGTGTTTGTACCAAATACAATGTTCTCCTTGAAAGGTGGCACTTACCCACTGAAATCACCAAGCAAAGGAATGCAAAAGCTGAAAAAAAAAAAACAATAGGAAAATCATTATTAATAACTTGATACATTCATCGATATGCATGATTTTCTATGAAAGATGTTAAAAAGTAGTTTCCAACAGTTGTTTTTTTAGAGCCTGTGGCTGTTCCAGTGTTCCGGAAACCTGCATTAATAACCACTTCCTGATGTCAGTGTGAGTGCTTTTACAGAAAATATCCAAATGCACAATTTTGTTGCAACGAATAGCCAAAAAATAAATACACCATATTAGATGCAATACCTTTACTGAGTCATTTTATGTTATTTGATTATATTTTGTGGAATGTGACATAAGAATCTTTTTTTTTGTGTGTGACAGATTCAAATTCAACATCAGTGAATAGCTACTTTAGATATTAATATATACTGCACTGTTCAAAATGTTGTGGCTGGAAAGATTTTTGTAGACTCTTATTTAAAAAAAGTATTTGCTGTATATATTTGTACAGTAAAAGTAATATTGTTAAATATTATTCAAATTGAATGTATTTTTTTTTCTATATAATATATTTAAAAATGTAATTTATTCTTGTGATGCAAAGCTGAATTTTCAGTATCATTATTCCAGTCCTTAGTGTCACATGATCCTTCAGAAAACATAATGATTTGCATAAAAACAGTGCAGGTTGTTATTATGGAAGAATAGAAAGTAAAAAAAAAATGCATTTATTTAAAATTGAACATTTGATAAATGTAATCTATTAAATTTACTTTTGAACAGTATTGTGAATTTAAAATATGAGGTTTAATAACAACATTTAAATGTCAAAGGCACAATGGTTTGAAGATCAAAAATAACAGCCTCAAATTAACATTTAAAATACAAAACAACGCAGAGTATACTTGCCTCTGATGAGCTGCATTATGCCTGAAGTAATCGTCTGGTGTATGGTCTGATAAAAGCAAACTGCAAAATAAACATACAGAAACCATGCACTTCCTGTCAACACTTGTCCCTTTTACACTTTGCGGATGACAAGCCCACATCCTGAAGACTAGTGTTGCACATGCACGCCAGGCCTGTGTTGTTTCTACACGTGCTACATGTTAAAACAATATGATGATTGCATTTGCAAAAATTGCATAGTTACAGCACAGAAGATGACATTTGAAACTAATAAACTTAAGCATTTTCTGCCAATAGATTTCTGATTTATTATATTAGGTCTGCAATCTCTTCTCATGCATTCATAGATCATGTATTACGTGATTACATAAAAAAACTTGCAGTGCAATTTCAGTTTTACAACGTAGGCTAGGTATCTTGAAATTATGTCATGATTCGATTACACTTCATTTTAAGGTGTTTGTGTTACAGTGCAGGTTACTGTGCAATAATAATTTACTACGTGTAAGTTACTTACATTAGGGTTAGGGTTTGGTGTTTTCTTAGGGTTGCATGCCAATGTCTAGCTATTACTACAGTAAATGTAACATGTCATCATGTGTAACCAGGACACTGTAAAATAAAGTGTTACCAATGATTCTTTAAGGAGTAGCAGGCCTACTTACATGTAGCTTCTGACATTTAGCTCATTTCGAATGGTTTAAGTGAGATTTCACATTCAGGGTTGCCAGGTGTGCGTAACAAAACAAGCCCAAACAAAAACAGACCACATCCCAACAACAAAGCTCAAATTAAGGCTCCCGATGATCCTCCTTCACAAAACTTAACATTAGACACAGTTTTATCTTTGATAGAATATAAAACCTTTCAACATAAGCATTTTAGTCGAAAGTAAATGACGCACTATGTCAAACATTTAACCCGCGGCGACAGTTTAAAAGTAGACGAATTCAGCGGGAAAAAGCCGGGTTTGGCAACCTTTCTGATGGGCTTAAGGACGGTGATCCCTTCTTCACTCCACATTAGGCTTTGTGTCTTGATACTGCTCGAAGAGCAGTATATCGCCACCCCTTGAAAAGGGGGGTGAAAATCTGTTTCAGCCTGTATACATCCTTAATGTAACTATTTGTTTTTAAAGTTTACATTTGAGGCACAATGGTGCGTCAGTCCTACAAAGCTATAACATAGGCTACATCTGTTTAGTCAATGAGTCTGCAGATATAAGCCGCAATGTAAAGTTATTTACAAGCAAATGTTTGAATGCTAAAATTTAAACGGAAAACATTTAGCCTACCACAAAACACTCATGTGGAAGCTTAGGTGAAGTAAAATAATATTATGAACTACTGCTCCCTGCTGGTAAGAAGAGTAATATCCTCAAACATACAAAACATTACATTTAATAGCCCACTTCAGACATTCGACTGACTATAATTAACTTTACTTTGCACACAAGTACGTCAATTTATTCTACTAACCTTTAAAACGTTACAGTCTACTAGTACTCTAATAAGAGTTGCAAATTAGTTGATGTAGTTGCAACGACTAAAGAGGACTATCGAAATGAAGTGTAATCAAAATTACTACTACAAAGTGCATGACTTTAGATCACTTTGTACATCAGGCACTCTCCAAAGTGAAAAATGAGGCAACACACAGGATTTGTGGTAGAGATTAAAACTACTTTAATCCCCTTAAATGTCCCAATGTAACAAGTACTGTGCAAAGTTTTAAACTGCAGGGAGTTTAACTGTAATCAGGAATAAATTTGCATACATCTGGTTAAAAGCAAACGTGATACAAAACTGCTTCACATACATGCTATAGAGTAAAATATTATCTGAAAAAAAGTTTGTTTTGAATGTGACCTTTTCTATTTGTTTAAACAAATAATACATTTAACATTTCTATGTGACCTAGTGCAATGTGATCGTGTTTTGTTACTTTCTGGCTCGTAAAAAAAATTATTATTTGACTATAAATTGTCAGTTCACAAACCTTCAAATCAAAACAATGTTTTTCTTCTCATTGAGATAATTATCAGGGGATACCAAATTAAATGTTGGTCTGTTTCTCATACAAAGCTATATAAGCTATATGTATAATATTGTACTTAGAATTTGAATGACATGACAGTGAATAAATTACTGATTTTTTTTAACTATTTCTTTAACATCTCAAATCAGACTCAAGCAACCACAATTAATATCTGCTCAAGAGACAGAACACAATCTTTCAAAGCACATGAATAAATAAAATAAAAAAACATAAACACATACTTGTTTTGTCTGGCAGAACATTGTAAAGAAAAGTAACATTTCAGATGACATAACATGGATATTTAGCATTCAACAATATTGTGAATTCAGCTACAATTTAGTGATTTAGGCCTATATGTAACTTAAAACAACATCTGCAGATGCCTAAGCACCAGTTAGTCCTTCATTCAATTTCTCCATCACCCTCACTAGTGGCAAAGAGAGGAACTGCATAATAATAATAATAATGCATCGCGCGGAACGGAATACTAGTCATACTGCCAAATATTTACAGTACTATGCATATAAAGATAGTATGAAAGAAAGTATGCAAAACAGAAGGCATGATGCAATAATCAACTTGGAATGCTACATTGTCTTACATGAGCGAGTAATAAATAATGCATGATCATTTTCATTTTTGCATGCCTTGCCCTTTAGTAATCTGATCAAATAATGAGTCAAGATGTTAAAAAAAATGCCTTTTTTTGGGCAAACGATACTGTTCAAAAGTATAGGGTTCGAAAGAATTTATTAATACTTTGATTTTTTTTATAGTACTTTAAAAAAATCTTTTCTTTTTATTTCTTCCACAAGGATGCATTAAAACGATCAAAAGTGACCGTAACGTTTTTAAAATTGATACAAAAAAATGTTTCTGTTTTTAAAAAAAGCTGTTCTTTTGAACGTCCTATTCAGCAAAGAATCCTTAAAAAAGCAACAAAATGTTTATAATGAGCAAATAAGCATTTTAGAATGATTTCTGAAAGATCATGTGACACCGAAGACTGGAATAATGATGCTGAAAATTCAGCTTTGAATCACATGATTAAATTACATTTGTTCAGCATAAGAGACTTCTTTCATATTTTTTTTAAAAACATATTACCGCCCCCCAAAATTAAAATTGGTAGTGTACATACTGTAGAAATAGTAGTACGGTAGTATGCTGTTCCAAACACAGTCACAAATAATTCTCAACTTCCAATCATAAATAAAACTAAGTATAAACAACGTTTAAAAAGCAATGATAAATGTCAAACAATAAAGAACACTGTCTGAAATCTATAGCAACATTAAAACCAACATTAAAGTCAATTTCACCATCGCTCCTAGATGGCCTAACAGCTCTGCAACAACTTGTCACAACAGCAGTCCCCTCAAAGCAACTTTTTTATACATTATATCTGCCCCAAATGGGTTCACAGTAGTAAACTCCATATAATTTGTGTGGTTTCTTATGGCCAGTGGATTTTTTTCAAATCTTTTCAATGGGAGCACTGCAAATTTAAGAAAGCCAGCAGCGTGACGAGGCGGGGATTTTTTCTCGTCGGAGAGATTTGAAAAATATTTGGGAAAAAGAAAAGATGCCATTGCCACCACACTGCACAGCCTTGTGCAAAAACTGCAGAGATTAAAGTTCCCAAATGGGATAACCTTTCACGGGTGAGAATGTTTGTGTTTTAATATGGATTAACTCAATATTACAGGTTTTTATGGTAACTTGGCAAATATGGTAAGTTTTTAATGTCATGTTAGCTGACATTTGCGTCTTGTGTTTGTTTAGCAAAATCATCTGCTGTGCTTTGCAGACATAGATATTCATATATGCATATAACTACGATTGCAGACCCAGTCAACTTGCTCTTGAGAGTTCACAGACCAGCTTTGATCATTCCAATATGGCGGACAGCTTACATATAGCGGCCCACTGAAACAGCCACTAATGAGGAATCTATGTATGTCTATGTATATGGATGGACACATGAATAATCTTCAAAGATGGCCACCATGTGAAATGACTAGCCTTCAAGGGACTTTGCCAATATGCATCCTTATTAAGGGGTAAATAAAATACAAAGGTGTCTCTTTAAGGGTACTGACCCAGTGACAAGTTTTTGCACCTCTAAATGTATTTGCATTTTTTTTCCGGCAGAAAAGGGGAGCCATCACTTCACACCTGACATTTGTAGAGAAGTTGCCCTGAGTAAAGTAACAACTACCTGTGAACACATCCTAGTGTATCCACTGGCTTCGAAACACTTTGACCCAATGTCAATATCAATCCCCCTATTAACTCAAAAAGACAGGAAAGAGGCAGATCACAGACATGACATTCACCAACTTCTTACTCCAGGGCCCGGATCTGAGGGGAAGGAGGGGCTGAGATTTGAGTCTTTTCTGTGAAAGCAAGGAGGCCGTTAAGACGGTATTAAAAAAGGAGAACCATCAATCCATCCTTCATCTCCACATCGGTGGCTTCACCTGCCAATCGCAACTACAAATCCTTTGCAGCTGAAGCAGCCAATCAAAAGTCACTGAGGATGCTGATGTCAGCAAACTCCTGGCGGTAACGGAAAGAGTACATGCCCAGCAGGAAGGCCCATTTAAGAGTCATGAAGCTCCACACGGCCGACAGATAGAAGCTCTTGGGGTCAGTTAATGCTAAAGACAAAAACATACAGAACGGATTACAGCCAACACTATAATCTTGCATTATTACAGATTTTGAGTGGGGAAATATTTTATTCGACAAAGATGTCCATGTGAAGGTACTTACACTGCTTTTCTATAACGGCTAGAGTTATGAAGGTGGCAAAAGCAGAAACAGCCAAGAGGGAGAAGACAGAACTAACAAACATGAAGAACTTGAGTCCCTTCAGCCATGTGCGCCAGTAGTCCTGAATGTACATAATGTGAGTGACCAATGCCCAGAGTGCCAGAACGCCTGTAGATTTAAACACATACACACTTTATGAGATTAATAACCTATCTATCTCTATCTATCTATCTATCAAAGGTTTATCCAGTTATAACACATTCAGCAATTACAATTACAGTGGGACCCAAAAGACATTTTTATCTCCGCTATTTCCGTTTTTATACCATTTCATATTATAAATAATATTCAAAACAGCATAACAATTTGAGTGAAAATAAAACTCACAAATAAAACTTGCACAAACACTGTTTATTTGAGTCGTTGGTGAAAATTATTTAATATACATTATTAAATATTGTTGATTACTTTTATCATAGCTTATTTTTTTGAACATTTTCTGTTCAATCAATGACTTTTGCAGCACAGCATGTAACGTTACTGTGTTTCTTTAATCGCCTCTCTGTCTGCATAGGGTACAGATGGTCAAATATCTGCATATTTGCGGGTTATTATATCCAAACTCAATCTAAGAATATAGCAGGCTGATTTTTTGAAAGACATAAATAATATAATCACCAGTTGTATCTGTATTGGAAAGGCAAACCTTCCACAGCAGACTTATTTAACACAATCATGTGACAGCAGATCGTGTCAACCGCAAGATCACACAATGCATGCAATTCACCATATTAAAAAATCATGACAGTAACAGAAACACGATGTGAAATCTTTATATTTGACAATGGATATGTGAAGGCTGTGGCCTTGAGTTTATTTCCAGACCTGATAATCCGCCCATCGCCGCCGTCCACGGTTGTTTATAAACCACATTCCACACGATAAACGCTGAAAACCCCACCAACATGCCGAATGTGGCATAACCTACACTAATATAAATTCTGTTTGGACCCATTAATGATGTATAAAGTAGCGCAATAAAGCTGTAGAAAGAGGCTGGACAGAACGATTACAACATCGACGAAGGATTATGCAATTCACCGCTGCTTATTCGTAAACACGACTTTACGACCCGGAAGAGCTCCGCGTATCACCAAAGCAACCATAAACAACCATAACCTCGCAGTCCCCGGATGTTCAGTTGAACAAAACGTTTTATTGTATTTAAATATGCATTTTAACCAACAAAAGATGTTCTATATAATATCACGGAGTCCTTAATTCCATTAGTCAACATTGGCTACTCACAATCTGACAATGTGCAATGACGCATTAAGTTGGTTCATTACTGAATTTAGTATTTACTCGTGAAAATTTAAATTTACAGGCTATGCATGCTCATTAAATACTCATAGTTTATTTTAGATAATTACATTAGGCTATAATAGCATGGGTATAAAATGTGACCGAAGGTTGCAAAATAATATAATAAATAGTAGGCTATTACAAAATAATACAATATTTATGAAATGTGGTAAGCACTCTTTTTTTTTCATGTTTAATTGTATGAATGCACATGACAGCCAGCCTATAACTTTATTTTCTTTCTAGGCCTAATGCAGAACAAACATACAAAAGGTGATAATCTAAAACTGAGGAAAAGTGTGTCAAAAAATGTAGTAATTTATCAATAAATGCTGCGTTAGAGCCAATAGAGTTTCTAAACCGGTGGGCAGGGAACCTCTAGGGGGGCAAAGGATGACTTAAATTATTCCAATTATGAATTTAATGAATAAATTAATAAAAAAAACAGTAACATAAAATGGAAACATCATATTTCTTTATTTCATTTCACCTCAATAACTATTGTTTCCAGGTTTGATGATGAATGATTTTTTCATAATTATTCCAAGAATACTTTTATTTTAAAATTGTGTTGCACAATGGTGGGCCTTTAAAGATTGAGAATTACTACAATAAGACATGTCACACATTTCTCTTGTTGTTTGTGCCGCACTGAAGATGGTGGTTTTAATCAGTTTGATCTTTTCTCAGTGGTTTTAATCTGAAACTCCCTCTCAGAACAACAGTAATTGTGAAACGAAGCATTTGCAAAAGCATGTTGTAAAGCTGCAAGTGATCATTGTAGAATAGAAGAAACGCTATACAGATTTTATCACAGCTGACATCATTCACAAATTTTCCCTCGTGCATCTTCACTATCCTTCAAGCATATGCATACAAAGAGCAGAATGACATGCCTTTATACTATATTTAAAACACAACAGTCAATTAAAAATGATTAATTAAACAAAAAGTGATATAAAAACTGGGGAAAAGTGTGTATTATTAATTCATTAGCTCCACAGACACTATGACATATAACAAAGTAGCACTTCGTTTTATAGTCCTATTCCCCACTTATAATTATGAGTAATAACTTACCCCTAAACCCAAACTTATGTTGTTACAGTACTTTATATACCCAATAACGTACTTTCTTAGGTATAAAACAAAGTGCAACCCAACAGTATAAACAGAAAAGAGTCAGATCCATTCAGATTCTAAAAATCTAGTAGTGTTGACCATGAGCACAACATTTTTGGGTGCACATGTAAAAAGAATGAAAGTCCAGTGTGAAGCGAACTAAATCAAGGGGTCACAGATGTACTTTGGCCTCACTTCCCCCAGACAGTCACCGTGGATAACTGAAATATTAAGGCTTTTAGCCCTAATTCGAGGAAATGGAAGACAACAAGTGTCATCAAGCTTCTCGACACACCTTCTCAAGTCAACCTTTATGAAATAAACACCAGGCCACATTTTATGTCACCAATGAGAGCGCAGCAGGATGCCGGTAACTCGCGTGGCTTCAGTGATTCCAATGAGATCAAAACTCAGTGGTTTCCTCTGTCTGCTTCACAGGCAACACAGAGACACGAAGAGATCACACAGAGATATATGCATCGCCTTAAAGACAAGAAACACGAGACTGTCCAGACAAAAACTATTTGGAGAAATGAACACACTGCCAACATCAGATATACCAGACATAGATACAGGTAAGCGTGTTTCTGAAGTATATCACTGAAAGATGCAACCCTTTACTTTGTGTTTGAGACAATGTGTGATTTTGTGTAACATCGCACTCTTATAAAGGTTCTTTATTGGCATTGGTGGTTTCGTGAAGAAGCTTTAACATCCCCTTTCGTTCCACAAAAGGTTCTTTATAGTGGAAAAGGGTTCTTTAGATTATTCAAATGTTCTTCAATCACACCAAGACACAAATTGTTATTTTACTGAAATATTATTAGAAAACCAGAAATGCTTCTTAATGGCATTGCTTTGAAAGCTGCCTTTTGAAAGTGTACAGTAACTTATTGACCCTGAAAAATGACTTTAGTTAAATAATGATTAGATCATTATCATATTTTTTGATTAGTGTTATATGTAAGGTTTCATTAGAACATTATTTATTAATCTTTAATGTTAATTTCAACATACAGTACTTATACATTTTTTAAATGAAAAGTTGTGTTTTTTAATATGAGCTAATGCATTGTAAAGAAACACGAACAAACTATGAACAGCTGTATTTTTATTAACGTTAACAAAGATGTATAAATACTGCAACAAATGTATTGCTCATACTGTAGTTAGTTTGGTAATATTTTAATGGGACAGTTACACGTTACTATATGTACTTACTAGTAATAACAGTAAATTAGGCATGATTACAGGTAACTAACCCTAAACATAACCCTAATCGTAACTCTATAGTACGTAAGTACATATTAATCTGTTATTTGAGTACAATGTAACTATCACCCTAAAATAAAGAGTAACCGTTAGTTCATGTTAGTTAATAGTTAATGGTTAACAAATGAAACCTTATTGTAAATTGTGTTTACAGTGTTTTTGACTAATTTCAAACACATTTAGAATAACATTTATTTAATTAAATTAGTTTAGGTGTGCCTATGACACATGAGTACTTGACTACAAAATATTTTACAGTGCTGATAGAAAAAATGGGCAGATTTGCCAACATTTATCCTGAAACATGAAACAATTGTGTCTCAAATTGGTTGAAATGTTGCCCATGTGTGCGTATTTAATAATCTTCAGTCCATCAGATGGCTAACTGTTGGAAATTCTGTGGGCCAGTGATTCATCGTGATGCTGGGAAAGTTAAGCGGCTTGTAGGTGACAGGTGGGCACGAGAAAGAGAGAGAGAGAGCGAGAACTTGCAAAAGCCCCCTAAATAGCACACAGGAAGCAACACGATGGTAATGTGAGATAGGTGTGCATTTAAAACATCTCCCTCCCAATGCTTTCATCGCTTCATATGTCACTGGACTTCCAATATAAACACTATATCCTTCCTGCATGGGCGCTGAACATGGGAAGGAAAGGCTGATTTGGAATGACAGGATTTATGAGCATGCAAAATCACACAGTGTTCTGGAACTACAGACGGATGGCCGAGAAACCGAAACAATCTTCATGCTCATGAGTGCGATGCTCAAGATTCCAGTGTGCCAGGACATTAATGTGTGTGATTTTTGTTTCGTTTTTAAATTGTGTCTACAGGGAGCTGATGATTGATTACAAAAGGCTGTGATTTGTTGCAGGAAGTCCTACACCCTTTCCCATAGGAACTGTGTTCTTTCTGTGATGGGAAAGGTTTTATATGTAGGTACTGGTCTGCCAGTTAAAACTAGCTGTATGTGTATATTCTGGGTTGGGTGTTTTATGCAAATACAGAATATAAGATTCTTAAGACATTCTGTAAAACATCTTCACAAAATTGGCTCCTATTTATCAAGTGTGTAAAATGTACTAGCTATAAACGCACACTAGAGGGCACACTAAGTTGTTCAATTGCTCATTCTTTTGGTTATTGATTTGAACGAACCCCTAAACTCCCTAATTGGCCCATAACATAACCTGTTATGCTACCAACACTGTAATAAAACCTCAAATTGATTATCTGGCTTAATGTTGTGTTCAAATTTTCAGTCACACATAATATATTAAAATCTCATTTTAAAACGATATGTATTTAAATATATTTCTAGTAATAACAGTGCAAAAAAATCTTTTCATGATTAGTAATCACAACTTTTTTTCTTTTGTCAAATCAACTTAAATAATTTATTTAGTTCAGATAACATATAATTTTGAGTTTCTGATGATTAAATCATTCTCCTTTCATGTATCAACTCACTTTTTCCATTTCAATGAACTTACATTTTTAAGGTAACCAGGTTACTTACTTTTTTAAGGTAAACCAACAATATTTTTTTACAGTGAATAGATATAAATTTCAAATGATTAATATTAATTTAATAAATTAAATTTTATAATTAAATAAATACATTAAATTTATATTTAAGATAAATAGGCCTATGGAAATACATTTAATTTTAATTTACCGAATAAATAAATAAATTGATTTAGTCAAATAAATTATAAATAAAAAATAGATTGCCTATGTTTGACCTTTATTCACTCTTAAAAATAAAGGTTCTTTATAGGCATATATATGTTGTTGTTTTTTTTTTTTTTTTTTTTTTTTTAAAGGTTCTTTGGATGATTAAAATATTACTGTTCAGTGTTTACTGAAAGGTTAGGGAATCAAAAACGCATCTTTTTAGAGTTGCAGTGAAAAATAATGGTTCTTTTATGGCATCGCCTTTCTGAACCTTTATATTTGAGAGTGTTTTACCAGGAAAATAAAAACTATTGATATATTTAAAATGTCTTTTACAAGAGTCCTGGCCAAGACATTACAAAAAATAAGACACGATACATGAAAACAGCACAAATGTCAATAAAATATTTAACATCACGGTCACCTCAAACAGCGGTTTGAGACAAAAATGGGCTTTGCTAAACGTTTCTTCTATTTCTAAGTGAACTAGGGTGTTAAAAGCCTATTGTCTATGTGTGAGTTGATCTAAAATATCTTTTGTTCTCATCGCAGAAACTACATATCTAGAAAAGGCATCCACATCTTTACATCTCACCTCCACACAAACACATTTTGACCCTCTAAAACAATGGCAGACCAAGTGTCTCTATCTGATCTGAGTTAAAACTCTTTATCACTCTTTATCAGATACAAACTACCACGTTCAAGTGCCTTGTGAGGGTCACATGCAGGAGAACTGGATTCCTGGGTCCTGTCATAGGCAACCACTGACACACACACACACACACACACACACACACACACACACACACACACACACACACACACACACACACACACACACACACACACACACACACACACACACACACACACACACACACACAAACATGCAGAAATACACTTTGAAATATGCAGAGAAAGTCAGGCGCACAGCTAAAAGGAGCGATTGTGGATCGCCTTTCTTTCATTTACTGAGGCCTTAGGGTTTATATCATAAGTTACTGTGTGAAGTGAGAAGTATGGAGGATATACGTGCCAGAATGTTATCGAATTCTTTAAACAGATCTTGTCTGCCAAGAAGAAAAACGGATTTGGTAAGAAAAATCTGATGCTGTTCTATTGAAGTGAATGCCTGTGCATGATCAGTTCACATAGCAATGAGTTTTTCTACTTGAGTGCACAAATGCATGTACTGTATGAGTACTTGCGTATAGCACTTTCCTCAAGCAGGGTACAAAATATGACTTGGTACTCAAAATAATAGTCTAAAATAGTCTGTAAAAGCAGGTACTTAGACCTCCTGATCACCAACCTAATATTATAAGCAGCTGCATGTTTTCATGCTTATTTCATTTATATGAGGTTTGAAATATTTACAATCATGTTGCCAAAATTCAGGACAAAATAAATATTTAATATTTCATTAAATGTATAAAATCTGGATGGATGGACAGTTTGGGGTTTATCTATATGCCCTGTAAATTAAAGATATGTATATATTCATGATTGAATGGTTGAGCTTGACAAATTATTTATTGACTTTTGAAAAAAATATATAAAATGGAATAAACTGAATTTGAATGGAATGGAATTGACTTGCCTTCTAGTTATGTTGTAAAAAAAGGTAATTAAGGAGGTTACCATATAGGCTATTCTTATGCAAAATCAATATTATATTCTTAAACAATTTACTTATCTAAAAATCAAGGTATAGGAAGCAAAATATGATCATTGAAACTAAATATTAAATTCAAATATTACTTTTTTGTACTTGCATGCACTTAGAGTGTACCTATAAAGTACTGGTTAATATAAGATATGTTTAGGGGTAAGTTCAGGGTTAGCAGCTATATTACCCAGAATTACTATAATAAGTACATAGTATGTACATGGGGAACAGGACTGTAAAATAAAGTGCTACCTAAATTCTTGTTAATTAGTTAGTCATTAAACTTGTTTTATGACATTTAACATCAGTTAAACAAATTGTGTCAAAATCATATTTTTGCATGATTTTGAATTCATGAACTCTTGACGTGTCCATGCAAAACACACAAAAAATATAGATATTTAATGTTTAAAACAAGCCACTTTTCAGGTTAATGTAGGATTTGAGCCTCTAATTCTTTTTAGTCATAGAATTCAAAGTGTGCCATTCATGGATACTGTACATGCACACAACTTTTTCAATCTCATGCTGAAACACAGACTACTTTATCTCCAGTCTTGGAGAAAGATGTTGGTTTTGTGGGTCTGTTTCTGCAGTGCTGCCAGACAGAGATAATATGGGACAACAGTTGAGAAATATTTTGAGGCCGTCGTTGAAGAAGGTAGGTGAACAGAGCCAGAACAGGGAAACTGCTAATTCAAGGAATCTTTGCAAACAACCAGTTACAACATATTAATCATTCATTACTCCCAGCCAGGAGTTTAGCATAACACATTATCACGTAATTAAAGCGGTTACGCTGCCTTCACACTGGCAGTTGAAATCAGCTCCGATGCGGCTGCGAAACGACCGGAAGTCATTCATTTCCTATGGAGATTCGCAGACCGCATGCGAATGGGTCCGAAACGGGTCCGACCGAGTGCGGTGCGAAGAAAATCGTGTCCGTTGGTCATCCGCATGCGTTCAAAAATTTGAACTCTTGCGAAAAGCTACGGACGGTTCCTATCCGACAATTCCAGCGGAAGTTGACCGTTGCTATGGTACTGATAAACAAACATGAATTATTAACTTTGAATAAAATAAATAGTGATTTTATAACGATAAGTTGTGATGTCATTTTTTATTTTCATGACTTTCTAACGTTTATAAGGGCAGTTAATACAATTAAATTGAAGGTAGACATTGAACTATTGACCACTATATCACATTTTTTAGCCGACCTGACATGTCAACGTCCTGAGCAACTTTCCTCACGCAGCATAACCCTCATCAGAGAGATCATACAGAACTGACAGAATCAAACTTTAATCTCTCCGCCATTTTTGTTCTACCCGCGTCCGACGCTTTTCACTGTGTAGTACGACGTCCGTTGGGAACGTATTGCGTATTACGGAGCTGATTTCAACTGCCAGTGTGAAGGCGGCGTTAGTGTTCCGAACTAATTTAGCGCAAAAAAATGTGAGACCTAATACACAGCGTATTGCGAGACACAACTTTTCTGTTGCTGTGTTTCCCCAAAGCTTCACATATCATTGCCTAATGAACATGCATATGCAAAAAAAGCATCAAAATAACTGGTATTGCACTATTTTGGATTGAGGGGTGGACCAGAAATGGCTGATAAACTCCCAAAAACAGTCTCTGTGTTGTTATATTTCACTCCTCCAGGAAGGGAAGATACTCCTGAAACAATAGCCGGGGTCTAAACAAATATTACGTAATGTTCCCTGACCTCCAGCCACATGGACATTCTCAAATTGAGACAGGTTTTAAGATCGCCCCCCAGCGTGACCTGTGACTATACAGAGGGCGTACAGTATTGCCCACGTTGGGGTGATGCCTATTGAAGTGAATGAAACTCATTCCTCAAAAAAGTCATACATTTTTTGGTATTAATATTGGACATCTGGTTTAGTATAAGTGCTGTTTCAATCCTTATGTGAGCTGGTCACCAATGCAGCATATTTTGGCATTGCAGCATTGCTCCAAATATAGTTCTTTTTGTAATTTATATTAGGAATGTGTTGCTGCACATTAAGCCAGTTACTCTATAATGTTTCTTTTTTTTAGTTACAATGCAGTTGCTAGACAGTGCGATTTTGGAACAGAGCTAGAGTTTCTATTTTTGGGAACAACTTACAATAAACAATACTTTCCATCAGAGTTCACAATATCCATCCACTGGGTTTGTGGGAGTCATGAGATCTCACAAATCATGAGCATGAGATGGGAAATAAAATGATGTAACAGTAAAAGGAGAGCAGATTGAATCAAACAGCACTGACTTCCTTTTCTTTCTTTTGTGTCTCCTCATCCTCAGAGGCTCCTGCAGCAGTCATGTGTTCGGCAGACACAATCTTCCGGTCGTCCCTGCGCTCGTCCCTGGAACAGGTACAGAATACAGATCACTAACTTATATTTTATATGTCTAATGTGTGGTCAGAGTATCTTTATAAAACATAAACTCAACTATTAATTGCTTTTTTACTATGCAATGGGATAATTCATGGTTATCTCATGCACCAACTCTAAATCAAACACAGCAACCCCAGTTGTGCTACATTGTAAACATTCGTAACTCATTTTGAAAAGGGGGAAGCGTGTTCAAATTTCAAAAGGATTTTAAGCAAAGTCGGGAAAATGTGTCCTATTCAAAGTTTGATTTCCTTTTAATTGACTGTTTCACCTCAACCTTGGCACCTGCACCATAAATAAGGTGGGTTATGGACACGCCCCCTGATCCTCAACCCCTCAAGGTTTATCATGCAGCTGGAACACACAGATAAGAGAGCTGAAGGAGAGACAGAGTGTGTTATTGAGTCAAACGCATTATTTTCCCTGCTCTAGCGTTTCTTTTACTGCTTGATGCAGGGGTCTGTAATGCTAGGTTCTACATATCTGGATGCAGACGTAATAATCCTTCAGTCTATGAGACTACGTACATGGGAAGCTGTGTTTTGTTCTGCTTCATAACCTCCTTTTTCTGTCTCTTAAAATGTTTATTGCTATGTCCAAACATTTTATTATGCATAAGAGATTATTCATTCATGGCATGCACATTCAAATGTTTAGATGTGTCACACAACATATTGTAGGCCTATATTTTAATGTACAGTCTGTATAGGCAATATAAGAAATAGCATAATAGCAGCTGTCACTGCCTTTGTACCTTATTTACACCTTAAGGGTATAAATTAGTACCTTTTGAAAGGGTGCTACCCCAGTGACAGCTTTTGTGTAATTCACATTCATATTTTAATGTAGGCTACATAATTTACTGATCTGTTAAGCATTATATTCAGAGTAGTTTCCATGTTTTAATATATCATATTGTAACTGATTTAGTCAATGTAACGACCATAATGGTCAATACATTACTTTAGCATCATTGTTTTTGCATCTTTTATTAATATTTTGAATTCGTTTTTATTTTGATATTTTCCATTTTAGCTAAAGTTATAGTCATTTTTAATGTTTTTGACATTTTTATTAGTTTGTGTTTTTATCCCTATATATAGCAATTTGATGTATTTAGGTAGTAGCCTACATAGATATACCAACGTTAGACTACATGAAACAAGAAAAGTTGCCTTGGAAAGTAGCTGAATATTTCAAAGTTAACATTAGGCCTACATTTATTTAATGTAACAGAATGTATGTTACATAAATAAATGTTTTAGTAAAAGTCCCCATGATGTTTTTGGGCTTTTAGGATGAATGGTAACTAACCTTACTGTTGTTATCTATAAGCTAATGCTCCAAGACAATTCGCGTTTAAATGTGTGCCTACATTTCCCACGAAGTGAATGTCATTAGGAAGTTTTACCTCGATTATTTCACACAAAGAATAAACACCAAACGAAAACAAAGGCTATATATACGATAGTAAAGTTAGTCCGAATAAATTTGATGTAAACAAACACCTGGGGAAATCAAAGCGGACGCTGGTTAGTGCAGTATGAGGCGCGCGCCCTGACAGGGGCGGGAGCGGGAGCGCGCAGGCTCGTCTGACAGCGAACAGCAGGTTTTTAATGGCATTCGCAGCCTGGACTCACACGCACGTAGGAATGCAGCGTGCCGGTCGGGTTGTCTTTAAGCAGGGGTTGTCAAATCCTTATTGGAGATGTAGTTTTCGCCATGTGTTGCTGCAACAGATGATCTCGAAGTAAAATTATTTGTGATACATCGGACTTGACTGAAACATGCATCTCTTTCGGAGTTGTAATTACCGAATCTTTCCCGATCGCTGTTCCAATGAAAAAACACCTCAGATCCGAGGAATCAGCTGGGTAAGTGGGCATATAATACATAATAATAAACATAGAATTGTTATTCAAGAGAGAGGGAAAGGTATGACAACTTCTAGGCTATTATCTGGTTATTCAACGAAATATGAAAAGGTTTGAAAAGATTTGAAACATACTTTCAAATCATTTTAAATGTTAATAAATTATAGTATGTGAATATGTTGCTTTAAAAACCTTTCAATTTTGATTTAAAGTGCCAAATGTTATCGCCATGGAGAAAGAATATTTTGTTTACTTATTTTTTTTTTTTAAGTTTTTATTAGGCTACAAATATTAGGTGTCTGCTTTTCTTCGTTTACACATATCCACAAAAGGCAGCCCTTTCTTGAAATACCTCAAACAATGTTTTCTATTTTTGAACGTTATAGTGCAGTTTTTTTTTCTGAGCACCATATTTACTGTGTTATAGCTAATAAAGTGCATTAGCTTGTGTGTTATGATGTGTTAAGTGTGTCAATGCCAAATGATGTAAATCCAGAGACACTTTGAACATGAACCCAAACAGCCGGAGCTTTGGATTTTTGTTGTAGCCTAAATGTTTTTCTGTTTACATGTTGTTAAAGGGTTAATCAAGGATGAGTTATTTATAGCGTATTGTTCATTGTCCATCTTAAGGTTTGTTCCCTTATGGTTTGGAAAAGAATGTGCACAGGAAGACCCACACCGCTGTAGACCTTAGTGAACAATATAGTGAACTTTAGTGAACTACAGAGTAAATATCATAAAATGAGCATGTTTTCCCAAAATGAAGGATGTAAATTCAAAAAGACACTGATCTCTTTTAGATTACATTCATTTCTTAGTTTTGATAATTTGACTTTCGTGACAATATCAAAAAGAAAATACTCAAAACACGAGATCAGGAAACATAGGGCACTGTGTAAACCTTACGGGTGATTTCCCATTCCCATATCACATTAACACCATTAACTTGAATATACACTTTCATACTTATTCAAATACATGTCAAACAGATGATCCAATCAGGAAACTGTTTCTGCTCTGATGATTGTTAGTCGTGGAGCAGTGGTCTTGTATGTCGAGACCCAAATGTCCCTGTCCTATACATTCCAGCAATAAGGGTCCTGACTCGGAATGAAATACCTCACATTGCACAAGGACCCCCTGAGAAAGAGATAAAGAGGCTCATTTAAAGAGAATGTGTTATGTCAATGTGCCACGGTCTGCACCCCATCAGGGTTGAAGTGTTTTTTTTCCTATAACTGATTTTTTTTTAGTATATTTCAATTGAAAACCACTGAACCTCAGCCTGAAATATCAGTCTAAGACCATCCTGCACTGATCATACTATAATATATTTGTGTCGACCTTATAAGTAGGATTCTAATAAGAGTTAAGATAAATGGCAAGTTGTATTTAATTTAAATGATAATATCTATCTATCTATCTATCTATCTATCTATCTATCTATCTATCTATCTATCTATCTATCTATCTATCTATCTATCTATCTATCTATCTATCTATCTATCTATCTATCTATCTATCTATATAAGAAATGAAGGCACTTGTCAATAGCATTTGACGATCAGGTGATCTCAGACACTTCCCAGCACCGTCATTAGACTTAGAGTCAATATCTTTGTGTAATTTCCCTCTCGTACCGGAGCATGTGATCCAGTCGGCTGCAGTTTCACTCTACACAGTTTACTCAGTCAACAGAGCCACAGGGTGGAGAGATCTCCACGCTGGCTAACCTTATACAAAGGTAAATCAAGCATGAGGATGCAGTGAACCTGACCACCTGAGGATCATCCAACCATTTTTACTGTCTACTGCTGCGGTTGAAAGGGAAACCAAGCAGGGAAAATGCTGGGGGGGAAAACCAGATCAGCTTATCCCTATAAGATCTTATTGAGAAATGATACATCAGCCTTAAATGTTGGTGCTGTTGACTCAAAGCTGATGGGTTTTATGTAGGCGTCTGCTGTATTAACTCCCTGTGTGGTGTGGTGCTTCCAAGAATAGTAAAAAATCATTTACTCACCTGCATGACGTTCCAAACCCATGGCTGACTTTCCTCTGTGGGACACCAAAGGTGATGTTTAGCTCAAACTGGTCTCGTTTAGTGAAATCCTATTGGTTTTGAATGACATCAGTGTGAATAAATCATGATAGATCTAGAACAAGAAAGGAGAAAGCCTTAAGTATTATCATAATAACCATGAGCCATTGTAATTGAGAGGGGAAAAAAAAGATTAGTTTTCACAAAAAACTATAAAGATACATTATCAGGGCAAGCCCCAAAATAGATGGATATGCTTCACAGAATTAGTCAGCAGATGCTGAGTAACACCTGCCATGGAACGGAGGCTGACAATGCCTCATAAAAACAGAGTTATGAACTCTCTGCCATATGAGCAGAAGGGAATCAGGTAGAATTTGGTCAGTTTAAGACTGTGGAGATTTTCTCTTTATCTGAAGTCTAGCAGCATCTCAACTGGTAGTTCAAGTCGGTTCACCTGACATCATGGTAACGCCCCCTGTAGCTATTTTCTAGTCGCACAAGTACAGCTCGCGTCTGTTTGAATAAGACTGAAATCTCCAAGCTTGCATTTCAGTAACATTTCAAATCAGAGTATCATAAATTCTCCCTCAAACCAGGCTAAAAGGGCTCAGTTTCATTAGTGATTTTTTTTTAAATGTAATTGCATTGCTCATTAATGGTATATGATTTGGTTCTTTCCAAAATGTGTCAAGGTTTTAGGCTTTGCATACAGAGATTTTTTCCATACAATACTAAACTTATGCAATTGTGAGGTTTTGACAGTTAAAGAGCTGAGAATACTACACTGGTTGATAGCTGATAGCAAAATAAAATGGTTTGGTTGGAATATTTAATAAACTTGCATGCTTTAGAGCATGAGGTGTTTATGGCATTCTGTGGTACGCCGAATCCATGTGGTCCTGGTTATCCATCTGTACAATGAGATATGATGCATTGTCCAGAGATAACCCTATAGGTCAGATCATTTCAGAATCAATCGCTGAAACGCATTTGGGCATCTAAATCACTAGTGGTTAACAGCTTAACATTAAATATTTAAACGCACTTCATCCATAATTCTCTCTTCAGGATTGATGCTCTATTTTCAACATGTAAAAGAGAGAGATGCTCTTGGCTCTTGATTGCAGACAGAGATCAGAACTGATGGCGATTGTTGTTAGTTAATAGCTGGACTGAGAACCAAAAACTTGATTGCCTCTTGAGCAGGAATCCCATCAGATATGCATGATTACAACCTGTTCATTCTCAAGTATGTGGTTCAGTTCAGATGGATGAAATCACTCGAATGCATCCGTCCTCTTTTTAAAGGCTCATTTCAGTGACTTGCGTTTTCAATGACATAATGAGGATTAAAGGAACAGTTCTTGCAGAAATGAAAATCGTCATTATTAGTCTTATATAGTAGCATTGTCATTGTCATTTGTCTGACATGCCAAAAGTAATACATTATTGCACAGACATTACACAGATCTGATGAATACACACTGATATTATATATATATATATATATATATTTATATGCACACATTTTGACATTTAGTTATTAATATATATATATATATATATATATATATATATATATATATAATAGGCTATTATTTTTATATTACTACCAAATATTGTATTATAAAATATATTTTTTTAATTGTTAAATGTTTAAAATTTCCATAATATATATATATATATATATATATATATATAATAGGCTATTATTTTTATATTACTACCTAACATTGTATTATAAAATATATTTTTTTTTAATTGTTAAATGTTTAAAATTTCCACAAAATGCAGATTAGCCGTATTTAATTAGTCTTCTGTTGTGTACAACAATGCCCTTATCTACCACATTGTTTAATGTTTTGCATTTTGCACAGCACTCAGTCAAGCAAGTTGTATTGTAAAGACAAAGGCTAAACTTCTGTCCTTCCTCCACCTCGCAAACTTATGGAGCCAAACATTCCTCTTGAATTCCTATGTGAACCTTAATTACATTGTTGCTGTTAATTAGTCTTGCTGAGAGGGAGGCAGGTGGCAAAGATCTTGTGCAGGGCTAGTGTCAAATACCACACATGATGGCATTAGTATGGCATGTCTTCTGACATTCTTTAGCCTTCTGTGCCTTTGTGTTGCCGTGTCTTAATATTTGTGACGCCGTACGTGACGGACAAAATGGCATTTTGCCAGTGACGGATTGATCTTATAACCTCTATAATACTTTGAAACTAGATTTTCGTTAACACTAATTCTCTCTCTGTTTTCCTCCTCACAGACACCTCTGCCAGACGCTGTGGATACACAAGACACCATCAAACAGGTATGACGGTCTTTGAACAGTGGCTTGGGTTTAGTATATTTTAACAAGCCTTAAAGGGAGAGCTCACCAGCCAAAAATGTTTACACGACACTATTTTCAACTTGTACAAACCAAAAACTTAATATCGCCATTCATTTCCACAACGTCTCAAAGTGCAAGTTTTTGAAAATTATATCGTTATTGTTTCAGTGTAAACTACAAAAACTGTGACTTTGCATGCGTATTATGCGTTCGGTCTATAGGCGCGTAATGTTTCTTTTCAAATTGACTTTGATAACTATACTGGCCTGACAGCATAATACAGCGTTTAGTTTTCGCGGATCTGTGTGAACGGAGATCGTTTCAACAACGTTGTCGTCTGTACTAATCTTTCCATTTTTAGTACATTGCTGTCATGTAAATGTACAGTACCCTAAGGGCCTTATTTTAACGACAAGTATCAAACGCGAAACGCAAGTAACTTTGTGGGCGGATCTTAAGATCGAAACATATTTACGGGAAATCGCAATGGAAGACGATTTCGATAGATCGGAATATGTTTAGTGAAAGGTAAAACTTCCGAAATTTTTCAAAAGCACCACACAAGTATCGTAAAAGCAGCCCATATGACTCATTCACTATAATCCAAGTCTTCTGAAGCCAAACGATAGCTTTATGAGGAACATTGAAGTTGCATTAGTCATATGGCTAATTTTTTAAATACTTTTAGACTTACACAGAGCTAAATGGTAATGGAATTTTTAGGTGATCTTCCTCTTTAAATAAGCTCTACTATGTTCCAGCATGTTCCTACAGGGATGTGTGGCATTGCATACTCTATCTCTTTAACAGAAAGCATGCTTTTATCTACACACCTCTGACCTCTGTGTGTTCATAATATCATGCTCGCAGAGATTGTAGAGGGTGGCGCTCTGTGCAATTTTCTTGAGGATATAAAAGGGCTGATGAAACTCTAAATAAGGTTTAAAACACAACATGCTAAATCTTGTGGAGACATTTTCCTGCCCTACACACCCATATGTCACAGAATTCCTCCAGAATGTGTGAGGCCACAATAAATAGATCAAATAGATTAATTTTAAACACATTTTGTTGCCGTTTTTGACAAACCACCACAATTACTCCTATGAGTGATCAAAACACAGGTCTGTCATTTCATTTCAAGTGCCATTTCAAGTGGATTTGCAATATTTTGTGCAATTAAAATGCATATGTAATGTTTTCAAACTCAATTTAAAACTAAAGTAGTATGATTGCATATTTTACTGATCCTTCACAGCTATTTCACTACCCCAGACGATTCTAGAAATGCAGTGTCATTTTTTCTCTGCTATGATACATGTCCCTTCAGTATCATCATGTGAGGCCCTGAGGGAAGAAGCCACTGTAAATATGTTGTTCTACTGGTTCTGCCTATCTCAAATACAGTACATCTTCAAAATCTTGATAAACTAGGTCAGTAGCTCTAGATCAACTTCATGCGAGTATCAACTTCGTCCTGTTTTTCATAGGAGATATATAAAACCAATTGAAACGGTTGTTGAGAGGCTTATCTATCGTTCCTTAAAGTATCGCCAGTGATAAGTGAGACTTATTTGAGGGTACATCTGGAAAGCTATTGTTTTTATCCATTTTTTTTTTTTTTTTTTTATGATATTTTTTTTTGTTTGTTTTTTCATTTATTGTTTTTTATGAGCAGCTGCCTAACCCATTTTAAACCTCAAATGAGTCATCATAAACACTTATTTTCTTTGCACACACCTTTCTGTTCTTCGCTTGTTGTGTGATTCTGTATTGAACACAAAAGGGGAAAAATTTATAAACCTGAGCTTGCCGTTTGTTTTTCAGTAGATGATTTTAAGCAGACATCTGGGCTTGGATATTTGGGTATTGGTTGTGTCCAATGGGAGAAAAGGCAATATTGCCAAGGATTTGAATGTGGTTTATCAGGGCTCTGGAGGACGTTTCATCTGTGGAATGCTCTCAGGTCCTGGAGTGTTTTTTTTTTTTGTGGGCACAAGCGATTCCTGGAGTGTGTTTCTCTGAACAGACAGAGAACAAGGAAAGCTGTATTCATCTGAGCCCTCTGATCTTTTCTGTTATTAGTTGGGCTTTTTAAGGCAAGCATCACTATTATTATCGTTCTAACTTAGGGAAATAAGTAGGCTTTTCTAAATGAGGGTTTATTGTAGATTTACATTAAATAAGGAGGAACCTGAGACATTTCTGAAGACCAGGGGTGCGTTTCCCGAAAGCATCGTTAGCCAACTATGGTCTCAAGTTCCGTCGTTATCAGCATAGTTCAACGAGTCGGTGTTTCCCGAAACCATCGTTCCAACGAACATTCGCAAACAGCATCGCAAAGTTGTGTTGTTTAAACAACAGCTCTCGAGGCATCGTTTCTATATTGCATTACATTTGGAGGTAATAAATCCTTATCTTGAGCAAAATAAGCAAGCTGACATTCAGTACAACCGGTGCCTTTAATTTAGAATAAATACAAATGGAATTTACGTCTTTTAGTTTGTCAAAAGATTTAAAGTAACGTGTTTGAAGAGTGCGCATGTGCGAACGTGCTCGACTATGAGCCAAACATTGAGTCTGGTAATAAAGCAAAATAACTGAGAACATTTAGAAATAGTCCTCACCCAGATAGCAAACTGACATTGAATCGACGTAGAAACGACGTTTCTCATGACATCGAAACAACGTTGATCTGACATTGTTTTGCTCAGCGAATTAACGTTGAACCAACGTCAGACGCGCCATTATTCAAAACTAACAGAAAATCGACGCAGTTATTTGCTTTCCTAACGTTGAAACGAAGTTGATTTTCCGTTAGTTTTGACTAAACTGACGTCTGACGTTGGTTCAACGTTAATTCGATGAGCAAAACAATGTCAGATCAACGTTGCTTCAATGTCTTATTTCCACGTTGATTCAATGTCAGTTTGCTGCAGATTACATGTTTGTAATTTAAATTAAAACATCTAGCGTTAATTGGATCTCAAACAGTTTCATTAAAAGCAGTTATTATTCCACCATGTGCGAAACCAACGTGGTTGAACGATACTTTGCGACCGGTTTCGGGAAACAGTCGTGACTAGCTAGTTGATTTCACCAATGATGCATTGTACTATGGTAGCGAAGCAGCGAACTACGTCGTTGTATGGAAACGCACCCCTGAATGTAAGAGATTTGAGGGTGGGTTTCTTTTGACTTGAGCCTGTAAGCAGAACATCTTAGCAATCAAATAACAATGTGTGTCTTAATAAGCTATATATTTTACTAGGTGGTGAATCAGTAGTGTTCACGAATTCGGGCACTGGTAAGGACCCTGGCTCACCACTATTTGGGTCACTGATGGCTCTATTTCCAATGGCATGGCAATGTCCTCATTGTACAACATAACTATTGGTATTTATGAACATCAGAACTGGTATCTTTTTTTTTAAATATGTTATCCAAAGTATATTATGATAAATACTCGTTTCATATACATTCAACATTTCAGCTGTAAATAAATTATAAATCTTAGCTAGGTTATGTTCATAATCATTAACGGATGCTGATCCGAAAACTGACTCAAAAACCGTATAATGATTAGAACCGTGGGTTTTGTGATCCGGTGAACCACTACTTTTTGGCTTACTTTATTTACGTTATTTTTTATTTTATGACACAATAACTTTAATCAACTTAAAATAAATAAAACATTAGAAATTATTCTTTGGCAACTAAATTAAATCAGTTTTTCATCAAATTCTTTTGATTTTATTTGAATTAACAAATTGAAATGTTTTTTTTTCTAGTTTTAGTTAATTCTAACATTCCTGATATGTTCATAACCATAATGCATCCTGAGTGGCCTCAGTGTTTCTGATGTGATTCCTGCCCACCTCTATTGTGAGTGCAGTGTGTGTTGTACGGAATGGCTCACCAAGGTCACGCCATCACGACTGCCTCCGCTGTTAACGTCGCCCACTGATGGAAAACACAGCCTGTTTCCTCCCCACATAACAGAGGTGGATGGGTCTGCGCTACTGCTACTGTAAAAACCCAAATGCATGTGGGTGACTAACACTTGTATACAAAGGAAGCTCCAACAAAACTTAATAGATGAGGTATTGTGTTAGAGGTTTGCAAAGCTCAGTAGGGTGAGGCTCTGTTGTGTTGTTGAGCAGCTATTCATATTCATACAAACAGGGCTGAACAATACATGTTTTTTTCAGCAGTTCAGGTGGTGTAATGTACAGTTGTTGTGGTGAACAGTACTTTTTGTCAAATTATCTGAACTAGAACTACTTGAGCCCTGGTTTGAGGACATTTCAGTTGGAAAGTTCACACTATGTTTAGAAACCTCTGTGGTGAAACATTAGCACACATCTATGTTGCACAGTAAGTACTATCATGTTGCCTTTCTACATTGTTTTTGGTGACTGTTTGTATAGCAGTCTAAATATGCCACCCTCTCCCTCTGGACAAACCCTCACGTGGAGATGTCACATTAGCAGTGTTCAGTGTTGTTTCGTTGGAGCTTTCCTGGGATCCTTAGGCACACCTGAGAGAATCAGAAACTATATATATATATATATATATATATACACACTATAAAAACCTGAAGGTTTTTGGATATATCTATTATTTCACCTCGCAAAATATTTGGCTTACAAAATGTGTTTCTGCTATATTTACTGTACACACATATACATATACTGTACACATACATGTATATATTACAGTATATATGTGTGTGTGTGTGTGTGTGTACAGTGTGTATATATATATATATATATATATATATATGTGTGTGTGTGTGTGTGTGTAAATACTGTATAGAAGAAACACATTTTGTAAGCCAAATATTTTGCAAGGTGAAATAATAGATATATCCAAAAACCTTCAGGTTGTCAAACATCTGTGGAACATGTCCAAAGTTAATGTGTTGAACATATATACTACCTTTCAAGGGCCAGTAATAAAAAAAAATACTCCTTTTAGCAAGAATACTTAAAATTGATCAAATCGGACAGCAAAGATTTTTATATCATTGCATTTTTTTTTAAATGCTGACTTTCTAGTCATCAAATAATCTAGAATCGTGATTTCCACACAAATATTAAGCAGTACAGCTGTTTTCAACATTGATAATAATAAGAAATTTTTCTTGAGCACCAAATCAGCATACTAGAATGATTTCTAAAGGATCATGTGACACTGAAGCCTGAGCAAATATGCTTTTTTATGTTTCATGAACAAATTACATTTAAATACATTACATTAATATTTTAATATTAATAGTTTGTGATTAAATAAATATAGTCTTGGTGAGCATGAGAGGCTTCTACAGACCCCAAACTTTATAGTATCCACTAAAGTGACCTAAGAAATTGAAGTTGAAATAGGAGATTGACTCAAGTGTAGCTCTTTGTTGTCACAGGTGTCCTATGATACGTGTATTCCCAGGTGTTCAGCAGTCAGAGTCAGTGCTTCACAGTGAAGTAATTATTCCCAAGGAGACTGCAGAATGCTGGGAATAGGCTGCCAGTTCCCATCTATACCCTGATCTCCAGGGACAGAATCATGAAGGAGGAGATGACGGGAGAGATTTACATGCTCAGGGTCTGCAGACACAGTGTCTGGGCACACGCTGTGTAAAGTCAGCTAGATGGAGAGTTCTGCTCTGTGTAAGCCTCGGAGGATACAGGCTAGATGGAGGTTGACCACATAGCCTACTAATTAACTTAAATACTAATCACCAAATGAGTTACATTAACAGGCATCAAGAGAATTATAACTCTGAAATCGCCCCTGGATAATGTGGAGTGGAGAATAAGCACTGTTCCTGTGGAGCGTTTAGTGAAGTGGACTTGTGAGAACAGCAGCACTGTATATTTTGCCTCTTTTTGGACTGAAAAGACGGGTCAGCCGATCCCTCACGGGTCAGAAGCCAATTACATCACCGTGACTGAGCGACTGGGCCAGGGGCCTTCAAGAAGAGGCACACGTCACCGCCCTCAGCAACAACCACAACAAATAAAGTGTGAGAAATGAAGGCGATTCAAGTTTAAGACCTCATTCTGGGACAAACTGCTCTGCAGAGGATACAGAACAAACAAATAATGGTTCAAACTTTCCGGAAAATCACATGAAGAATGAGAAGAAGGGTGGAGCAGAAGCGTGTATCCCAAATCACATTCAAGATTGCAATAAGCATTTTTAGGATATTGCTTGTATATTTCCTGAAGATTTTTAATGTGCTCATGCTTTTTGGGCTAATATTGCCTACAATGAGTTTGTGACTTTCTCTTTTGACTTTTCAGTTATAGAGAAATTGCTACAGTAGCAAGTCAATTGAGTGCCACAGTTTTTGGATATATGATTTTTGTTAAATATTAATCCAAATCTAGTTACAAAAGCTACATGAATTTAGCTAGATGTTAAGACTAAATGCTTGTACTGTATGTCGCACTAATTCATACTGCTGTATTGCTCACTAAAAACACACTACCTTCTAATAGGTTGGGTCAATACGTTTTTTTAAAAGAAATTAATACTTTTTACTTTATATTAAATTGAACAAAAGTAATGCTAACGATATTTACATTACAAAAGATTTCTGTTTAAATTATTTTCTGTAAACTTTCGTTTAATCAAAAAAAAAAAAAAAAAAAAAATGAATCAGTTTCCTAAAGAATATTAAACAGCACAACATTGATAACAATAAGAAATGTTTCTGGAGCACCAAATCAGAATATAAGAATGCTTTCTGAAGGGTCATGTGTAATGATGCTGAAAATTCATTGCTGAATAAATTGCATTTAAAAATATTAAAATAGAAAATATTTATTTTTAAAATGTGGAAATATTGAACACCACTGTTTTTTTTTCTGCATTTATGATCAAATAAATGCATAAAAAGATTTTAAATAAACATACTGACCCCAATCTTCTGACTAGTAGTGTATGTACTTTTAATTTTGGACCAATAAGCAACCACATGGCAATGCCCTAGCAACCGCTCACAGCCACACATCACCCTTACATCATGACAGCCAGTTTTGTGGCCATCACAACTCTCATTTTCTTCAGTAAATGCACAGACAGTTATCAGATTTACTTTGGATGCAGTGCTGTTTTCGGCCTCATGCAACAGCTTGAGGCGTTTGGCTTTGAACTTGCAGCTTTTGATGTTCTGAAGCATAAATGTAAAAATTAGGTGTATTTTGGTGTGTGTGATCTCTACTAAAACCACTTCAATCACTTACATAGTGAAAAGACCAGGATATGTTTTGGATGCCGGTGTCTTTAAAATATTCTTAACTAGCTAAACTAGCAAGCTTTGTTTGCACCAGCACTAAAACCAGTTTGGAACTTGATGCATTTTTAGCATGAAAATCTTCCAATATTTAGCTTAATGCAATGCATACCATCCCTACTCGTTTGTCTTTGTGTTTGTCTCCACTTCGACAGTTTTTACATTGTCAATACGCCAAACCAGTCTTATCATTTTGTGTCTTGGCAGGCATGCAGAAAAAAACGCTGCGTAGCAACAACGGTGGCATGCTTGAGTAGTTCAATAAACCGTAGCCTCAATCAATGAGGTCGAGTTTTTACACTCCAGATTTCTCAGTCTGTTTGGGAGTTGGAGCGGGACGCGCCATCTGCGGGGGGTCCAACAGAGCTAAGGGTTGGAAGGGAGGAGACGAGGAATGAAAACAGAAGTCCTGACAGGGAGGGATGGATGAAAACAGAGCAAGTTATTAGAAGGAAAACAGACGAGCGGAGAAACGGCTTTCACACGGGGGAGGAGTGTGAACGGTAGCGATCTTTGGTTTGGTAAATTCAACTCTGGAGGAGGAGGAGGTGTTGGGAAAAATGTGACACATTCTCACCCGCCACTCACCTGTTGTGTTTCTATACAACTCGAAGAATCATAAAGGAATTTTTCTGTATGAACGCAAACAAGAGTAAACTTTCCCAGTCTTCCTATGGAAACGAGCAAACTTTCATCCAATTCAAAGACAACATGAAACCACAATTACACTGCATTTAATTCTTTCCCTGCTATTGGCCAAAATATCCGTAATTTGTGAGAAAACGCTTCCCCACCATTGACGGAATTGTCCAGGCTTCCTTGTTTTCACTGTTATATGTTAAGGAGCGCTAGTACGCAACTTCTGAAATAGCAATGAATCTCCTGATCAAAACACAGGAAAACAAGAAGCAGAAACAGGCAATATCACATGTAAGGAGATGCATATGTAAAATAACGCGATTATCAACATTAGACCGGAAAATCAAAACTGCCATAATGTTAAGAATGAAATGCGAGCTTTATGGGACTTTGCAAGCATTAGTGGTGTTGATGGACTCGATCTACTCCAGCTATGTTTTGATCATCGTTCTGAATCTGATCCAGATGTAGTTTTTTGATAAAAATAAAATAAAAATTTTGCTTCTTTATGTTGCTTTTTTAAAATTTTTATTTCAAGTGTTAAAAGAATGTATGGAAAAAAAGGTTTTGTTTAAAAGCAGGGGGTCTGTTCTTTCGTTTCATATATTGAATGTTCAGGTATTCATACAGCAATGTATTCTGGGGGACATGAAGTTAAAACCGCTGTTGGGGAAAGAGTTAACTTGCATAATGTGGCATACTTTTGAAAATTCTGCTGGAAATATTTATTGCAGGTTTTTGGGTTTAGTTTTTGATGGGACTTTTTAGTTGACTGGGTTGATGTTTAATAGGATCAAACAAAATAATTATTATTCTCAAGTCATTAAGAAGGTCATTAAGAAGGTAAATGGTGTCCATTTTCATTTCACGTCTTTAAATATTATTCAAAGACATTCAAAACTTATTTGAAACATTTCTAAAACCTCAAGACATTTAAATAGTATAAAAAGACATGTAAAACATTAAAAAAAGTAAAGATATGGCTTAGTGTCACCAAACAAAATTACATAATGACAGTAAAAATGTTTCTTACCTTTTTTCTTGTCAGTTTTTGTCCGAACGAATCCTGAAGGCAGCACGGGTGGTGTACATCACTCTGTTGGAGCGTAATCCAGGCTTGATAAGAGACAGAAAACACCATCTTAAGACCTACAGGTGAAGCTTCCACTCCGTATTTCATGTGCTTGTGCCAAACTTGTTACATTTCTGATCTAAGATTATATTTCATCTAAGCATCCCCACTCAGCATCAAATAAATCAACTGATTCTGTATCAATCAACCACAAAGACACGCGTGTAAACACTTTAAAGTCACCACTCAGCTTTTTGACAGCTTAATGGTTCTCCGGTTTGTCCCACAGACAGTGCAGCAGTGGGAAGGAACTTGTGGATTGGCTAATGAAACTCAATGATTGTTTCCAGTCACGGAGTCAGGCAGTCGGGATGTGGCAGGTTTTGGTGGATGAGGGCATTCTGGTTCATGGTGAGTGAGTATTAACAATTTCTTTAGATGTCTACATGTTTTTGTGCAAAAAAAGATGAAAAAAAAAAATGGATTCCATCATTAATGTAAGTTGTATTTACCAAAATGCAGCATGTTATGGTAGTACCATGATGTCTGAATATATTGACTAACTGACAACCAATGTCTCTGTCAAAATGAACAGTGAAACAGGAGTTAAACTTCCATGACAAAGACACACAGTTTTACCGCTTTGTGGAGGCCGACTTTGACCTTAACAACACAACTATTGAGAAAGACTCCAAAGACGATGAACTCCAAGAGAGTTTATCGTTACTAGTCCAAATGGGTCCAGATGCTCTTCTGACTATGATACTCCGTAAATGGTAAGACATGAGAAATTACACTAGAAAAGAACATAAACTTATTTAAAATTGTTTCGTTTAATTAAAATTGAAATACCCAATATGGATTCAAGGTTACACTTTCTTTGATGGTCCACTTTAGACACTCTATTAACTCTACTTACTTATAGTTAGTAAAATGTCTGTTGGGGAAGCATCAAATATAGTGTTATTTGACATGTTATATACAGTTATTTGACATGTAGTTGCAAAGTTACCTAGTTATAGTTAGTAGAATGTCTAAAGTGGACCATTAAAATAAAGTGTTATATAAAGTGTCCATTAGCTTAGCAACATGCTAATATCAGACTCCAATTAATTAAGTTTTCCATGGCAAATTCTGTGACAGTTATAGTTGTTTCTACATATTACGCTGGGATAGGAGAATTCTAGTAGACACACTTCACGTTTAATCTCTATTATAAACAGCATAAGATTTCTGTGTGTAATAATTTGTGTGTCCACGTCTTAGCCCGAACCAGAGAACTCCTGATGACCTGGAAGTTATTTACGAAGAACTTCTGCACATCAAAGCTGTGGCCCACTTATCTACATCTGTGAGTCAACACTCGCTGACACCCGTCAAGTTTGTTTGTGGCAAAACCCTTCATTCATCCCTCGTTTCTTTTATCCTTCACTCTTTCCCGTAGGTTCGGAAGGAGCTGGCAGCAGTGCTGGTTTTTGAAAGCCATGCCAAGGCAGGAACAGTCTGTGAGTGTGAAAGCAATGATGACATTTCATTAATGGTGGGCGGGATGAAGGAACGTTGCTAATATTGAATTAGCGCATAGCCAGAGTAAAAATGAGCAGCAAACCTTCTGGTTAGGCACTAATAGCAATGAGATGAATGAGATGATTAAATCATTTTATTGTGTAATTCCCTTGTTACACGATGAATTGGATGATTGACATCGTAATATCAAGACAAAGGAAAAACGGAAAGCACTTACTTTTCTGGCGTGTCATTCATGCACAGTGAATAGCACGAATAGACTCTGATGAATATCTACTTGGATTGTTTATTCTGACTTTTTAAAATCTGTCAAGATTCATAAACTCATATTATTGTAGATTAGACTCATTTTTTATTTTTGAAAGCACATTAATGCTGCATGTTTTATCCTGATATTAAGATTAAAAGACTTTTTAATTGATCCAGTGGACTCTCAGTGGAATTTTAAATTGTTAGTAATAATTGGGTTTATGAAACATAAAACTTTCTTCTATAATGGAACATACTGCTGAGTGAAACAGGATATTCAACAAGATAAACAAAAATTAAGGACGAGTCTTGATTTTATCCACTGGAATTTCCAACTTCGATACGATACCTTGAAAAATATTGATTTTTCGATACCACGGGGAAAAAACTGCCATACTAAGATATTTGTTATTATCTCACAGTCTTGACACTTTGGGTAATTTTGTTGCAACACACAGCTTAAACACATAACAGTGAGGATTTATTTGAATCATTGAAATAAATTAACAAAAAATACAAGTAAACAGACAGTAATAAAATAAGAAAAATTAACAAATCGCAAATGATAGCATAAAGAAATACAGTAGAAGCAAGAGACAAATGAAAGTTTTTCAGGTGAGTCTAACAGAAATTAAAGTAATCAAATGTGAAATAACACTGGATCGTCTTCATTATAAAAATTAAACCGAGATTAATGCTTACAATTAAAGTTACAAAAGTTATTCAGTCAAGAGGAAAGAGTGACTTTCTCTTCGTCTTTTGTTCTCTGATTAACAGTACAGACAGCAGCAGGATTATTAGGCTGCTGTCACTTTAAGAGCTTACGCATGGATCCAATGTAATGTTACACAGAACATGCGTTTTCACATAATGTATGTATTTGATTGTTTAATAGCATTAGAAGTCAATTTGATATTCGTGAGCTATTTGAGAAGCAGCTGTATGTGAGCGCCACTAATATAGTTAATTGGTGCTTGTGCTTTTGGTGTGAGCACGAAACCTGCGGGAATGATTTAATCGGAGCGAATGAGACAAGAGAAGTTGCGTCATTCCTATGGAATGAACTGAAAACACTCACTCTGCTCCGCAAACTAGTTGCAAGTTTGTGTTTATAATAATGCGTTTTGTGTTTATGTCAGTGTTCAGTCAGGGGGACAAAGGGACTTCCTGGTACATCATCTGGAGAGGCTCTGTTAATGTCATCACACACGGCAAGGTAGAACCATTAAGCTGAGTGACTATAAAGTCATTGAGTTTAAATATAGATACTCACATTGTTTGAAGGTTATTCATACTGTTCCTCTTAAGGAAAGATGATCTTGTGTATGTGTGTCACACAGGGCTTGGTGACCACACTCCATGAGGGAGATGACTTTGGGCAGTTGGCCTTGGTGAACGACGCCCCTCGTTCTGCCACCATCATCCTAAGAGAGGACAACTGCCACTTCCTGCGGGTGGACAAGCAGGACTTTATACGTATCCTCAAGGTAGGTTTCGTGTGCATAGCCTAGCATCTGCGTGTGCGGATGTGTATCTATGGTGATCTATAACCTGAATGTAACTGCAGGATGTCGAGGCCAACACCGTCCGCCTGGAGGAACATGGTAAAGCGGTTCTGGTCCTTGAGAAGAGCTCGGCGCAGGAGTCCACCTATCAGGGAGGATCAGCAAGCAGCAACAAGTAAATGATTCTGTCAAATAATATACTAAATTGCACATCTCAATGGTTTAATTGAAGCCAAAGTGTGTAATTTCTGCACCACAATTTTGTTTTATGTTCAAATTTTATGTAAATACTATATGAGCATAAAAATTATACACTTCATTTTTAATTCTTATTATTACAGCATATAGACTACCATTCAAAAGTTTGGTCTCGGTATGATTTTTTAAAATGTTTTTCAACTTTAAGAAGTCTCTTATGCTCCCCAAGGCTGCATTTATTTGATCAAAATACAGTCAAAAATAATATTGTGTATTTAAATGTAGTTTATTCCTGTGATGGCAAAGCCGTCACATGATCCTTCAGAAATCATTCTAATATGCTGATTTGCTGTTCAAGTGCTGATTAATATTTTTGTTTCAGGATTTTGTGATTAATAAAGTCCAAAACAACAGCATTTATTAAAAAAAACATATCTTTTGTAACATTATACATGCATTTACTGTCACTTTTGATCATTTTAATGCATCCTTGCTGAATAAAAGTAGTCTTTTTTTTAATCTTACTGACCCCAAACTTTTTAACAATAGTTCATAAAACTGTGTGTTCATGTTTTAGCCCAAGCCAGAGGCCCTTTCAACATCAAAACTTAATAGATTTTAGCTCGCACAGATGATTTAATAAAAAAAACAATTACTTACTAATTTGAACTGCATTTATTTAATGTATGATAATAACTACTCACAGCATTAAGCCCATTTTAGCAAGCATGTGAGAAAATTAAATCAGCCAATTCAAACGCATCTTCATAAACCATTTATATAAAATCAGCAAGTGAAACGAGCCCTGAATAATAAATATCCAGATTAGGAGTTCACATTTACAAACGTCTGCAGTGAAAGTGCAACCACAGGTGATTCATGTAAATACTTCACCTACAGAAGTGCTTATTGTACAATGAAATGCAGGCTAAATCATTAGTCATCACTATTATTTGATTTCAAGTGCATTAAACCAATGAATGATGAAAATGCAGGACGCCTAATTATCGATTTGAATGATCCACCTCTCGCAGGTACACAGTAATGTCGGGAACGCCAGAGAAGATCCTAGAACACATGCTGGAGACGATTAAACTGGAAACCAGTGATTTTATAGGTATGGAAGACCCATGGTTTGTAACTTGTGTAACATATAACCTTAATAAAACTTCCAAATCTACCATTTGTTTGTTAATGAGGTTTACGAGTCTGTTTTGTGCTTCTACAGATCCCAGTGTAAGTGACTTCCTCCTAACGCATCCAGTCTTCATGCCCTACAGTCAGCTCTGTGCAGCCCTCCAGCATCAATATCCTTCTTCTACTACAGGAAACACTGATAATCTGCTTCTTTTTGATATTTCTGTTTTGTTAATGTTATATTTATTATGTTTTGGTCAAATTCTACTCCTTAACCTGCATTTGCACCTACCAAGCGGAGCCATCAGAAGGCTCAGACCTGGAGAAGGCAGCGTATGCTCTCAACACCAAGCAAAAGGTTGTGAAACTGGTGGGTCATTGGGTGGCTCTGTTTGGTTCCTTACTGAGGGACAATCCTGTGGCCTTTGAATTCTTAGAGGTAAAAATGCTGTAGTACCATTTTTCATGTATTTTACGTTTCACAAGTTTAGATTTTGATAGCACGGTACTTCATTAAATCAAAACCAATCATTCTTAATGAATGTGCCAGGGCTTATTGTGCATTTAAAGGGTTAGTTCACCCAAAAATGAAAATTCTGTCAGTATTTACTCACCCTCATGTTATTCCAACCCCGTAAGACCTTCGTTCATCTTCGGAACACAAATTAAGATATTTAAGATATTAAGATCGCTCCTGCATACAGTCCATAGGCTTCTTGAGGGACTGGCTCTTGCCGTCCCCGAAAAGTCATAAAAGACATTGTTAAAATAGTCCAAGTGACTACAGGGGCTCAATCTTAAGTTTATCAAACGACGAGAACACTTTTGTGCGCAAAAAAACAACAAAAATAACGACTTTATTTCAACTATTCGTTTATTTCTCCCTCTGCGCGAGTCAGGTAACTAGTTTAATAGCGTAAGCTTCTGTTATTGTACGTCACACGCATCACACACGCATGACCAGCGTCGGCCAATAGTGAGCCTACGTGTGACGTAGCTCTACGCAATCACACTACGTTAACGGACTATAGGCTTATGGAGAAGGAAGTGAATAGTTGAAATAAAGTCGTTATTTTTGTTGTTTTTTTGCGCACAAAAGTGTTCTCGTCGTTTGATAAACTTAAGATTGAGCCCCTGTAGTCACTTGGACTATTTTAACGATGTCTTCAATTACTTTTCGAGGACAGCAAGAGCCAGTCCCTCAAGAAGCCTATGGACTGTATGCAGGAGCGATTTTAATATCCTAAATATCTTAATTTGTGTTCCGAAGATGAACGAAGGTCTTACGGGGTTGGAACAACATGAGGGTGAGTAAATACTGACAGAATTTTCATTTTTGGGTGAACTAACCCTTTAATAAAACAAAATGATATATATAAAACATTCAAGCCTCTGAAATGGCTTTTCTGATAACATAATGTTGCCTGGAAAAATATTAATCAACAATGTCATAACCTAAAATGTTGATCCTGAATTGAAATAGCTCCATCTTTGTGACTTTATGATAGAAATTCAGGGAAGGGGTGATGGCTGACTCAAGACTTTCCAGCATGCTCAAAGAACAGCTGAGGGACAGAAGGAAGACAAAAATGTGAGTAAAACATTTGCCAAGGTAGCCTACATTTGTACACCTGCACATATACAGTTCTGTCATGAAACTCTAGATGGTGCAGGCTAATTGCAATCGCATCATTCTTTATAGGGAACAACTGATTGGATCTTGCTGTATCAGTAGTCATAGTGTGTCGAAGTTATGACATCACTTTGTAGGACAACTCGGAAGTTAGGTTCCCTCGATCGGAAAGCTATGCGTTTTCCCCATAGACTTTTGGAAAATCGCAAAAAATAAGATCTGTGTTTTGTTCAACAAAGACTTGTGACCATGTGCACGTAAAAACTCATTTTCTTGTATAAATTGCACGATAACACACAATGCGTGCTAGAGACGCATTTACATGAGAACAGGCTGGTCTTCTACTGTATGTCATCAAACCTCTATTTAATCCTACATTTATTGCTACTCCCTATTTTACTCCTTACAGAACCGAGAATGGATGTCAAACTCTGACGAAGGTAAGAGGCACTGGTTTCTTAGTCTAATGTGAAACTTAAGAGACCAACCAATAAATCCTCCTTACTTTATGACACAGCATAATAAACAGACTCTCCAGTGGAAAAGTCAACATCTCTGTGGTCAGAGGTCTTTAGACACATTCAGAGAACTAAACAAAAGTAAATCCCTTTCTGACAGAGCATTGAATTGTACACTAAAAGTAGGTCAGCTGTATCCATGGTCATATAAAACCCAGCCATCCATTATATAGTTTGCACTGTATTTGGGAACAGGTGTTTAAATAACAATTACATATATGTGTAATACATATAGTGCAACACTGTTTCCTGCACCACTTTGCCCTACTTCTTACACACACAAAAAAAACAGCATTAAGAAAAATAAAATCGCAAATTACCTTAGTTGTGAATGCGAGTTGCATTGTTATGCAAAGGAACTTAAATTCTTTAAAGTTTAAGAAAAGTTTAAGGAAGCTGAAATTGCAAATTTTAATTTTGTACTCAAACATTTGAAATATTTGAGTAAGCCTAATTCATTCATCATATAATCTCAACTTATTTTTAGTAGAGGAAACTTGGCTATGTTTAACTAGCTAATTCAGTAAATGCTCAAATCCCAGCCCAGTTTCAGTTAACTTTAAGTTTGAAAGAAACATATTTTATTAAACTCAAAACAATGAAACAATTCAGATTACTTGAAATGTGTCAGTTTTGTGAACTCAAAAGAAAAAGAAAGATCTAAACTCATAAGTGTTCATTTGTTTGAACTAATTAGTTTAATTTAAGTTTACCATACTCAAACCAAGCGTTGCGCGTTAGGGTTTACGGCATGTTTTGTTCCTGAACGAATAAGTATTTTGGATTGATTAAATCCCTTGTTCCATTGCTAAATGAACCATCGTTTTTAAACACATCAGTTTCATCATTAAGACTACTTGCCACCACCCGTGTGATGTGGTATTGTGTTTATATGGTGTGTGCATGTAAAACAATTCAGTAGGAAACACTGTAGAGCAGTAATGTAAAACATTGTAGGAAGGCATCCAAACAAATGGTTTTAAAATGCCACATTGACCATCCTTCACTGATACCTGATCTTGTGTCTGATTCCTCGCATTCTTGGAATAAGACCCACACTTATTTTCTCAGGCACAGAAAATCCATCATACCTAAGATCATAAATGCTGTCCATGTACTTCAGACACACAGTCTTTCTGTCAACACACGTTGAAAACTGCCTTTTGAAGCCCTGCAAGCTCTAAAATCCAATATCATCATCTGTTTGTTTCAGCTAAACCGAAAGTTTGATTGGTTTTCTGCTTACGAAGAGCCAGTGGGAAAATTAAGGTCGATTAAAGCTCAAGATAAAGGTTTGTAAAAGTACAAACCCATATTATACAAAGAGCAGATAAAACAAGGATAATATCCATGTGAAATTGCTCGCATTAATCAAAATGGAATTTCCCTAATGAAATGTGTTCAATTGTCCGTTTGCAGTCTTGTATGAGATCTTTAAACCGGATCATAAGGCTGTCACTGTAATGCTGCCAGTCGATGCTTCAGTGAATGACATCTTGACTACATTAGTGGATCCTGAGAGAAACTATGTGCTGGTCAAGATGAATTCCTCTGGAGGTAAGCTATGAGATGCCGATGATTTGGCTTCAGAGTTTCCTCTGACCGTGCCAGAACTGCTGCAGAATTTTCATGTGAGCAAAGTTTCTTCTGCTTTGCTTCTTGCAGACAGAGTCCAGCTCAAGCTGGAGACCACGGCAGTGTCTGCCTCTTTAGGAGTGAACGAGAGGCTTTTCCTCTGCTCTGCCAGCCAAGTGGAACAATTGGTGAGAGATGCCAATTGCTGATTCACAGTAAAAGATCCTCACACTAGTCATACAAGTCAGCTGTAAATATACATAAACTGTGATAAATTGATTGTTCACATAGGTTGAAACTTTGCAAAGACTTTTTTTTAAATATTTAGTTCACCTATGCAACTTTTTTTCATGTAATATTTGTTTATGATATGCAATTATAATGAGTGGGGACTAAAACTTTTAAAGTCGTCTTGAAACGCAAGTTGTGATAGTCTTTTATTCCCTATTGTGGCATATATACAAATGAAACTGCTTCTCAAACAAGAAAAAATGTTGGGCGGGACTTGATTTGATCCACCGGGAATTGATCAAATAGTTGGATTTTTGTGGTTTGCTATTGATTGATCTCATGTCATGGTCCCGCTCTCACGCCAGTAAACGCCATCAGACAAGAGATGTTGCTGCAATAGGGAGGGGATATTATTTTTGATAAAAGATTATGAGGGCACACAAATAAAAATAAAATAAAAAATTATGTGCACAGATACATTTTTACTTGACTTCAAGCTTCAAAAAAGTATGGAAGCTTGTTTCTGCCACTGAATAAAAAATAAATAAATAAATAAATAATTGCGACTTTTTTTCTCACAATTGCGAGATATGAAGTCAGAATTATTATGAGAAATAAAGTTGCAATTGCGTGATATAAAGTCAGAATTGCGAAAGTCGCAATTGCGTGTTATAAAGTCAGAATTGTGAGAAATAAAGTCAGAATTGTGAGAAATAAAGTCACAATTGCGTGATATAAAGTCAGAATTGCAAGATAGTCAGAATTGCGAGATATGAAGTCAGAATTGTGAGAAATAGTCGCAATTGCGTGATATAAAGTCAGAATTGCGTGATATAAAGTCGCAATTGCGTGATATAACGTCAGAATTGCGAGATAAGTCACAATTGCGTGATATAAAGTCGCAATTTGCTTGATATAAAGTCAGAATTGTGTGATATATAGTCTGAAACTCTGAATTGCGAGATATAAAGTCAGAATTGCGAGATATGAAGTTAGAATTGTGAGAAATAGTCGCAATTGCGTGATATAAAGTCAGAATTGCGAGATATGAAGTTAGAATTGTGAGAAATAGTCGCAATTGCGTGATATAAAGTCAGAATTGCGTAATATAAAGTCGCAATTGCGTGATAAAGTCAGAATTGCAAGATATAACGTCAGAATTGTATGATATAGTCGCAATTCTGAGAAAAAAGACAGAATTGCGACTTTTTATCTCACAATTCTGACTTTTTTTCTTACAATTGCGAGTTTACATCTCGCAATTCTGACTTTATAACACATAATTGGGAGTTTATATGTCGAAATTCTGACATCTTTTCTCAGAATTGTGAGATATAAACTCGCAATTGCGAGTTATCAGGCCAATTCTAAGGGGAAAAGCTTAATAATCATACTAAGTGATGATTTTTGAAAATGTAAAAGTGCAGAAAGTTTTCTGTGATGGGTAGGTTTAGTGTAAGGGGGTAGAATAAACACTTTGTACAGTATAAATATCCTTAAGTCTATGGAAAGTCCCCATAAAACATAAAAACACAACATGTGTTTTACCCGACAGACCCCCGTGAGCGAGCAGCTGGTGCCAGAGAAGAGCACCATGGACACTCTGGAGCAGATGGGCTCCAAGGACATGGCCAGTCAGCACACCAGCTACGACTGGGAACTCTTCATGGCCATGCATGAGGTAACAGCCAAACCAACAAACAAATTCGTCACTGGCACAACAAAATTCATTGCACCTTTCATGGCAGTTTACCAGATAAAGAAGGAACATTGAACAACATGACTACTGGTAAAATCTAATCACTAGCATTGCTAAGCATAGTTAGAGCGTCACATCAGTGTGATGCTTCTATGACATAATGCTGTAAATATTAGTGTGTACTTGGCATCTCACACAGACACAAATTTCACGGTATCTGTTCGAGAATCAAAAATGTCAGAGAGATTGAGTCACTGAAACATTTTACCGCCGAGACGACATCTGAATCACATGCCTGACTTACACCTGCTGGGTAAACAAATATCTGGAAATTTGCAAAAGTGCATATCAGATGAATGCAAGAAGGAAATGAAGTGGACACATGTGACATTTCAATGACTATTTGTTTTACATTCAGAACAATCAAAAACATTCCAAGTAAAAAAAAAATAAATAAATAAATAAAAAGCAACTCTTATCTTGTAGAGTTGTACTGATAGTTTATTTAAAGAACAAATCGTTTATGAATGGGAAAAAATGACAATTATTAATCTGTTTTGTAAATATATACTAGCGTTCACAAGATGTTTTTAAGGTTTTTGGAAAAAAGTATCTAATGCTTATCGAGGCTGCATTTATTTGATCAAAAATACAGTAAAAATAATTGTGTAATATTATTACACTTAATAATTTTTTGATGTTTTTTATTTTTATTTAATTTATTTCTGTGATGGAAAAGCTGATTTTTCAGCATCATTACTCCAGTCTTCAGTGTCACATGATCCTTTAGAAATAATTTTATATGCTGACCTGGTGCTCAAGAAATATTTCTTTTTATTATGAATATCAATTTTGAAAACAGTTGTGCTGCTTAATATTTTTGTGGAAAGAAACCGTGACTTTTTTTTCAGGATTCATTGATAAATAGAAAGAACAGGTTTTATTTGAAATATAATTTTATGTAACAATCTAAAATTGCTGTTACTTTTGATCAATTTAATGCAGCCTTGCTGATTAAATATATGAACATAATATATATTGTTATTATATATTTATTTGTAATATATTTACATATTATATTATAACACTAAGCACAATGCAAAGTGGAAAAATTGGTTGGAAAAGTAATAAAAAGTTCATTAAAAAGTTATCAATAAAATTAAAAGTTTAATAATAAATAAACAGTGATTGCCAAGCAAAGTCTCAACTTGCCACATACAAACATAGAATATTTATATCGACATGTACTCCAAATAATTAAAAAAAAAATCATTAAATTGGACATTTAAATTTAATACGGAATTACGGATTGATGGTAAAGTACTGATTGCTGTACTACAGGTGGAGCTGGTCTACTACGTTTTCGGACGGGAAAAGTTCCCAGGAGCCACTACGGCTAACCTTGAACGGTTTGTCCGTCGCTTTAACGAGGTTCAGTACTGGGTGGTGACTGAGCTGTGTCTCTGTGAGGACCTGCTGAAGAGAGCCATACTACTGAAGAAGTTCATCAAGATGGCGGTTGTGTGAGTACAAAAGCAATTCACAAGACAGTCAGCTGCCATACAGTACAGCACACACACAGGCGGAGGATATTCCACATCTGTCAGTGGTTTAATCATTAATGCTACTACAATAGTCTCTCTTTACGTCATAGTCATACTATTGCATAAGTTCAGCTTCACAACATCAATTTGACTCACTGTATCCATTAATTTACATAATCTTTAAACAAACTTTTTGTGTTCATTTTGTGTTTTGCTGCTCTTCAGCTAAAGCACTTGTAGAGGAGAATGTGCAAATTATACCAATAGGCTATATGTTAGTTATAAATATATATTTTTTTAATTGTATATAATATATAGCATTTTTACAGAATTTATTTAACAATGATTGGTTGTGTTAAAAAAAGCCTAAAAATTCTGAAAACATGTATTTATTTATTTTTTACAAATAAACTAGTGTTAAAGTCAGCATGAAACTGAAGTTGCAATAGTCTTCTGTGTTGTTATGAATATCTGAGAATATTCTGCTTCTAGAACAAGAAAAAGAAATATAGCTGCGAGCAGCGATGGCGGGCCCAAGCCGGTGGCACCGCAACCCCGGTTCCTTTAGTTACCTATATGCACCCGGGTGGCGGTGCCGAAGGCTTTGGCCCTTTTATGATTAAATGTTAAAACGGCTTGCCATACTCTGTCATTTCGACTAGTCACAATTATGTTACAGATATCTTAAATGAAAATACAAACTATCCAAAATGTAATTACGAATAGACAGAAAGACGTTGTTGATATCTACAATGTTAATTCCGGACAGGCAAACTTAGCTTTTAAATGTTAAAAGGGCTTGCCATACAGGGACGTACACTCTAAAAAATGCTGGGTTGTTTTAACCCAACTATGGGTCAAATATGGACTAACCCAGCCGTTGGGTTAAATTTTTACATTACATTTTTAACCCAACATTTCGGGTTTGTCCATATTTGACCCAAAATTGGGTTAAAACAACCCAGCATTTTTTAGAGTGTAGGCTCAGAGAGAGGCTCACCATATTCAAACCAAAATATCTGACTTCCTCTTGGTCCGAGCTAATGACTATGTATTAGAAAGTTGTCCGGCTTGAGGAGTACAATGTATATAGCGATTTTTGTAACTGTAGATAAAACTAACAACCCCACTTTTGTCAAAAGGTGGCGCTATTTAGTCCTTGCACTATGCCCGTTTCTGAAACTTTGCACATGTCTACTGGCTAATAAATGTGATGTATCTGTTGAGTTTCAAGCAATTTCAATTTCAAATTTGAATGTTGAAAAGAAGTGCGCCGATTAGATACTCAGGATCGGTATCGGCTCTGACACTGCCATCTTTGACGAGGCTGATTCAAATTCTATATTGTGCATATATACTATTCTATGTTAGGCACAAAGGCACAAAAACTTTCTAAAGTGCCATAAAGTTTTTGTGTACTGTATTATTAGTGTTCTGAAGCTATTATGTGATATAGAAATTAATATTTAAGTCATTAAATTCAAGAACACAAACTTTTCCCTCTCTGCGCCTGTCAGTCATTCTCCATTCAGCATTCAAACAGCACGTCACATTCGGTTACAGTCAATGATGAAACGATCTTCAATGATTCAATGTTAATCCTATTATACTGGATCTTTAAGATAAAGGTCTAAAGGTCTATATTTTCGAATGAAGAAACTTTTTCTTGCTGGACTTTATTGCTGTAACTTAATCGTGTTACTTTCTACCGGGTGTCGGACGCTGTCGGTTAGATCACAACACTAGAGTCAGAGCACTATAATTGTTCTTCACGCACACAGTAACTGAAATTTAAAACCTTTAAAAGAAAAGGCTCAATAAACTATTGCATAGATAGATAATGTATAATACACTGTTCATAAATATGTATTTCCTTTGTGCTTTGAACTTTTCAATACGGACTCAATGCGCTGTAACTTCATGTGGCTTCAAGCACATCATTCTCCGCTCGGGATGCACATAAGTGCTTTGTGCTGCACCGTATTGGAGCCGTAATATCATAATGCAGTGACGTAATGACAGATTATTAATTGCCTTTCAATTATATGTTGCTTTATAGCAGCCATGGCTATATTTTTTTTTTATGATTTTTGTTATCTTGTTTTTCATGAATGTATTTTTCAAAAATAAGAGCAATGTGTATTATCTATTATTAATATGGTTTATAATAGCATTTTTGTCATAGATTATGACAAAGTAATCATATGATCCACCAGCGAGGAACCAGCAGAACAGAGTGAACATTCTTTCTGTTTAGTTCAATCCTACTTAATAGGAATTTATTTAAAATGCTCGCTCTACTCCACACCATTAATGTCTTGTGCGGACATCCGTATTTTGACTTTCGGTTTTAAGTAAGCGATTTAAAAGCTCCCAAGTCCCAGCGGAGTCACACGTTGATTAACCGGTGGGAATATACACAATAGGCCTACCTGATATTGAACACAAGAGGGCAGTATAGCACTACGTATGACTCAGATTATTATTTTTTTATGAATTTTACAACAATTCTGGCTGTTTTTTGAACGTAAACACAATTCTTAAATGAAAAAAAAGGAAAAATTGGGGAAGTTATAATATTTGTATAATTTAATTTAGAAACAAATGATGTATAATTACATTTTTAGAAGATATGAGGCTTTTAGTGTTTACTTTTTTGACATTACTTTAATCTTTTGCCATAGTTGCACATGTCTATTGGCTAATAAATGTGATGTATCTGTTGAGTTTCAAGCAATTTCAAGCATGCTAAGAGTCCCAAAAGCATCAAAAAATAATGTTAAAGTTTGTTTCGTTGCCACGGCAACAGTATCAAAGATATCAAAAATTCATTCACAGGTCTACATCTGCCGTGTATTTACATTATACAGATGAAGTTTAAAGCAAATCGGTTAAAAATAAGAGAGTGATTTCAAAGCATTTTGAAAGTGACACACTTCCTGCTGCCAGTTGGTGGCGCTATAACTTTGACTCACAATAGTCACATCCATGTGATCGGTCTCTTACAGCGAAAACACTGTTGAAGTTTCATCAAGATCAGTTAATGTATGCTGAAGTTATAACACACATCCTGTTCCATGTTTCTCGCCATAATTTCGTTTCCTCGCCACGGCCAAACCGTTCGAGATATCAAAAATCCCGTGGCACTTTTTCATCCTTAATGTCTTGACTTCACGCTGATCGAGTTTCGTCGAATTTGGTTCAGTGCTCTAGGAGCAATAATTTAAATTACATTGCATGTGTTTTAAACACAACCCTAAATAGCCAACTTCCTGTTGGGCTGGGGTAAAAAGTAAGAGTGTGAAGTATATATGAAACGATGAGATCTATATGTGTACCAAGTTTCATATTATTACATGCAAGTGTGTTTGATTTATGGACCAAATTTTCAGACCAAGTTTATTGACCAAGTTAATCTGATTAATAAACTAATTATATAAAACTATTGTCAATTCACTACAATTAAACTAGTTATATGCCTTTACTTATAAAAAATAAAAATAAAAACTTATTTAAAAAATACCAGGCTTGAGAAATGTATTTTCTTTATGCAGGTCATACACACAGCAGTGAAATGGTTAAGCCCCCTCCCCCTGCACACACACACACACACACACACACACACACACAGACAGCCAGCCAGCCAGCCAAAGACACAGAGACACAGAGACATGTAGGCTCAGAGTGGCCATATTCAAACAAAAATATCTGACTTTCTGTGGGTCCTAGCTAATAAGTGTCAATTAGAAAGTTGTCCGGCTCGAGGAGTACAATATACATACCAATTTTTGTAACTCTAGTTAAAACTAACCACCCCACTTTTGTCAAAAGGTGGCGCTACTGAGCCCTCACCACGCCCGTTTCTGCAACTTTGCACATGTCTACTGGCTAATAAATGTGATGTGTCTGTCGAGTTTCATGCAATTTGAAGCATGCTAAGGGTCTCAAAAGCATCCTAAAAGCATCCTAAAAAAAGGGTAAAGTTTGATGCGTCGCCACGGCAACAGTTTCAAAGATATCAAAAATCCATTCACAGGTCTACATCTGCCGCATGTTTACATTATACATATGAAGTTTGAAGCAAATCGGGTAAAAATAAAAGGGTGATATCTAAGCATTTTGAAAGTGACACACTTCCTGCTGCCAGTTGGTGGCGCTATAACTTTGACTCACAATAGTCACATCCATGTGATCGTCCTCTTACAGCGAACACACTGCTGAAGTTTCATCAAGATCAGTTAATGTATGCTGAAGTTATAACACACTTCCTGTTTCACGTTTCTCGCCATGATTTCGTTTCCTCGCCACGGACAAACCGTTCGAGATATCAAAAATCCCCTCGCAAACTTTCATCCTCAATGTCTTGACTTCACGCTGACCGAGTTTCGTCGAATGTGGATCAAAGCTCTAGGAGGAGTATTTGACATTCCATTGCGAGCGTTTTACAAACAAACCTCAATAGCCAAATTCCTGTTGGGCTGGGGTAAAAAGTAAGAGCGCGAGGTATAGATGAAACGATGAGATCAACGTGTGTACCGAGTTTCATATTATTACATACAAGCGTGTTTGAGTTATGGACCAAGTGTTCGGACCCCGTTCCAGGGGGCGCTGACGAGCTGCCCTGCCACGCCCGGGTACCATCTTCAGCCCGGCTCTGATGGCCGCGGGTTCTGACCCGTGTGCAAAGTTTCAAGAGTTTTCGAGCACGTTAAGGGCCCCAAAAGTGCCCAAAAGGTAGCAAAATAATAATAATACTAAAGAAGAATAATAATCCCAAGGAAAACAATAGGGCCTTCGCCCTTTCAGGGCTTGGGCCCTAATTATGGCTCTGAATACCTGTATGAGAGTTATATGCTTAGAGCCTTTCACCAGTATACACAATATACATACACTACCTTCAATTAGCCGCATGCTTGAGGTAATGAGACACTTTTATATTTAGCATAAAGGAGGGCGGTAAGAAAAAGGAAAATAATGGGGTGAATTTTTCACAGTAAATGCGGATGAATGGACGCCATCATGAACATTTTTGCTAACATGCTAATATTTACCACAGAAAGAAAGGTAGAAATATGGCTATTATTTATATCCATTTAAAAAGTTTTTATTGCTGTCTTAGTCTTTTGATGACGCTGAAAAAACAAAACGAACAAAATAATAAAACTTTAAATATCTGTTAAACAAAACTTGGTTTTTAAAGGAGAGTTTTCAGCCAACCACCAAATTAAAAAATATAGTGATCTTCAGCTCAGGATTAAAAATTAATTTCATTTATGAAAGCACTCTAATGTTACATACAGTAAAGCCAGTCTACACTGTCTCAATGCTGTAGCTTCTTTATTTATCTGTAGCTGTATTTTTAATTTCTTTATTTTAATCAAATTATTTAAAATCTTGATGACAAAATACGACATATTTACCTTTGCATCACTGTAAAAAAAATCTTTTCATGATTAGTAGGCTAATCACAATTTTTTTTTCTTTTGTCAAATCAACTTAAATAATTTATTTAGTTCATATAACATATAATTTTGAGTTTCTGATGATTAAATCATTCTCCTTCATTGTATTAACTCACTTTTTCCAGTTCAATCAACTTATTTTTAGGCAACCAGGTTACTTACTTTTTTAAGTTAAACCAACAATTTTTTTTACAGTGTACTATTCACTGATTGATTTTTTTTTTCTTCAGGCATATCTATGCACATTTCCATTTTACTGCAAATGACGTTTTGACCCAGTTGCTGCCATAACACAGAGATCAGGGAAGGTTTGTTCAAAAAAGTTGGAGGGAAATAAAGATTAATTAACAGCCAAAGCCAAATGTGACAGAAATTAGCATATTTGGGTATTGTCTGCAAAAGTGAATTGCCATCAAAAATCAATGTCTTTGGTCAAAATGTACATAATGTATCATAGGGTGTGACACTGGTACTGTTCGATTTTTTTTTTAATTATCATAGTACAATTGAATATCGCCAAATATACCTTTAAAATTTTGACATATAAAGGGTGTCATGAATTAACAGAAAATTAAATTTAGCCAGATCGCTAACCACCCCAACCTGTTATTCAGTAAGGTAGTCTATATGAATTAAAGCAGATATATGCAAATTCAGAACAATTTTCTGCACTTTCGTAGAGTACTGTATTTATTTTTATGATTTGTTTTCAAAAGAAAGAATATATATATATGATATATCAAAAACCTAACAACTATGATATGACTAATAACTGACCATTTTAGGATTTTGGCATGAGCCAGTAACCATTAGTCAGCGCCAGCTGTCAAAAACTAGCTAACCAAAGTAGATGGACGATCGTTTTTATGGTGTGTATATCGCACCCTTGAGAAAATTGAGCGTTGGGGACCACGATGAAGCATCTCACACTGCAGTCTACGTTTAAACGTAGACATGCAATGTGGATGTGGATATGTTCCTAATTATGTCATTCGGTGCCCACAGCCCCTGAGGCAGATTTAAATGCCATTTTCCCAGTGCGAAAGAGCGCATATTAAGTTAGTTAGGCAGAAAGTGGGAGGGTGAGAGGAGGAAAAAGAAATCGACTGGCTCATTAGAGATATTTCGTATTTAAAGTGAAATTAATATAGCAGTAAATTAGGCCCAAGCATTCTCTGAAGACCACGAAATGAGATTAACCATTGTTTATTAGGAGAAAATGAATCGCATTTCAATCACATTTTCATGAAAATTAAGAAACCATGTGTCCATAATCCTAGACTTGCTGTTTCACTTCCAGGCTATACATTTACAATAGAAAAAATGAATTTTTCCACCTTCTGTAGTTCTTTTTTTTAACCCTGCATGCATTCACTATTTACATTTCTGCTTCAAAACTGGTGTATATATGACAGTTTTTAGTGGTTTATATGACAGCAAAACCCACTTTTGTAAAAACAGCAACCCAAATTGCACAATGCAACCTTAGTGAAATGATACAAGCGTGATTTTCTTTACCTTAACCCTCAGCTCCTTGTGCTACTTGGAACTTTTTTTGATCTTTTGGGCATAAAAAGCTTGTTTTGTATCAATAATTACATAAAGAAGAATATAACCAACTGTAAATGAGTGTTTGTTCCAATGGGCAGTAGCACTTTCTGCTCTTCTTGTATCTTAACTGTTTTACTTGGAATGGAAATGGTTTCTTTTTGTGTAAACCTCATGTTTTTATGGAGTACTATCTGCCCCTCTTTCTCTCTCTGCCACTGGTCCCTAACAATCCCTCGGTTTTTTGCTGTTGTGTGTTGTACGAATACTTTGAAAGCTGAACAAAGAACAAAATGAACTGAGAAGAAAATTATTGTAATGAATATATTAGTCCATTCGATATGTGAAGGTGGAGTGAAGTTAGTGGTTCAGCTTTATTTTAGGTGTCCCTAAAACGACCTAGATGATAAACCGTGTTAGTTCACCACAACTGTAGTGTGATTCACCGTCACGTTGCCTTTTCAATATTTGTAAGTACAAGTTGTCTATGTACAATGTAAGTACTGTGGAATGACATGTACTTTACATATCTAGCTTAATACTGCTCATTTCACTATGATCTTCAGGGACATCTAACATAAAGTATGAAGTGTAATGCTTTTGAGGGCAAATTATCTACATACTGCTGTGAGTTTATGCTAAATACAGTATGTTACACTAATGCTGACTTGTACTGTATGTTGAAGTTGTTAACACAATGGACGTGCAAATAAAATAAAAACTGATACACTAGATCAGATCTTCACCTCTTTCTCTACTTTAAAGATACATTGTCAAAATCATTTCAAGTTGTAACCTGATTTGTAATATCCATCATTTTTTTTTATTTTTTATTTTGCAAACTAACAGCTGCACCGGACAAACAGAGTCTGCTGTGACTAGTCTTACAAGTTAGTCAGCAATGTCATAGTCATTTTTAAACATTAACCTAAAAACATAGATTAGTCTGTATTGAATTTGAAAAGACTGATTACCCTTTGGTTAACTGCTAGATGATCAGGCTAGTTCTTATGTTACAGACTTACAGTCAAAAAATACAAAAATGGTGTCAAACACCCAAATTGGGAACAGGTTCAGGACAACTAAGTATTGTAAACGAATAAAGAAGTGTGAAGTCTGCATACTAAAAATTACTGCACCAAATTATTAAAAGGCAACGTTTAGGTCTTCATCAGGCACAATGTCAATGTAGAGTGAAGCCAACTTTAAATAGACACAAGTGATCAAAAGAAAAGATCATATGTGACAAATACAAATTTGTTCTAGAAAAATAAATAAAAGCCTAAATTCAATCTGTTCATTATATCAAGCGATCATTTCTCTAACCGCTCAATTGATATGGATTAGCTACAAGCTCTTTATGAACTTTTTGATGCATAAACAACATAACAAAAAACATACATTTGTGTTCTGAAGATGAACAAAAGTCTTACGGGTTGGAACGACATGAAGGTGAGTAATTAATGACAGATTTTTCATTTTTGGGTGAACTATCCCTTTAAGTGGTGCTCAAAGGAATTTCATAAGTATATGTATGGATGTCCCAGAAAAAAAAAACGTGGTTAATGAACAGTTTTCTTGTAATGTAACGGCAGAGGCCATGTAAACACAGCCACTATGTTTAAGATGGCATGAGACGGAAGCTCTCATAGTTTTTTATCAAACAAGAAAAGAAAAAAAAAGGTCTATCGGTAAATGACTGGATGGTTGTTGTTTACTTTTGCTGTGATCTCATTTGAGTGACAGGTTCAGGTTGCCCCGCCCTCACACCAGTAAACATCAGAGACGAGATGATGCTGCTAGATGGAGGGGAAGTAAAGTGCACATACTGTAAAATAAAGTAATACTGACTGAATCATGGTACCAACACAGTATTTTAAGCCACCACTGTCATCAAAAACAATTTATACAAGATAAAAATGATTCATAAAGTGATTACTGTTGCATATTTCGGTCTCTATTTATACACTTTTAATTTACTATGTATGTAACAATAAATGTACTAAGTAGTCTTTACTTGATTTGTGTATTTTAATGTATTCATGATATTAATATTTAATTCTATAACCTATTACTTTAGGGTTCTATACAATTGTTAATGGCCTGTAATGATGAGGGCTTTAGGACCCAGCATCTGCACGCTGCTGCCCCAGTCGTCCATGGCTTTGTATGTTTACAGTGAGAATTGTATGGCAGGAATTTTCTAACATCAAATATTTAAACATAATTTGCATCGATACAAAAGTCCCAATGGAGACAGAGATCCTGTGACAAAGGTAAGCCACCAAGTAACTCACTCGCCTTCTAATCATAGTTGTATCATGTAACGTTACAGAATCACACTTTTTAAATGCAAAATGACTGTGTAAGTACGGCGGCGGCTACTAGTTTATTTTATTTGAACGACTTGTTTGTTTTAATAAACTGTCGCTGCAGTATACAAGCTTACTCACTCACATCGATGAATTGTGGGCTTTTCTTCAACAACTTCAAAAGAGTGTTAAAAGTTTCGCGGCGAATTTGACGATCACTAAAAGTTTATAAAATACATGTTAAAATTATAACTAATAAAATTATTAATACACATATGCATTGTCAAATGTTAACTCAATGAATGTCGTCGAGGCGTTCTGTCTATAAATATCACAAACTATTGCAGTCAGCTAATCCAGTTCTGTCGTCCTGTTCATTTCAAACTCGGTCATGAAATAATTAGTTTTTCATCTTTTGGTAGTTTAAACGAATATTTTTTCGTGGTTGTTCAAGTTTCCCTTTTAACTTGAACACATTTAACCCGGTTCATTTGTGCCACTCAATGACAAAAGGCCTTTATATTAGAGTTCCCTTTCAAACGAACTATAGTAACCATAGTTTCCACCAACATACCTCAGCTACACAGTTACGTTCAATAATCAAGTAACGTTAGCTACAATAAAACTGTCAGCAAATATATAAGTTGATTTGAAGCTCAAGGCAGAACTAAGTTTAGCTGCTTCATGTTCTGTACATTTTTAGTGACGTTTATATTTTTTCCAACATTGTTAACAAATTTAAATAATGTCTGAATAGTTTAAAACTCATATTTTGCAATTGTACAATATACATTAGATATTAAACCATAGTACCGCAAAGTGCACTATAGTTACCATGGAAAATAAGGGGCAACAGAATGTCCAAAACCAGCCAAATTTGGAAACAATTGGTTGAATTACAATAATGATTGTGTCAACTTAAATAATTTAAACCCTTTTGGGTATTTATTCGACAATAAATTGCTGAGCCAATGTTAAATCCAATGTTGGACGCCACAAGAGCTGCTCAAAACTTTTTCTTGCATGGGTACAATTTTCGATTGCTGACAATCAATTATGACAGAAACACAACTCAAACACACAAAATATTATCAAACAAACATTTAGAGTTATTTTCACTGTTGGAAATCACACAGAAGGGCTGCTCAGTCTAAAGTAACTAACGCAGCAGCATTACAGTCGATGACAATGGAAAAATGCATCAGACAGGGGTACACTGGCAGATAATCTATTATTGACCGTGTTTAATGCAACACCCACCCTGAGGATGCTTCGCTGTCACATGAATAGCTCGACAGAATGACTCACTTCCTCTTCTCCATCAAACAGAAGCTTGGGTGTCAAATTCAGCCTTGACAAGTGTTCTTGTGAGTGTTTTTTGATGTTTCGCTACAGGCCCGCATTCATGCAGCTGTGGAAGTAGAGACTGACTGAGTTAGGGCTGCAACAACTAATCGATAAAATCGATTATAATCGATTATGAAAATCGTTGTCAACGAATGTCATTATCGATTAGTTGGTCTGATTACGTCACTGGGATTGTTTACATGCTACATGCGCTTCTCACATGCGCTTCTCACATGCGGTTCATGAGGCACACACGCAGTCTCTCTCCCACGCCGGTCTGTGCGCAACACGGACGGTTTGGAGCACATTATCTTCTGTCTCGCATGCGCACTCTTGATTCCGTGAGTTTGAACTAATTTGCGGGCATCAGGAAACCGCTATCAATATGCAGCATACACGAAAATCATTCACCTTTCGGCAAATTCGCCGTTTTGAAACCAAAATAGGTGACCTGCGTTAATCGTGTATACTTTATGAAGCCATACTGTAGTATAATGTGAGATAGAAATGTATATTTAAGTCATTTAATAAAGCTTTTCCCTCCACTGCGGCTGTCAGTCATTCTCTATTCGGTGTTCAAACAGCGCGTCGCGTTACAACAGTTAACATGATGAAACTCTTTCCAAGATGATTCAATGTTATTATTATAATTGATCCGTAGATAAAGGTCTATGGTTTCGTAATATAATGACTATCTTGCTAGACTTTTATTGCTGTAACTTAATCACTTTCTACTGAGTGTCTGTTAGATCACAACACTATAGACTCGGCGCACTATAATTGTTCTTCACGTGCACAGTAGCCTAACTGAAATTTAAAACTGTTAAAAGAAAAGGCTTAATAAACTATTGCAAAGATACTGTATAATACACAGTCAATATTGCTTCCTCACTAAACAGCTGTGCTTCTGATTTTTACGATGTTTTTCATGAATGTATAACAACAATACAATAAAGAGCAATGTGTAACGTTTTACCAGAGATAGTCCTACACTTATGGTCTCTTATTTTTTTCCCCACTAAAGAATGTTTTTTTCACTAAATGTTCAGATTTTATAAAATTATTGTGCACTTGTGATTTTTCTAGGCTAAGTTTTTCTGAGTTATCCACTAATCTAGTTTACAATAGCATTTTTGTGAATTTTGTCATAGGTTATGGTCATATATTTTTTTTTATTTGTTGTTTTTCTATATAATGAAGTTGTCTGTATTAAGAAGATTGTTTAACACACAAAAGAGTGTGGTTTTTAGGGTTTTATTTAGTTATAAATTTTTTATCCGATTAATCGATTAATCGAAAAAATAATCGTCCGATTAATCGATTATCAAAATAATCGTTAGTTGCAGCCCTAGACTGAGTGTTCTATTGTTTATTATGATGACGTCACAAATCACCAAGAACATCTATCTATCTATCTATCTATCTATCTATCTATCTATCTATCTATCTATCTATCTATCTATCTATCTATCTATTTATCTATCTATCTATCTATCTGTTCCTCCTTCAGTCCGTCTGTTTATCTCTAATGTATACTTTAAACTTGAACCTTTAAACTTCAATTTTAAACTATTTTAAACAAGATTTGGTTTTGATTTGTGTGATGTGTGTTTCAGTGATTCGGATGGAGTCCTCACGGAGCACAGGGGGTCACTCCCGTGAGTACAAGTTGGTGATGTTAGGAGAAGGTGGTGTGGGCAAAAGTGGTGAGTAATGTAGTTCTCTCCCTTTCTCTTCTTCTCTCTCTCTCTGTTTGTCTCTCCATTGTATAGTGTTTTTCACGACACACAATACATGTTTTGAAACAGCCTCACGTTAGGTCTATGTTAGTGAAGTTCACGACGTAATTTCAGGAGGAGTGAACCCATCGAATCTTTCAATTAACTGCCGGAGCATATAAGCATCTCGCGGCCATCATCATCCAAGCATTTGTAGTCCGACTGCGGGCGGGGTACTGTATATCTAAGCTCAAGTTAAAACTGCTTCCTCTAGCCTCTCCACTGTGGACAGCAAGCCGAATACGCTTTAAAGATTATATGCGCAAAGGAACTCGTGAAATGCATTAAAGGTATAGTTCACCCAAAAATGTTGTCATAACTTACTCAACATCACTTAAGTTGTTTCGGTATAGAGTAGGGATGGGCAATGATTAATCGCATCCAAAATAAAAGTTTGTGTTTACATAATATATGTGTGTGTGGTGAGTATAATTAATTTGTATATATAAATACCCACACATGCATGTATATATTTAAGAAATATGTGCATGTATATATTTTATATATATTTATTCACAATTAATATTATATATAAATATAAATATTTGATATATTAACACATTTTTCTTATGTGAGTATAATTAATCCACACATGCATGCATGTATATATTTAAGAAATATGTGCATGAATATATTTTATATATATTTATTCACAATTAATATTATATATAAATATACATATTTGATATATTAATAACACATTTTTCTTAAATATATACATGCATGTGTGGGTATTTATATATACAAATTAATTATACACACTACACACACATATATTATGTAAACACAAACTTTTATTTTGGATGCGATTAATCGTTGCCCATCCCTAGTATAGAGACAAGACATTTTTAGAAATAATTACTATATTGTGATTTCCTAACTTTACTTAGTGAGCTTGAACATTACTCACATTGTGTTAAAGATTTTGGTCAAATAGCCCTGCTCTAAGTAGCTTAAACAGGGACCTACTAAAAAGTCACTTGATAATGCTTAAATCCACCAGCGATCAAGTCAGAGGTGACTGTGGCAAGGAACGACATTTTGATTGTGGTGGCAGAAAACAGATCCCATCCATCTTTCTTCATTTTTCAGCACTATCCTTTTTTTATCCTTGTTTTCATAAAGGATATGTAAAGGCTACCGTGTGTTTAGGAACATATTTAAGCCGATGATCTGACATTTTTGAGTGTCGACTGACGACTTCGTGTGTCGGTGTTGGATTTTTCCCTCCGCTTTTTGAGTGTGTGGCTCTAGTCGGATTCGGATGCCATCTTTTTTTTCGTTTTTTTGTGGGCCGAGAGAGGACTCTGACTGCCTGTTCGGTTTTGCGAATGAGTCAGTGCACGAGAATAAGAGCTAGAATGATGAAAGTGAGCACAGAAGTCATGAGCAGCACAGACAGTAAAAGAAATGGACACAGCGACCCAATTAGAGCCCGACCGATAAAGGATTTTGAAGGCCGATACCGATACAACGATAAAAATATTTTTGGGTTTTAAAATCCAAAATTCCGATACATCGGCCGATATTTTTTTTTTAATTAGATATTGTTGGATTTCACACACGAGTAAAAGAAAAGCTAACTTTTCTGCACAAGATACGTTTGATACTTTTTCTCTATGTCTAAATGTTCACTCCTCGCAAGTATAACTTGACTGTAACTAGAGATATGCGAGTTATAAATACAGTAATCATTACTTTATTTAGGCAAAAAAAGTTCATTGTGGTTTCCAAGCTCATTAATGTTAACGTTAGCGGTCTTCCACTGATAATAGTGGCATTAGCTAGCTTTGTGTTTAGCTAGTCTATGATGAGCCATAATTTAGCAATAGATAACATCATACTGCAAATTGTAAAACATACATTTTCAATATAACAGGCCAAGGAGAGATGATTAAAGCGTGTTTCGTCCGTTTTATTTTATTTTTTAAATATTAATTTATCGGCCATTATAACTGCCGATACCGATATTATGGAAAATGCCTAATATCGGCCGATATATCGGTCTGGCTCTAGCCCCAATAGACTTTAACGGAGAAAAGTGAAGTCAATTAGAAGCGCTCAAAGCATACTGTGAAAAGCAAAAAATGAAATAGTAGTGATGTTAGCCGTGACACTGAAGCTCCGATGCGTGTGTCAAAATAATGAAATGATTTTTAGTGAATCATTGTATCGGTGCTTGATTCGTTACTTGACCAATGACGTTCGTTTCACTCAAGTCACACCCATGTGACCGCTTCGAAATCGGATTAAAAAATGTGTGACATTCGAACCTTGTACCGTTTGGTGAAATGAAACATGAAAAAATGTTCATACAATTTCTTCCTTTGAATTTAACATGAAATGGTTTTGTGCAATTGACCCTTGGCTCTTCGATTGGGATATTTTCCTCCGTTCTCTGTCACTGCAGCCCATTATTGTGGTCAGACAGTGGGCTGGTTTACAGTTGTAGACATACAGCCAGACAATAAAAGTGTGGGTGTTGGCTCAGTGCTTCAGTCGGGTCGTTATGAAGGCGCAGGTGCCTAGCAACTTCCTTCGCCTCCAGGAGTCTGTTGCCTAGGAGATGAGCGGAGGTCACCTGGAGAGGATGCATGAGCTTTGCTCTCCTTGTTTGAGAGTGCACTGCAGAAGGTTCTTTAGGGTGACTGATATTCTCTCTTTATATCGCCGTCTCCATGGGAACAGAGCTGAGAGCGCACACAGAGCAAATACATGCCGACAGCAGGGTGTGTTTGCTCCGCATGAGGGAGAAGGGGGAGTTGTTTACACTCCTCTTGGTGTATTTTCATGATACCACAATTATGTAAGAACTCGGCTTGTCTCTTTCTCTTTGTCTCATAGCCATCATCATGCAGTTTATAAGTCACAGATTTCCAGAGGATCATGACCCTACGATCGGTGAGGAAATATCTAACATGCTGTCTTAACAGTTAATTATTAAATTACATTTCATACTGATATTGTGTTACATTTTTGTGACCTCACTGGTATAGATGAGCAAAGTATTTTCAGAAAGAATTACGGTGAATTCAGGATGACGGTCAAAAAGTGGCCCAGTGCATCTTAGCCTATATATATATATATTTAAGGTTGTAATATATAATTTATATATATATATATACATATAAATATATACACATATATACACAATATATACACATATATACACATTTTATGTTTGAAGAGATGCCAAATTTATTTTTATAATGGAAATTGGGTATGTTACAAACCTTTTTTGCAATGTTGAATCTATTTTCTGTCTCTGAACTAAGTGTTTTTAGCTAAGTATAAACTAAAAGAGTTACACAGTGTAGCTTTAAACAGCTCAACTGTAAAAAAAAAAACTCAAAGAGGAACATTTAGTAAAGACAAAATATGCACTACTGTTCAAAAGTTTGGGGTCATATATTAGAGTTGTCAACGTGGACGCATGTGATTATAAAATAAATAATTAAAATGATACATACTGGTAAGGGGTTCTAATGTCGGTCGCCATGTTGGCCCTCCATCTTTAAAAGTACATTAGCCAAAGAGGGACATACCCGTTAATTCAAGCTTCGCCTTTCGCGTTTACGTTTCATGGACGAGGTCGAACTGGAAGCCATGTTAATCTTGGACTACACTGGCCACCGTAGGAGTTAAAACGAAATCGGAATTGAGAGGAACAACAGAAACTAATATTCCCTGGATGGTCATATACCTTTTCACCACTAGATGGGGGTAAAAATCACACAGTGTAGCTTTACTGTTGTTGCTATCTCTCGTCAACCATTGCATTATGTACTTCATGCATGTGTTTTTACTGTTTTTAGAGGATGCCTATAAAACACAGATCCGCATTGATGATGAGCCAGCAAACCTGGACATCTTGGACACAGCAGGACAGGTAGGCGGGAGGGGTGTTGTGATAAAGATGAGCACATGGAAAACGAAACAAGGATCAGACAGGCAGTGAAGTGTAAAAACCTCTGTTAAAAAGTTTAGTCAAGTCGACTTAACACTCTTATTCTGCAGACTATAAGAGGGTCATTCTCCTTTAACAATATGTCTCACTTCCCTTTTTTGTTTTCGTCTTTGCAGCCGTCACTTCACAAGACAAACACACACAGGCACAATGTTTCTCTCATTGTGATGACTCAGCACTGTTATAAAATGCATTAGTCATCTCATCACGAGTTTAATGAAATTTTGCCTACAGTATAATAATCTACTAACTACAAACGCTTCCATTTATATATATAAAACGATTTTTTTCTGTTAGGTTTACAGGGTTAATATGAGATTAATCTAATTAATATTAGATGTCAATAGACTTCCACTGTACTATAAACATGTTTTTTGTTGGTTTACATCTTGAGGGAGGTAATCGACAACATGCCACAATCATGTTTATAGTTACTCTTGACTGAGCTGCATTGATCCTCGTAATATTTCTATAATTTATTTATGTATTTGTCTTAAACCAGGCGGAGTTCACGGCGATGCGTGATCAGTACATGCGAGCGGGAGAAGGTTTCATCATCTCGTACTCCATCACGGATCGCCGCAGTTTCCAGGAGGCACGGCACTTTAAGCAGCTGATCTACCGTGTGAGACGCACCGTGGACACCCCCGTCGTACTGGTGGGAAACAAGTCTGACCTGGTCCATCTCAGACAGGTGAGGAAATTTACTGGAAACCCCGTACCTATAGAAATAGAGTGTTTATATAAATAAATAAATATTCACCCCCCTCAGATACGGTTGCATAATATTGTGTTATATTATGGAACCATGATGCATCATCACATCAACACAAAATACTATAGGCTAGAGCCAGACCGATATATCGGCATGCCGATATTATGGGCCGATATTAGGCATTTTCCAAACTATCGGTATCGGCAGTTATAATGGCCGGTTAATAATGGTTAATAATGGCTAGTTAAAACGGACGAAACACGCTTGAACCATGTCATGAGTGTTGGAGTTGTATAGTTTGTCCACCAGAGGGCACTCTACACCGTTACTGTTGGCAACACTCGTTGAGTTGTTCATGATACATACATTGCTTGAATAACAATTAAAAGACACTGTAGAGATGATGTGTCATTGTGATGTTCTCTGTTTGATATGCGCCAAACATAATAGAAATAGTGAATTAAAATAGTGATATAGTGAATAGTGATAAAAAATAGTTATTAAAATAGTGATATAGTGAATAGTAGTGATATGGGGGTCATTTTTGACCGAAGACCAAAATTGTGACTCTTTAAAATCAAGTGTAACGTATTTTTGTACTTTTGTGTGTAGTATATATAAACACTGTATACTACCTTTCAAAAGTTTAAGGTCAGTAAGATTTTTCAGACTTCAAATTTCAATTAAATGCTGTTCTTTTTTAGCTATCTGAAAAAACGAATCAGAGTTTACACAAGAATACTAACCTGTTTTCAACATTGAAATGTTGTTTAAAATAAAAAGAATTAAATGTTATTACAGTATTACTGTTTTACCTTTTTTTTTTATTCAATAAATCCAGTCTTGATGAGCGGCCAAACTTTCGTCGCATTAAACTTGTATAAATTTTTTCTAGGGCTGTGCAAAAATGAATTGGGATTAATCGCATCCAAAATAAAAGTCTGTGTTTACATAATATATTTGTGTGTGCTGCTGTATATAATTATTTTGTATATATAAATACCTATGCATGCATGTATATATTTAATAATTATTTGCATTTAAATTCTGTATATAAATACATAATCTATATTATATAAATATAAATATTTTATATATGAATAACACATTTTCTTAAATATATACATGCATGTGTGTGTATTTATATATACAAAATAATTATATACAGCACACACATATATATTATGTAAACACAGACTTTTATTTTGGATACGATTAATCGCAATTCATTTTTGCACAGCACTAATTTTTTCATATATATATTTTCTATTGTTCTACATGTTTTTATTTATTTGGTCCTTACACTTTCAGGTGTCCGTCGAAGAGGGCAAACAGTTGGCGAGAGAGTTCCAGTGCCCGTTTTTTGAGACCTCCGCAGCGTTCCGTTATTACATCGACGAGGTGTTTGCCGCACTGGTGCGTCAGATCCGCCAGCGCGAGGCCGAGATGGTGCGGGGAAGCGAGAGGAAAACCCGACGCAGCCATTCTTTCTGGAGTCGCCTTAAAGCCCCCTTCCATAAGAAACAGCAGTCCGAGCACTGAGAGAGCCGCAGAGAAGGGCATGTTCACCTTCCAGATGATTGTTCTCTCACCTACAGCTGTATGAGTCCCACCTCTTTCAATAAGGTTTGGGAACTGTATTTATAGTTCACATTTGATTGTTTGCGATGATGCACTCCCAATCATTTTGGTTAGACTACAACCCTCCCTGTGCAGGACACACTCACTCGTCATATGGGACGTGGGCTGATTTACTGAGAAATATTAAACTTGACAGTAGTTTTTTTACTATTCTTTTTTTTTTTTTTTTTTTTTAGACAGCATTACACTTTGTGAAATTGAATGTCAGGGGGAATGTTGAACCTCATTTTAACGGATGGGAATGTAGGGAACAGGGCACGAAGGATTTGACACACGTGTTTTTAAAAGACTGAAGTGATGAGAGGTAAGGTCATGTCAGAGATTTGCTTGCAGGAAAATATGAAGGTCAAATGAGTTTAAGAGAGCAGAGAGCATGTGCAGAGTGGAAAGAAAGGACAAAGTGTCGGCGGAGGTTGGTAAATAGGCAAGGATTTATGGTAGAAATATTAATCTGCCAGTATATTGAGTACTGTAAACCGTTCCTGTAGTTCTGTTAGATGCGTTTAAAAACAATTGCTGTTGTTTTAAAATTAAAATGAGGGTTTGATTTGCAACTCTTTTTATTTATAGCTTTTCTAAAACGACATTTCACAATAACATGTCCATATATATATATTTGTAAAGTTGCTTGCTTAAGATCATTACGAAATGGTTAAATCAGTATAATGAATTATAATGAAAATATTTTCATTATAATTGGAAGCACATTTCCCCACCAATTCTCATTAACTTAATGATTCTTATTAGATTCTCATTACTGTAAAACAGTAATATTGTATTATCTAAATATAGATTTCATTCATATTACAGTAACAATATACACACACACATACAGTATATATATATATATATATATATATATATATATATATATATTGCATTATGGAAAATGCTAATTTAAAAGGGGGAATTGCTTTATTGTCATTAAAATATTGCCACAATGCAAAAATGCTCCTAAAAAGCCATAATCTTCTTGAATCAAAATATAATGTATTATCTTAAATATGACTTGGACATGTTCTTAAAGGTTCTGTGAGATTCAGTGTGTTTGATGGAAACTGAACTGTATGATCTAGCTGCAAAATACACTGTATGAATGACTTTGTGAAATCTTGCTGAGCAAAATTCAGGTCCACCTTTAAGCACATTAACAGAATTACTAACTTGATTACGATGGAAAGCAAAATTGTTTCCTTTTTACACAGGGTAATTTTTATTCCAGTGGTGTCTGTAGTCAATGTCGGGAATGAAACGCCTTAATGTGGCTTAAGAAGGTGAATCCTTATCTGGATTTTCTCGTTCACATGCTGTGCACTTACTACGCATCAAATTTGAATGATATGTCTGTTCATTTTGACATTTCATGGAAAATTCTTGTTATTACTTTTTTGTGATTATTAGATTTTATTTTTAATTTTTAACCAAAATGGTTTTACTATATTTTCCTTTATTTATTGTCATCTGAGATTCTCAAATAAAAATCACTTTACCAATCTATTAAATAGTCTGATTATTATTATTATTATCAGCAATTCTTCTTGTATACTGATCTGTAATATTTTAATTTTGGCGACCCCTGGTGGCTAGTAGTCGCGAGAAACTGTCAGTACATTCATAAAGCTTTTGTTGTTTCATTGCAACTTGTCGTTACATATTAAAGCTGTCTAGTTTAATACAAAATAAATAGACAGTTTACTGGTTAATTTCTTATCCTCTGACATCTCAACCTCATTTGTCAAAATGCGACTCACCGACCGTGTGGTTATTCAGGACAAGTGCAAAATGCGATTTCAATCCAAACGCGAACGAACGGCGTGTCCCTCTTCAGTTGCCGTTCACGGACGAACTGTCAAAGCGACAAAAACGGAGTGCAACAGAGCAAGTATGCAACATACTTCCAGCCCCAGACTGCTCTCAAAAGTACTTATTGTCTGAAAACATCAAGGATCTTTACAGTCAGCTTGGTTAACCTTCATCTGGTGCCGTGAATATCAGTGGATACGCGCGTGAAGGACGCACAGGCCCAGTGTGTGTACGATGGATTCATGGGTGAGATTCAGCTCGCAGAGTCAAGCCAAAGAACGCGTGTTCAGGTACACAAACACTCACTGCATGCTTACAGCTGTACCACTACATGTTCTGCATGTTTCCTTGACTGCGTCAACTTTGCAGCCTGTTTAGATACTTGAAGGTGCTGCATTGGAAGTTGGAGCTATACTTTCCCCCCATCTACCTAACAATTAGTAAAATTAACAACAAAGCACAGTGATATTCACATGTTTTTGGTTATGGTAATGTTGATTTTTGCTGCCTTGTCGAAAAATGCTAACTTACCGGAGTCCGAATTGATCACAGAATGACTATTAAAGTCGTATGAAATACAATTATAATACAATTCTAAGTTATGAGTAGCTACTGTATACTGAACTACTGATTTTATTTTTAAAACGGTGTGAAAAGGAAAAATTATCATAAAATATTCATCTTTGACTTGTCAAAGTTACATCTTTCCTCATAGTAATTGAAACTTTCAGTTATTCTTTTTCAGCTGGCTGACCGTACAAATATTTATATGGTAGTAAGCATTTTTTAAAGAGAAATTATACATTATAACAGGAAAATGTACCTTTTGTAAAAAAAAAAAAAAAAAAAGTAGCAAATCTCGATGGGTAGCATGAATCGTCAGAACACCTGTTTTATAAAGATGGTATGGATATAAACTCTTCAAAATGACTTTCATGTGCACTCTGTAATTATACTAGTAGTATAAATCATTGTTCACAAAGAAAGAACGAAAATATCACATGCAACAGGGGGTTTCCCAGGGGGTCCACAAAAAATATACAAAAACTGTTAATAATAATAAAAATATTAACAACATGTACTTACTATTGGGTTTGGTTTAGGATTAGTTGCATGTAATGAGTATGTGTAACATATGTTACAAGGACACTGTAAAATAAAGTGTTAACTAAAACTAAATAATTATCACAAAATAGACATTGACATTATTGCAGTTTTATTCGGATTTCTAATGAATCTTCATTTTTTTTTAAATCTGAGATGAATGGCTCTTTAGTTTATTATATTGTATGTTTCTCTTTTGGTTAATATTAATATTTATGGTGGGTAAAAAAGGATACAGCGTCAAATGAATTAAAAAGTATTTTTCATATATTGACATTTCTCATGATTTATGGGGATGACATTTTTTTTGTGATCATTTTAGGTGTTTGTGTACACACCCTGCCAACACGCATTTATGCTCAAAAGTGAATTTGAACAATAGGTCCCCTTTAATGCATCATCTTGCCATCCTGAGCATTAGTCAATGTTTTCACCTTTATAATAGTTATGTATGAATCCCTCAATTGTCCTCGGTGTGCAAAGACGGATCTAGCAATCATACAGACACGTATGGGAAAGGGCTGGTAGAAATCCAATGAATGTGCTGGACCTGATGGACTTTTCTATAGAATGGTGCTCAGATGGATCTTCCAGTTAAACACTAACAGTATTTAGATTCAAGGGTACACTTTTGAACTGGGTCATTTTCAATAATTGATTGTGTCTGATTCTGAACAGGGCTGCCCAGTACGCCTGCACGCTTCTGGGTTACACGCTGCAGAGAGGAGGAGCCAGACCAGAGCTGCTCAGCACCATTAAACAGCTGGAAGCCCACATGAGCCTGACCAGAAAATGTACGTTTGAGGCAGGGGTCAGTAGAATGGGGGATGAGCACAACTGGGTTTATGGGTTTTGATAAGAGAGTTTGAATTGACCGGATGCTGGATTGGAATGGCTGGGGAATTGAAATTTTATTTTGCAAAGTTTTTAAAAGAGAAAGTCCAATGCAAGTTTGCTGTAAAATATCATTAAAAAAATAATTAACCCAGAGAAACACAGCAGAATAGCATTGTTTGTAAAAAGCATTTAAATAATACCCTTTTTTTTAAAAATATGGGTAAAAACTACACATAACAGTGGCTGATACTTATCACAATGGTTTGCGTATTACAGTAACTGCAATTATCAAATGAATCTATTTGCAATAGAAAAAAAGTAATTTACATCATATGTATCAATTTATTGTGTGCATGCATGCATGCACTTTTTAATGTGTGTGTGTGTGTGTGTGTATGCATGTTTGTGTGTATGTATTAGAGCCAGACTGATATTATCGGTCGATATTAGGCATTTTCCATAATATCAGTATCGGCAGTTATAATGGATGATAAATTAATATAAAAAAAAATAAAATAAAAACGGACGAAACACGCTTCAATCATCTCTCCTTGGCCTGTTATATTGAAAATGTATGTTTTACAATTTGCAGTATGATGTTATCTATTGCTAAATTATGGCTCATCATAGACTAGCTAACCACAAAGCTAGCTAACGCCACTATCATCAGTGGAAGACCGCTAGTGTTAACATTAATGAGCTTGGAAACCACAATGAACTTTTTCTGCCTAAATAAAGTAATTATTACTGTATTTATAGCTAGCATATCTCTAGTTACAGTCAAGTTATACTTGCGAAGAGTGAACATTTATACATTTAGAGAAAAAGTATCAAGTGTATCTTGTGCAGAAAAGTTAGCTTTTCTTTTACACGTGTGTGAAATCCAACAATATTTAATAATAAAAAAATATCGGCCGATATATCGGATTTTAAAACCCAAAAATATCTGTATCAGTATCAGCCTTCAAAATTCTTTATTGGTCGGGCTCTAGTATGTGTGTGTATCAATGAAATTTTACAACCCTAAATGCCCAGCATTGCAATTTTTACATAATTTGTTTCTATGTAATTTTTGCCTAAATGAAATATAGCTAATATCTTCCTAAATATATTAAAGGGTCTCTGAGGGTTAATTTAGACTTATTATGCCTACTAATACTAATATAACTAAAATGGTTCAATAAAGTGGCCTCCTCTTTAAGTGGCTAATCTCTTTTCACTCACAGAATCTAGTTATGTTAATATGGCTCAGCGTTTGATTGATGCAGTCTGTCCGCGCGTTTGTCTCAGTGATGCGGTTAGGGAACTCCGCTGAGGCTCTGGAAGCGGCGAAACGCACTGTGCATCTGTCCGACTGTGTGCTGCGTCTCTGCATCACAGTGGCCCATCTCAACCGAGCGATGTATTTTGCCTGTGATAATGTACTGTGGGCCGGCAAAACAGGACTGCTGCCCGAACTGGACCAAAACAAATGGAGCCAGAGGTCGTTTAGGTGAGTGCTACTTTCATTTGTTTTCTTCACTAAATTATTATTGCTATTTCCTATTAAAATAAATTAATAATTAAATCTCTCTCTATATATATGTACTATATATTAGAGCCAGACCGATATTATCGGGCGATATTAGGCATTTTCCAAACTATCGGTATCGGCAGTTATAATGGCCGATAAATGAATTTTTCAAAAATAAAAATAAAAACGGTACGAAACACGCTTGAACCATGTCATGAGTGTTGGAGTTGTATAGTTTGTCCACCAGAGGGCACTCTACACCGTTCCTGTTGGCAACACTCGTTGAGTTGGTCACGAGACATGCATTGCTTGAATAACAATTAAAAGATCATCCCCATGAGTTCGTTTAACTCAAATAAGCATGACAAATTTTGTGACTATCATGTCCAGTTTAAAATAAATAAATAAAATATCGGCCGATATATCGGATTTTAAAACCCAAAAATATTTGTATCGGTATCGATCTTTAAAATACTGTATCGGTCGGGCTCTACTATATATATATAGTATATATTGATATTCTGTTATTGTTTTTAATAATATTTTGAATTAGTTTTCTGTTTTCATTTGAATTTTAGTTAGTTTTAAGGTCCTTGTACACTTTGTCCGAAATTCGAGCATGTAAAAAAATAGCAGATTAAGCTTACACACCGCCTCCAAAACTTTCGTCCGTCATGAAAAAATTCGGATGGGGTTCGATTTTCTGCATTTTTTTTTTTTGCAACCATACCAAGCATTTTGAGAGTGTTGACTATTATAATATTGATATTATAATTTTTTTCTTCTATTATAAATTAAAAAAAAATGTAGTTTTTTTTTTTTGTTTTATGTAATGATAACAATAATACACATTTCACACATTAAATTAGGCTTTGCATGTGAAAATTTGATTAACTTCGGTGAATTTGCATCACTCTGTTTTGCTAAAATATATGGTGATGGCTGGATATATAATTATTTTGTGCACAGTGCTGACCCATGCTTTTTTGCTTAGAAGTAGAAGGCTCTTTTATGAAGTTACTTCTTTTTCATATTTAATGAGGTTATGCCTGAAAAGGTTCTGGATTTTTTTTTATCATATATTAATTTAAAAAAAAATATATTGTATAATATGACTTCTTGTTTATATTTGTTTTGTTTTTGTTGTATTTATATGATGTTTGTATTTTTGTAAATGAATTTTTGCCATGAAAATAGCTCTGACTGCTGACATGGCATGAAATAAAATAATCTGTGCACAGTGGAAAATGTTTTTATTTGTATTGTTTCATTTAATAAGCTGACTCTCTTTCACTTCCTGTAAACAGATACTATTTGTTCGCACTCATCCTCAATTTAACCCGAGACGCTTATGAAGTCCGTCTGCTGATGGAGAGAGAGTCCCGCTGCAGTTCGGCTAAAAGCTTCAGCTCCGCTCCGTCTTCCCTCACGCCGACCCCAGAGAACGGAGAGTTCCCTTTAACCCCGTCTCCTTCCTCAGCGATGTCTCCCCTCCCGATGCTCACGGCCAGCCTCAACAAGCAGTTCTGTCTCTTGATCACTGTGCTGCGCAACAACCCTCCGCTGCTCCTGGACCTCCTGAAGAACCTCTGTGACGTGTTCATACCCCTGGACCGGCTGGGTTTGTACCCCACGGGGTCGGGTTTTGTGGGAGCCTGCGGCCTCACGTCCTCCATCCTGTCCATTCTCACTATAGTTCACCCCTGGCTCAAACTCAAGCCCTGAGTGACATCATCACAACTACATATCCTGTTGCTTTGTTTCCAAAGTGAACCTCTCCTTGATAACGGAAAGAGGAATGTTTGCTCCTCTCTAACAGTTTAATTGCACGTTCAAAACTGTGGAAAAACTAAAAACAAGATCTGGCCTAATCTGATTAAAACAAACAAAAAAGCTTTGTTAAACAAGTCTGTTGAAAGGAAAGTAAGTCTGAACATGTCCTAGTCTGTAGTTCTCAGTTCTAGTGTAGTAAAAGAACTACAAACGGTACACTTACTATTCAGAATCATACCTTTCTCTTAAGGATGAATCACGTGAAGAAATGTCAAGGTCAATTTTCATTCCTAAATGAATTAAATCTAGTACAATAAATACTATCATGACTTTTACAGATGTAAAGCAAAAAAACAAAAGTACTAACCTTGTATAATACTTAATTTTCATTCCCATATGTTTGTCCCCTTATATTTGTTAAAAAAATCACCCCATTATTATTATCATAAACAGTTCTCTTGAGTTCTCAGAGCTTAAAACATTTGCAAATCCGTTTGTGTCAAAAACTGCTTTTCAAACATTATAAAACGGTTATGATACGGTTTTTGATCCAGTAGATTCTTTCTAAATCTGAAGCTGTTTCTTGCTTTTCACTTCCTGCCGTTGTGAACCTTGGCATTTTGTTACCAAACTAATTTCAAAACTAGGAGTTTAAAGGAGTAGTTCACTTTTAAAAAAAACTTTTGCTGATAATTTACTAACCCCCATGTCATCCAAGATGTCCACGTCTTTCTTTCTTCAGTCGAAAAGAAATTAAGGTTTTTGATGAAAACACTCCAGGATTTTCTCCATATAATGGAGTTCAATGGGGTCCAAACGGTTCAAGGTCCAAATAAGAGTTTCAGAGCAGCTTCAAAGGGCTTTAAACGACACCAGACGATGAATAAGGGTCTTATCAAGCGAAACGAACAATCGCTAATTTCAAAAATAAATAAAAAAGTTTAAGTTATGAGCTCTGTTCTGTGATGAGCGTTCGTGACTCTCCTGTTCAAACTCGTTCATCAAAATGAACAAATCTTTTTTCAAAAAAAGCTTCGACCTCGTCATGACTCGAAGGGTCCTTGATAAGACCCTTATTCATCGTCTGGTGTCGTTTAAAGCCCTTTGAAGCTGCACTGAAACTCTCATTTGGACCTTGAACTGTTTGGTTCCCATTGAAGTCCATTATATGGAGAAAATCCTGGAATGATTTCATCAAAAACCTTAATTTCTTTTCGACTGAAGACAAAAAGACGTGGACATCTTGGATGACATGGGGGTGAGCAAATTATCAGCAAAAGTTTTTTTAAAAGTGAACTACCCCTTTAATACTTTTTTGTTGTTGTTGTTGCTGTTTTTAATGAAATATCAAACAAAAAAGATTTGAAAATGATACAATAATTTAGGTTATTGCATAGTTTTTAAAAACTACATCACTGACTATGTTGTTATTTAGATTTAGATTTTTTTTTTAATTTAATTGTGAGCCTTGAGCCAGGAGTACATGTGATCTATGGACTGTTTTCTTTTTAACTTAACCATAGTTTGAAACTTCCTAAATACTATGCACCACTGAATGTTGACATGATTGAGATGTGAATCTAACTTTTGAAATAAACAATGCCTTGAATTTTATTCTTATCTCCTCTGTCATGTTAAAACATTTTATCGAATCAAATTTCCTTGAACTTTCTGGCTAATCAAAGGCTGTTATTATTTGAAGCATCCCATCAATGATTAATCTGCTCTTGTGTTGAATCACTGCATTGCTGTTTCTTGCTATACAGCATCTCACCACTAGAGGGAAACATAACACAACATTTACCACCGGAAATTATGAACTCGCTTTAGTAGGTAGCGACAAGAAAATAAGAAAAATAGACCGAATAGTACTCAAATATTGTAGCTAAGTATGAAATTATAGTCCTGAATTCATGAATTTCCATAAAAATGTCCAAACTAAAACCATTTAAACGAAGTTTAAAATCGCTATAGTGTTTAATATTGATAACATGCTTTAGCATTGTCCTTACGGAAGTTTGTAACTGAGGTGTTTAATGGCACATTCCCTCCTGCTGTGAAAGCTGCGGTGGGGGGTCTGTCCTCCTACTTTCGCATTAGTTACATCACACTGATTCAGATGCTGTGTCACTCCCACATGGCTGCATTTTTGCATTACCCCCTAACCCTCTCGTTCTCTCTATCAAAATCAGAATCACTTTTAATTACCCAGAAGCCTACATGTTTTATTCAGGGCAGCGTGTAGATTCTCTAGAGAGAGTGTTGGTGGAACAGTTGTATGAAATGCTAGGTACATCTCTTGATTTTTGTATTGATTTTGAGTGGGAAGCTTATGACATATATGATGACCAGGATGTGAAGGGGGTAAGAGGGGTCCTCAAAACCACCCACAGTCACTCACAACAGATGCTCTCTTGCTGGTTTCTGTTTATATCTCATTCTATATCCTTGCTTATCACTCTTTATAGTTTGTTTTTTCTCTTTTACCTACAATTTGCAAGAGCTCACCAAATTTGGACAGTTGAAGACTGGAAAAATGTTGCCTGGGCTGATGAGTCTCGATTTCAGGTGGTAGAGTCAGAATTTGGTGTAAACAGAATGAGAACATGGATCCATTGTGCCTTGTTACCACTGTGCAGGCTGGTGGTGGTGGTGTATAATTGTGTGGGGGATGTTTTCTTGGCACACTTTAGGCCACTTAACTTAAAAGTACCTGCATGTGATTACATCCACACTCCTAAAATAATGGTTCACAATAGTTTTTTTTTTTTAATTATTTTTATTTATTTTTACAGTTATGAAGAACTATACTTTTGAACTACATTAAAAATGTATGCAACATGCACACAATAATACATTGTACCTAGGGATGCACGATATATCGGCCAGCATATCAGTATCGGCCGATATATGTGCGTTTTTAATGTTATCGTTATCGGCCTTGTAAGAAAATTTGGCCGATATATTAAAGCCGATAAATAATGTATTATTCCCTTCAGCTGAGACACTTGTTGAGCACTGTTTATGTTTTTGGATTTCTTGAAATATGATTGAAATCTCTTCAAAAAATGAAAATACGGTTCGGTACAACATGTGCAGCACAAATCTGTCATATCGGCTATACAACGCTATCATGAGAACATCATTATAATTGTGCGCTTGGGACATGGATTTAATTGTGAGACTTTTGTTTTTGTAATGAGGCTCTCAAAAATAGATACAAATTTGGATTCAAGTTTATCGGCAGATATATCGGTTATCGGCTTTCAAATATAAGGAGTTATCGGTATCGGCCAAAATTTTCATATCGGTGCATCCCTAATTGTACCAAACTATTTTTTTAACTCATGTACATAGTACAAAATGGGACCACATAAACTATTATCATGTTGGCTCCTAAAATGTGGTTGTCATGAATGTGATTGAGATCAACACAACGACTTCCAGTGAGCTCCAGAGTCTCAGACATTTACACCCCACCAGCAAAGATCTGGACACACACAGTGCCACAGACAGTAACATTAAACCAGGACACACACCATTTTTTGATAAAGATGATGAGATAGAGGATGAGTAATGTCTGGCTCGTCCCAACAGTGCAAGTCTTCATGAATCTGTGCCAAGACTGTGTTAATAGACAACTGATTGTCTCTGGGTTACTCAAGTTTGACCTCTTAACAAGGTGGTCTATCCCCCAAAAATACTGTCTGTAGCAAACAGACATTAAAAAGATATTTTGACAGAGGTTAGAAATCCAATACCATGGACTTAAGGCTGTGAACTGCAATTTTTAAATAATCTTAAATTAATTTTAAAATCCAATTTAAAAAAAAAAAAAAAACGGAAACGTTTTTAGTTACACTCGTCTCTAAATTATTTGATTATGATAGAAATTGCTCTTTATCTATCAAATGATTATTCATTCATTCATTATATTTTATTTGAATTGTTTTGGTTTGTTTGAAAAGGACAAAAGGGACCAAATTCATGGACAAGTCAAGGAAAACATTATGGAAATCAATCAACAACAATATACTGTATATATTTTTTCTACTAAAGCGTACCTCGAAATTATATTATCATCTAGAAATTGCACTTTGTCATACATTTTACAAATATATATTATAGTTTTTCTAATTTTCTCAAGTTTAACTCATTTAATCAGGAATTCCATCCATCCATAGATAAATAATATTGTTTAACTATCTTTTCTGGAAAGAATTTCGGAGTCTACACGTCCTTCCCATGAGTATTCCCACAGATTATTTTATGATACACTTCTTTGACTGGACTTCCCCACCTCACACTGTATATAAGATCATATTATCTATCCCTCCTGAACAATAATCAGCCCTGAGGTCTGTGGTTTATCTTTTGCTGATTCATACAGAAAGTGTTTCAGAGGACGGATCATGTGTCTTTATTATGCACACAATTCTATCAGATGTGTGAGAGGATTCGGATCAGCCCTCATGTCCTGTCCTGTGCTTGTATGAAGCGGATATACGTGCTGCAGGGGTGAGTGGATATACAGGGGGAGAGAGGCGAGGGCATTCTGTCATCTCAATGTAAAAGATAAACACAGCGCTGTGACATTATCAGGACGCCATTGTGCATGACAAAGGGGATGTCAGGTGAAGTGATATGAATACCTGCCACATTCAGCTGATAGATGCATCAACAGTATCACCATCCTGGAAAGGTCAACATGTCATTGTTTATGGTTTATATAATATAGTTTGTGCAGTTCAAAGAGGGCATATATACTTTACAGTTCCAGTCCATGTGTCCATGTAAGGTTCAAAAGTTTGGATTTGTCGTTTTTGAAAGAAATTAATACTTTTATTCAGCAAGGACGCATTAAATTGGCCAAAGTGGCAAGACGTTTATAATAATACATTTGTCATTTTTATAACGATTGATATCGCTGTCCTTTTGGACTTTCTCTTAATCAAGGAACCTTTAAAAAATGCATCGGTTTCCAGAATAATATTAAGCATCATATGAAATGTTTCTTGAGCAGCAAATCAACATATTGATTTCTGAAGGAGCATGTAACACTGAAGCTCTGTCTTTTTTTATAAAGTAGCGGCATCAGTTGAAAAAAAAAATGGTCTAACATGACTATACATTTCACAAATAATTACAAAGAAAGGGCAAGTGATTAAACACATTATATTAAATGTGAGATTTTGAAGTAGACAGACTGAAATAGTATTTTCTTATGTTTTATTATAACTTTGTAAAGGGCAGGTAAAATCTCAAACCAAAGTTGCATCTGCAATCAAAACATGCTGCATGTTCAAAATACATTTTTGGAGTCTCATTTGAATTGCAAAACATGCAGGGTGACATGTTTAGACTGAAACAAGACAAACCGCTGAAGCTGTTTCCTATTTGAATGGATTCAA